ATCAACTAGCGGTCGGAATTTGATCACCAATAGGTCGTAACGCTTTCAGTAGCGGAATTAAACAAAATAATATAATTCTATTAAGTAATGCCCAATTTACACTCAGCCCGAGTGGGCAGGGAAGTGAGCAGCGCGAGAGTGTAAACACGAGTGGAAACACTTTCCATGCCATTGGCGCTGACATCGCGCTGCTCGGCGCTCCCTCGATTGTTGGTTTTCGGCGCGAGTCAAAGGACTGGCAGCGCGAGTGGCAGCGTGTTTTTACATTCAGCCCTCTCGCTCAGTTGTCGCCCGGCAATATTTCCGGCAGCGCGAGTGGCAGGGGAAGCGGCTGAATGTAAACGTAGCGTAATGAAATGGACTTCCGCAAAATAACACCTAAATCCATCTTACAAATATTATAAACGCGGAAGTTTGTTAGTGTGGATGGATCGATGTTTGTTATTCTTTCACGCAAATACTACTGAATTGAGTTTAATGAAACTTTACAATAGTGCCTGTAGCTTCTACATCAGAATAACACATAGGCTATAAACTTGAAGCGAGCTGAACCACGGGCACTTACAGTAAAATATATACTGTAAACACATTGTTTTACTTTACTTTTTCTTCTTAAAAAATAAGAACATTGTAATCGTCTTTATGTACATATTTTTTGTTCATTCTATGAACAAAGTCTTTCCTACTATATCGTATTCTATGAAAATTCTCCGTTACTTGACCTTATATTTATTTTTTAATATGAATAAAATTGCAGAGTCTGTTTGTAATATTGAAATAACCGCTTTTTACTACATGTATGTGTTTTATATATAAGATATATGGTTGGTCTATATTAAATCAAAAATAAGGGACAAACTGGAAGCTTTTGAATGTGGTTTTGGAGAAGGATGGAAAGAATTAGCTGGAAGGATAAAGGAAGACACGAAGAACTACACAGGGTAAAAGAAAAAAGGCAGATATTGAACACAATAGAAATTAGACGAGGAAATTTTTGGGACACTTGATACGGCACGGTGATTTCATGAAAATTATTATTGAGGGAAAAATAGAAGGAAAGATGGGGAGCGGAAGACCAAGACACAGCTACATCAAGCAAATTAAGGAGAAAATGGGAGTCGTGTCGTATCAAGAATTAAAGAGCATGATGGAAGATCGCGGAAAGTGGCAAGAGCTCCACCGACAAGAGCGTAGCTCTTAAATTATTGAATCAATATGGGATTATGGAATGGATTTTTAAATGGACTCTTAAATTATGGAATGAATGAATGAATATGGGATCGTAGTTAAAGATTATATATATTTTGGTCGAATTTCGACACTAGGCAACCGTTGGTTATTATTAACTAATACGTAACTGTATTTTTATCAGATTTGTCAAGAATTTGCAAATATAATGTAGATAACCGTATATAACCTAAAAAGTGTTTCCTGTTAAATAAATATAGGCAGATCTATTTAAGTATTTAGAGGGAAATACCCTACCTAGTATCATTTGGGGCTTAAATTAATTATTTATTTCATTATTAGTTCATGTAGAGTTATTAGCCGATTATCAACGTTAAGTTTTTTGATTTATTAATATTTTTTCCCTTCAAGATTCAATGGTACTTTTCTATTGAATCTGTGTACTGAAGTGGACTGGCAAGAAACGCAACCTAATTTCTTTTCTTTTATAGCCAGTTTATTAACATTATTATTTATATAGGTGTCTATGTCTAACATTAAAAGAAAATCCCGTGCGTGAACAACTATGTTAAATATTTAGAAATAGTTTTTTATTGTACTGGAATTAAACCTTAAAACCCTTTAGATTTAAAACTTTTATTAAATCATATTTATTAAGCAAAGCCTATTACTCACTAAACGATTACTTGAATGACGAGCGTACATGGCAATAGTTGTTCATGCACGGGTTTTTCATTTAATGTTACACATAGACACCTATATAAATATACATTGTAAATAAACTGGCTTTTAAAAAAAATATTCAATTGAGTTTCTTGCCAGTTCTTCTCAATTGGATCTATAAACTGAACTGGACGGTAGGGAAAAAAATAATATAAAAAATTTGACGTACATAAGCGGCTAAAATGTCCTAATTTAATAAATTATTTTTGAATTTTGAATCCCCTTCCCTTCAAGAGACTAGAGTAGATTCGTGGCTACCATGACGAGTTATAGCACGTTCACTAACGCCCGAAATTAATAACGTATCCACAATCCAAGATCGCTACCAATCTTAGTTTGATCCCTATCTCCAGATCGGTCTCCAATCTGCGTCCCAATATGACAACTCATATTTTTTTTGATACTCGATAGGCATCGATCCTTGGACCGACCGTTCCCTCTGATGGAGATATTCAGTAGATTACACATACAGCAGTAAATATAATTTATTCTCGTTCCGATCAGTTGCACGTTACATATAGAAAGAAGAAAGAAAGAAAAACATTTTATTCAGTGCAATGTAAAAAATACAATATAAACAACAAACGAAAAAAAGAGTAAATAAAATGTACATATAATTAAACTTAATTTTTTGTTAGATACAATATATAAATTGTTACTTAGCAACATGATTACTTATGTTAAGCGTGATGGATTACACTTTTTCTTCTAAAATCAATGTGCTTAATACGGTCCCTAAATCCATTACATTTAAGACACTCTACATCTCTACATTTAAATAACATACATAATATAAAATAATATACAGAAGAGTAAACAATAGAACAATAGTAGCAAAAAACATGTCACAAATTAAGTCTGTTAAAATACTAAACACTAATTATGGTTGGACCTATGCTCAGTGGATCATATACAGCAGCAAATATAATTTCTCGATCTGATTCAGTTGCACGTTACATATCAACTGTTACTTAGCAACATGATTGCTTATTTTAAATGTGATGGATTACACTTTTTCTTCTTAAATCAATATGCTTAATACCCTCCCGCTGATGTAGACACGCGGGAGCGTGTCAAAGCCGAGTTCAAGTAAGAGAACTGGCGAGCAGCACCGTGTGTAGTTTTACAAGAACCATTTGGAGCCACTTTTGACCCTCTCATAACTCAAAAACTCTTTCACGTAACCTGTCAAATTTGGTTCATATATTGAGACTTGCGAGATCTGTGCTACGCAAAATGTATACCGCAACTCACGTTTAACTATTTAAAATTTCGAAGTATAGAAATTGACTAGAAAATAATTATTGATTTATGGAGTACTGCCGAGGGCTGAGCTATCACGGCTCTTATCTAATCTAATCAGTGTGTATGGGTACTAAGTTCGATAAATATTATTATCAATTTTATCGTATCCATTTTGGATGATGATATCATGTTATACAATTTTTTTATATTACTTTATTTTTATATTTCTACTAGCTGTATATGCGACTTCAAATGCGTGGAATTTAACTTTATTTTTCTAATATAAAAGAAGCCTAAGTTACTCCTTATTACATCAGCTACCTGACAAAAAAAGTCCCATCAAAATTGGTCCAGGCATCGGAACAAACAGACAGAGAGACAGACAAAAATTGTAAAAAAAATTATTTTGTTATATGTACCGTATTTATATTCATATGCATGTAGTAAAAAACTGTTATTTCAATATTACAAACAGACACTTTCATTTTATTTATATGTATAGACATATAAATAAAATGAGAGTGAACTGACCCGGCAAATGATGTTTTGGCATATAAATTAATCGCTATTAAAAAATAGGTATTCATGGTGAAAATTGAAAATTTATGGTGAAGATTTAGGTCTGTATGTATTTTTTTATAGCCTACGTGTGTCATTCTGATGTATAAACTATATTAGTTTCATTAAAATCTATTCAATAGTTTTTGCGTGAAAGACTAACAAACACCCATCCATCCATACCGTAGCACACCGTTTACTTCCAATAGTCGCGGGTTCGATTCCTCGCACGGTACAAACATGTGAATACATGAGTATGATTGTTTGCATCAGTCTGAGTGTTTTCTATGTATATTATGTATGTATTTAGAAAAAAAAACTATGTATTTATATCAGTCGTCTAGTACCTATAACACAAGCTCGGCTTTGCTTGGGACTAGATGGCGCTATATGTATTGCTCAGGGAAGTATGTATTTGAAATAAAATATCGAATCGAGATATTTGAATTATATTTTTTAACAAGCTCTTCCCGCGGCTTCATTCGCGTTAATTTATCGCCTGAGGGGTGGAATTTATCAAAATCCTTTCTTAGGGGAGGCCTACGTCATAGTAGCTTTATACATGCAAAGCCTCAGCCAGATCGGTTTAATATTGACAAAGTTTCATACAAACTTTCATCCCTTATTTTATCCCCTTTCGGGTAGAATTAATCAAAATCCTTTCTTAGTGAATGCCTACGTCCTAACATCTACCTGCAGGCCAATTTTCAGCCCGATCCGTCCAGTGGTTTGGGCTGTGCGTTGATAGATCACTATGTCAGTCACCTTTGAGTTATATATATTTACATAATGAATATATTAATAAAAGGAAAACATAAGAATATGCTGACAATAAATGTAAATAAATGGTAAAAAAACTACGTTTCATCCATCATATAATTTTGAACCGTTTGTATGACGCGCATCCGGGCGCTCCACACCGGCGCCCCTGGTCACCTCCGATCGATCCCCCGTTCAATTCAAACGGGGATCGATATTACGACGGCCTGAGCCGAGGTTCGAACCCCTAGCAATGCCCTCAGACTAAAGTCGTATCCGTCAGACGGGTGTTGGCCTTCAGCTGCTCCATAAGTCCTGCACTCGCCCCCGGACGATATCCACTGAAGCTGTAAAGGCCAGCTGCGGCCAACAGCGTTAGAGTAGTCCGAAAAAAAAAACATTTGTATGGAAATACTCATTTTAGTTGTTAATTGATTTAGTAATTGTTTGTTTTTCTATGGTTTTTTATTTATTTTGTGTTTTTTATATTATGTATTTTAATTAATATATTTTGGTTTTCATTACAGATAAGGTATGCGTACCCCGGTCAGAATCATTGACTTGTCAAAATATTGCCAAAGATGACAGCGAAGTGGAGTGTGTTAGCATCGAATCCAGGTTAGTTAATTTCTTTTTTTTTTTTTTTAATATTTTGTCAACTAGTAAAATAATTATATTGTGATGACTTATTTATATAATCCACTATTATATAAATAATTCATCACAACTAACAAGCATTTAGTGGCAATATTTAACTAGTCGTACCTAAGTAAAAGGAGGAAACAATTTTTAAGTAAGAAACCTACATTTTGAAAATTCTGGGGAATATTATGGGGGAGGGCCCCATCACCCACGTGACGGTTGAATAAAATCTCACGACATCGCACCAGGGGGGAAGGGAGATACAGAGAATTTAAAAAAACACCTCACGTAATTTATGGACGCCCCCTTACATATTAACATAATAATTTTATGTATGTTGTGAATATATATTAACATATATAACTATTATTAATGTGTATTCCATTCTAGTTTAGTTTTAGTCTATTATTTATATATATATGTTATATATAAAATTCTCGTGTCACAGTTTTCGTTCCCATACTCCTCCGAAACGGCTTGACCGATTGTCATAAAATTTTGTGAGCGTATTGAATAGGTCTGAGAATCGGCCAACATCTATTTTTCATCCCCCTAAATGTTAGGGGTAGTGCACCCCGTGTACACCCAGTGTTTTTTTTTTTTAAGGCAAAACAACGTTTGCCGGAACAGCTAGTAATTTATATAATCTATGTTAAGCCACCATCGAGTATTTCTATACACTTCCCGAAGGTTGACTGGTGGAGCCTAAAGCATTAAGTTCGCCTTTAGTACCATATTTTATTAATCAATAAAGTTTTAAATATATAAATTAAATAATGAATTATATATTAAGATTTACGAATATATTTTTTAGTTATTAAAAGAAAGAAAGAAAAATATTTTATTCAGTGCAATATAAAAAATACAATATAAACAACAAACGAAAAAAAAAGAGCAAATAAAATGTACATATAATTAAACTTAATTTACCATAATTATAATTATTAATTGCATAACATTGTTATGCAAAAAGACAGTACAATGTATGTGCTGACTCAAGACAAATATATGCACAGATTATATCTATACATATCCAGACTAATTATAAAGAATTCTACCGTTATCATTTGATTATGACTTAATTAGTTTATTAAAATACAAATATTTGTAATTCTTATAATGTAATTTAGATGCATCATTTTTACATTAACGTGTGTATTTTGTGTATCTCGCTAACTACCGATTTATATTAGAAACTAGCTATTCCCGCGACTTCGTTCATTAATAAATTTAACATTATTTCTCTAAAATAAAAGTAGCTTAAGTTACTTCTTATTACATCATCTACCTGCCAAAAAAAGTCCCGTCAAAATCCGTCCAACCATTTCAGAGATTAGCCGGAACAGACAGACAGACAAAAATTGAAATAATATTATTTTAGTGTATGTACCGTATTTGTATTCATATGCATGTAGTAAAAAACGGTTATTTCAATATTAGAAATAGACACTCCAATTTTATTTATATGTATAGCTTACCAATAAGTAATGACTTTGATGTACTGTTTAGGTTAGACTGTGCGGTAAAGCTGGCCCGTGGTGAAGCCGACATCGGCTCATTCTCCGAGGAGGAACTCCTGGTGATAGCACAAGTACAACCAAGTGACGCTCAAGTGATAGCCACCATCAGAAGTTCACAGAAACAAGGTTTTTATTATTTCTTTATTCATTTAGAGATTTTTCTCCATTTTTGGTACATCAGCTCCGTCGTACCTTAATCTTTAATACAAACAAAAATCACTCATTTAATTATCAAAATAAAAAGAGAATATGTACAGAATATACATCGATAACACACAGATTGTCAATCATACTCATAAATATAAATGTTTGTACCATTCGAGGAATCGAACCCGCGACCGTCTCAGAGCACTGCGGCTGTCTCATGAGCAAAATACTAATGTTTTTTTATCTTAATTTTTCAGACGTACCGTACGCATTCGAGGCTGTAGCAATTGTGCCAAATAACCATAGCGGAGGACTGGAAGGTCTCAGAGGCGGTAGATACTGCCACCCAGGACTTGATTCGCCAGATCTCAGATGGTCTCCAAGAGTACTGAAGGCATTGGAACTTAGTGTAAGTTATATCACTATAGGAGTATGTATTGCAAGAAGAATAAGAACCTCATATATTTTATTAGCAATCAGTTACAATACTAATAATTGCTAAGATGATTTGTAAGGCGCTTATCAGAATGTTTAATTCTTTGCACAAAATCTTATTAATATTATAATCTCGAAAGTTTGTGAGTATGGATGGGTAGATGGAGGGATTGTTACTCTTTCACGCAAATACTACTGAACGTATCTTGATGAAACTTTACAGTAATATAGCTTATATATCAGAATAACAGTCTATAATTTAAAAAGATATGTAAAGAGCATGTAATGATAATATAAAGCCCCGCTTCTTACTTTGTAAGATGTATTTTGATTGAAGGAGATATACATATATATATATGAAAAATATAATACTAATAAAGGCAGATATTTAATGTTATTGCAAATAGACGAAGGAAAATGTATGAAATATATGAAAGATATTATTAAGGGAAAAATAGAAGGAAAGAGGAGAGGAAGACCAAAGCACAGCTACATCAAGCAAATTAAAGATGTACCTCCATCGACAAGAGCTCTTAAATTATGAATGAATGAATGAGTAAATATAAACTTTTTTTTATTTATTTAATTCAGGATTAGTATCCTGAATTAAACAAATAAAATAAAAATTTGGCCCATGTTATAAATACCTTACAGACTATCATATGAATGGTATTGAAATTAAAATAAATATAAATGGTCTCTGTGGTCATGGCACTGACAATGGTAACCTGCCACGGTAGCGCCAATGCACCACCAACTTTGGCCAGTAGTCCTCCTTCAAGAAGGTGGCGAGCATGTTGGTGGGACTCTGGCCACAAACGACTTGAAACTCGCGCTGTGACTCGCCTCCAGCTGCATCGCCTTCAGTCAGGTTACTCCTGGTCCGCATGTAGACAATGTCCTGATCCTTGGTGTCGTAGTGTATAATATTCATTTTTAAATTCAAATTTGGGAGCATAGAGTGACCACCAGTATATGCTATTGCAAAAAGTCTAAATAGTGTTCGTAACCCGATCAGACCAGTCCCTACAAGCAGCACCTGTCCGAGTATAACGGATAAGCCAGCCATCATTGTATTCAACCATATTAGAGGGAGCACATTGACCATTGGCCCGGCCCACCACGCCGCCATAAGTTTGAACTTTATCTGCCTCTTCTTCTCTATATATCAAGCTGATAATATATTTTGTTATACAGGCTGCACGCAGCGATCGCTGTCCCGGTGCAAATACGGATTTTAAAACCGCTGAAGAATTAGAAATTGAGGAGTTGAATAACTTCTTCTCTGCCGCCTGCAGGCCTGGACCCTGGAGTTACAACGCCACAGTCGACGCTGATCTGAGTGAGTGAAATGTCTTACTATTATACTGGACAGACTCGGTGGTATAGCTTAGCTCGCCTTACTTACGATGGTCGCGAGTTCGATACCTCGCACGGTACAAACATTTGTATTCAGTATGATTGTTTGTGTCCGTCTGGGTGTTTTCTATGTATAATATGTATGTATTTATTAAATATATATATATATATCTATGTATTTGTATCAGTTGTCTAGTACCCATAATACAAGCTTTAGCTATCTTAACTTGGGTCTAGATGGCGCTGTGTGAATTGTCCTGAGATTATTATTTGTATTATACTCGTGCTCTTTGTATAAATGGTGTTAAGTCCGCCATATGCACATGTTTTTTTTTGTATTTGTGCAATAAATTTTAATAAATAAATAAATGTTTGATAATTTGTTTAAAAGTTAGAACATTATTAATCACTGTTTTTATTTTATTTGTGACCAGAAAGTCGATTCCCGTCTCTATGCTCAATGTGCGAAGGTGGTACTTGCAATGGATACGCTAGGTCCGCTGTCCAAATAGCGGGCGGTAATACCAATAACAGACATATCCAATCTCTCAACTGTTTGGTCACAAACGGTACAGTCGCATTCGTCGCCTGGCAACACGTTCAAGAATTCTTCCGCGTGAGTATACTACTTTTAGCTCATCTATACATATAAATAAAATTGGAGTGTCTGTTTGTAACATTGAAATAACTGTTTTACTACATGCATACCAATATAAATACGGTATATTCACCAAAATAACATTTTTTACAATTTTTGTCTGTCTGTCTGTTTGTTCAGGCTAATCTCTGAAATGGCTGGACCGATTTTGACGGGACTTTTATTGGCAGATAGTTGATGTAATAAAGAGTAGGCTACTTTTATTTTAGAAAAATAAAGTTAAATTCCACGCGGACGATGTCGCGGGTACAGCTAGTTTTTTATAAGATACTAGCAGACCCGTCCACATCGGTTCACTAGATTAGGAGTCCATCGCGGACAAATAACGTGACACGTAATTTTTATATATAAAGACTAGCCGAAAATCTGGCTAACGTTGTTTTGATATATAAATTAATATTGGTAATGAAATTTATTTATTTGCGTATTATACAGTTAGATATTCGGTAATATGTCCAGGTAATAATATTATTGGCAACTGTTTAATTGCCCCAATTTACGGGCATGCAAATTTTGGGTATATTAAAATGGAATAATCTATAATATTATAATTTAAAATTAATGTCATATGTACCATTCTAATTATATAGTAATAAAAAAAAAGTCAACAATCATCAGATAAATATTCTTTGATGTCATAAAAACACTTGTCCAGTAACCAGTAATATAATCGATTTTTTAATTTATTTAAGGGCATTTTCCTCAAGTCCGGTGGTAATTTATTAAAAATTTTTTGTGCCACAAATCATACATTCCTTTGGTAAAGCGTCAAATTGCTCTTTGGTACCAATATTTTATTTCTTCTCTGTGATCTGAGACAGTCTTATCTGATCATGTGTGTTAAACAAGTTTGGATGTTGTTTCACAAACGTGCAGATATCAAGTATATACATACAAGGCAACGGAAGAATACCAAGTTTCTTAAATAGTATTAAAAAATAGCATAAGCGGCTAGAATGTTCTACATGAATAAATGATTTTTGATTTGATGAATTTTACACGGTCGGTATTTACACGGTCCCTTCCGATTTATATCAAGGTTATACTGTAATAACATAAACAATGTACCAGTTATTCTCGACCGAAGTAGCTAGCCGAAGAAAAATATCCCTAGAAAAATGAAATAATTTTTGACTATGACTTTTAAATTTGTAATTTCCTTGTATTTATTTCTTTAACAGATAAGCAACCCTCAACATTTGTCGCTGTATTCTGTGCTGTGCTCCAATGGTTCATTACAGCAACTGTCAGCTGAAATTATAGATCAGTCGGTCTCCCCTTGTGCCATTATACGCCAACCATGGAGGACCATCCTCGCTTCGAAGTAAGTGTTCGTGGTTTTGTAGCAACGGGAATGATGCTTGTAAACCGTCTTTTTTCAGTCAATTTTCAGTGTTTTATCGTAGTTGCCTTTACACCATTAAAAAAAATATATTGTCAAAAAAAAAAACATTAACAAGTTGCTTCTTAAGTTAGGTTTAAGTTTAGTTTAATCTCATTAATGTTATAAACGCGGAAGTTTGTGCGTATAGATGGATGTTTGTTACTCTTTCACGTAAAAACTACTGAACGGATTTATGAATGTTTGCAGTAATATAGCTTATACAGAAAAACAATAATGGGGCCATAATTTAGAAACGTATTTTAAAAATTATTACGTAAATTGGGCGAAATATTTTTTTTTTTTTTCTCTTTATTTTGGCAACAAACAGTCGTTATAAAAACATATAAATATACAAATAAAAGTAATTTTTACTATAGACATTGAGTGCCGAAAATTTTTTTGTTAATTTTATTTTTAGTGAGCCTAGTGGACTAAAATAAAAACAAAACAATACAAATACGAAGAAAATTAATAAGAAAAATGAGTATGAATAAGAAATAAGAGTATTACAATACAAACATTATAATAATTATAATAACAAAAATAAAAATAAAAAGGGGGTTACTTTAGTATTTCGAAAAGTTTCTTAACTATAAAATATATTGATAAATATTAAGTAAGTGTGCAGAGAAAGGTGTAAGGTAAGGTAAGTTAGTGTAAGGTAGTTGTAAATATTGGTATCAAGTCACATCCCACGCTTAAGTAAGTTTTTTCGTAAACGGTCCTAAGATCTTCATAATCCTGTTACCTAGGGGTTGTTGTCCTGGAGTTGATGCCGGGTCAAAAAGGGTTTCGCCCCTCAGCCCCTATTTCACCATCCCAGGGGGATGCAGATGAGCAGTATCAGCTGCATAGCTACTTTTACATAAATGTGAACTCGTTCAAGTACAAATAAGCTTTTACGCAGGAAAGAATGAGCATGTAAATGTAGGCAAAGAGAATGAGATCGATAGCACGTGGCCGATTTAGTTAATTGTAAGAAATTAATTTTGAAAATTTTACCTCACTGAACTCATTTTTAGCAGTTGTTTTTTTATTAACTGATTTATTCCAGCTCCAATGCTGCAGCAATCAGAGAAAGGCTCCAGGCTCTTTGGCCTGCAGGTGCGGACCCAGCTGGCAACAGTTGGCAGTCAGCTCTTTACCAAACCCTCGTCGGTGGATCTGAGTTCACGGTCACCTTCGAAGAGACTTTGAACACGCCTGCAAACTACACATCAGAGAGTAAGTTGCTCGACGTACTGAACGTGCGATTTTAATGGATTTCTTTTTAAGTTACCACCTTTTTCTTTTAAAAAATAACGAGCGAAATGTGGGCGTGACTTTTTTTCTAGCATAGGGTACAAACGAGTTTGCGGTTCATCTGATGGTAAGTGATTACCGCCGCCCATGGGCACTCGCAACACCAAGAAAATTTCAAATGCATTGCCGGGCTTTTAGGATGGAATAAGCTCTTTTCTTGAAGGTTTCAATGTCGTATCGATTCGGAAATATCATTGCTAGCAGATGATTTCGCAATGTGGTTGTGCGTGGCAAAAAGTTTCTAGAAAACTCGCCATTCATCCAAATGATCAGGATAGTATGTCTGTTAAGGAAAATACTCTCTGCTACCAAAATGTTAGGGAAAATACTATGTATATATATAGGGAAAAATATGTGGAAGCGTCAGTCACGTACCTGTATGGTTCTGCGGATTTCTTGGGCTTCCGGGTCTCGAAGATATCTTCGCTAGCTTTCCAGTTTCACAGTAGGTTTAACACAGTTCTAATTTATTTTAATTCACAACAAAATGCGCGCGCGCGTCATTGCCGCTGTACGGTCAGTTCAGTACTGGGTAAGGGAGGGGAAGGCAAAGCGCGGGAACAGAAGCTAACGGACTCTAATATAATACTGTGCTTAAGATGATACAGGGTAGATTTTGAACAATGTCTAATGTTGAGTAGACCACAACATCGACAGTTGACTATCCTTGCTTGTTGCCTCGCAGTACAATTATGAAAATATTACGTATACAAGGAAAAATATAGAAAGTTTCAAAAAACATGTAGAGACTGTACATGTAAAAACGTACGCAGTAAAAATAAGCAAATTTACCTGCCTTTAAATATCGTCTACACAAAGTTAGTAATTCATTCTATGGTAATTGCGTAAGATTTTATAATAAACTGCCAGAATCTGCTCTAAATCTGACAGAGAGGCAATTCAAATTTTATATTAAACAAATGTTATGTAAAAAAACCTATTATATGATAGATGAATTTATAGATGATAACAATATCTAGCAAGAATAAGTTTATTTGCGGACAAGGTTATAATTTCTTTTTCATACTGCTTTCTTGATATATGATAGCGTTATGATGTATTAAACAATTTTTGTGCAAGAAAGACTATTATAGGATAGATGAATTCATAGATGGCAGTAACATCTAGCAAAAATAAGTTTATTTGTAGACAACGTTATAAATTATTTTTCTTGAAATATGATAGCGTGGCGGCTTTGTATTGATTGTCGTATGCATTGTTATGAAAGTGCAAATAGTATAACTACCATATGGTAATTTTTAGTAGTTATGACGGGGTCGAGTGGATTGAGTAGTCATGCTCACTAAAATGTCCAGACATGTGGCGGCGTTATGGGCCGGGCCATTGGGCTCCCTAAAATATGGTTGAGCGCAGTGATGGCTGGCTCATACGTCATACAGTGCTGCTTGTAGGGACTGGACTGTTCTAATAACTACGACTGTTTTAAACCTATAGTGTACTTAATATGAAGTTAATAAATTAGTGCTAGTTGGTAGTTTGTATTCGCACTATTCGAATTGGAAATGTAAAGTTACAATGATTATTTAAAAGAGCAACACGCAAGTTTGTTGCTCGTTCTTCTTGTGATGAGGCAACTTTCCGAATGAGCGGTAGATTAAAAGAATGATAACTATTCGAAAGTGCTTAAATAAAGTTTATTTGAATACGTGATTTTCTATTCTATTCTATTCCATTCCTGTTTTAAGTTTTGTTGGTCTTCATTCCTCAGGTCTTGGGTGAGGGGATTTTATTTATGGATGATAATGGTGTAGTGCATCCGCCTGATATAGTTTGGTTCGCCCCCAAAGATAAGCATTATCTGAAAAAAACGTATCACAGCATAAAAAAATCTATTGATACTATTATTATGGTGACAAACAGTCATTCGAATCATTTAATTATAAACGGTAGTCAGCCTTAAAACACGGGAAGTGTCACGTGCGATTTGCCGATCCGTAAGAAACCTTAATACCTTTCTTGAAAAACCCCATAGACTCTTGGGAAAGTCTCGGTAGGTAGTCCATCCCACAATCTAAGTGTACGTGAAAGGAAGATCCCTTGAAACCGCACTGTCCGACATCACTTAAATACCAGCCAGTAGGGATGAATTCTCTGTGCGATAGTAAAGGTAGCCGTAGTCATTATAATAGACACCCATAGTCCTGTGAGAATGATGTCTTTAATCGATACATATGTCTGTAGTTCGTCCAATCGACATCGCCACTTCGCCTGCCTGCTTCTCTCCCCGGCGCTGGTGCACCACCTCCGTGGCTGAACAGGCCAAGTGCTTATGGACAGCCTCTGCAGCTTACACCCTGGGGATCCAGCCCCTTATAACTTGCGAAAGGAGGAGTGACGTCTTCGATTGCTTGAGCGACATCAAAGACGGCAAAGCGGATTTCTTCGCAGTGGACTCTCACTACGGTTTCCTTGCCAGACAGTAAGTAATGTGTTCTCGTAATCATCATTATGTAATAGTAATTAAAACACTAAAAAGTGGCGTAACTAATACTAATAATACCTCAGTTACAAATTCCTTAGATGACACCCGTCCATTGTCTAAAAAAGAATTATTAGTAGTTTTTAAAATTTACTCTAAATAAATACTTTTAATAAATAATTACTATAATTATGTAATAAATGTTAGATTTCTTCTATTCTCAAGTTCATCCCATACTCACACCCACATATTCTCTCACTGTCACACTTTGTTTAATTTTACTGCCCTTAAAGTCAACACATGCAGTGTTGGAAGGCGTGTCTGTAATATTGTTCTGATATAGTATAAGTACATTGCTAGCAATAGGGACAGTAATAAATAATAAGGCAAGAACCTTGTTGACGTGCTTATGCACTGGAATCTCGCGGAAATCATATACATGTATCTAATTCTTCATACAGGCACTACAGTCTCTCTCCCGTGAAGTTGGTTCAGAACACACGAGTTGACGCTTCAAGAGTGGCAGCCTTCGTGAAGGAAAGCTCGGCGCAAGCAAACATCACACGCTTTGAGAATTTACGCGACAAAGTTGCCTGTTTCCCGGAGTTTGGTGGCATTGGTAAGCAAAAACATCATCTTCATGTTACAATTTATTTTTGTGTTGTGAACTATGAAAAGCATCTGATTAAGTTGATCAGAAAAATCTTTCACACAAATTTGAATGTACCGAAATTATAGTATTAGAAATGAATGTTGTTTTAAAAGTGAAATGCAAATTGTTAAAAAAAAAAGGTTGTGAATTTGTAGGATTCAGCATTAAAACGGGTGTTCCTCAAGGATCTGTATTAGGTTTTTTATGTATAGTATTATTTAATTTCACATATTTAATACGTTGAAGACCACATTGAAAAATCTTATTTCTCACATAGCGGCCGGCATTTTTTTTATTGTTAATTACGTATATTATTTTTTAAATATGTTTTTAGTGTACCATAATCTGAGGTAGAGATACCCTCCCTACATTTATTTCAAAAAAGTGCCCATTAGTGATCACCCGGTCCCAACATGTAAATTTACTTTCATTGCGGAGTGACCCACCGGTAGGCTATCCATATAAATAAAATTAGAGTGTCTGTTTGTAATATTGAATTAACCATCTTTTACTACATGCATATGAATATAATGCGGTACATACATCAAAATAACATTTTTTACAATTTTTGTCTGTCTTGCTGTCTGTTTGTTCTGGCTAATCTCTGAAATGGCTGGACCGATTTTGACGGGACTTATTTTGGCAAGTAGCTGATGTAATAAAGAGAAACTTAGACTACTTTTACTTCAGAAAAATAAAGTTAAAATCCACGCCGACGAAGTCGTGGGTACAGCTAGTTAGCAATAAAAAAATGCCTATGTGAGAAATAAGTTTTCTTAAAGCGGTCTTCAACGTGTTAATGTAAGTTATTTTGTTTAGCTTATGTATCGTTCGTGAGGACCGCACATGAGCGTCAAGTGATAAGTGCGAGCGAGTGTGACTACGCGCGCGCTGTCGGCGAATTCTTCTCCGGCGCGTGCGCACCCGGAGCCACCGACGCCGCGCACGCCCTCTATGAGGACTCAGTGAGTATCATTTATAAATTCTTCTCCTTCTTCTTAGCACTGCTTTGATCTGTCTATTCTCCCTAATTTGAATTTAAAAATGAATAGAGAGGAGGGGAGGATATCCGTTGCGCCGGTTATATGTTCAACTATCTATTTAACTATCTATCTAACTACCGCACGCAGAGGCAAAACATAGGCAAAAACGTTAGTTTTATAATTTTAGTTGAGGCATGGAACACGTCCGTTAATGTTTATGGATGTTTTGTTATATGTTAAAATTATGAGAGTTATATAATTTGTGATTGATGTCTATGGTTAGATACCACTGGAGAACAATGGTTGATTATAAATAGAATATAATAGATACTGTAACTGAAAGATGAGTAATAAATAAATAACCAACCAACCAATATGTTTCATTACATATATATAAATCTAAATATATATAACTCAAAGGTGACTGACATAGTGATCTATCAACGCACAGCCCAAACCAATGGACGGATCGTCCTGAAATTTGGCATGCAGGTAGATGTTATGACGTAGGCATCCGCTAAGAAAGGATTTTGATTAATTCTACCCCCAAGGGGATTAAATATGGGATGAAAGTTTATATGAAACTTTGTCAATTTTAAACCGATTTGGCTGAGACTTTGCATGCATAAATCTACCATGACGTAGGCACCCCTAAGAAAGGATTTCGATAAATTCCACCCCTAAGGAGATAAATTAACGCGAGCGAAGCCACGGGCAAAAGCTAGTAACGAATATGGATCAATAGGAAAAAAGAATATCTGTGAATTGAAATTAAACAAATAAAATGTTATTTTTCTTTCAGAGTTTCAACGCATCGGTATTGTGCAGTGCCTGCAAATCTCGCAACACAAATATCACCAGCGGATCAGACTGTAAGACATTTTTCAATATATTATTCGGTCTCGGTGGTCTAGCGGTTTAGCATTCCACTTTCTGATGGTCGCAGGTTCGATTCCTTGCACGGTACAAGATTTTTATTCATGAGTATGATCGTTTGTATTGGTCTGTGTTTTCTATGTATAATATGTAAAAAATGTAGATATGTATTTATGTTTTATTTAGTATCCATAACACAAGCTTTAGCTAGCTTGAGTTGGAACTAGATGGCGCTGTGAGAATTGTCTTGAGAAAAAAAGTTACGTTAATCGTCCGAAACGGCTTGTCCGATTTTTATGAAATTTTATATGCATATTCAGTAGATCAGAAAATGTCGACTACTATCTATTTTTTATTCCTCTAAGTGATAAGGGTTGCCCACGCCTAACGTTTATTTTTTGGACAACTTACTTTTAATTTTTTTTGTGTTATTAAAAATTGATACAACCTCAAATACAATCAACATCAACCCCTATTTTTTAATAGCGATTTTAATTGATTAACTGTCAACTAGTTATATATAAAATTCTCGTGTCACAATGTTAGTTACCATACTCCTCCGAAGCGGCTTGATCAAGTTTATGAAATTTTATATGCATAAGGGACCCCTAAGAGATAAGGGTTGTCCACCCCTAATTTTTTTTATTTTTTGGTCAAGTTTTTATAATGTGGCGTTAAAAAATCCATACAACCTAAAATTGTCACGCTTCTATCATCAACCTCTATTAATTTTTAATAGCGATTTGAATTTATATGGCAAAACAACATTTGCGGGGTCAGCTAGTATATATATATATATATATATATATATATATATTTGAAATCCCACATATATCTCTGTTTGCTCTATAGTCTGCCATATGCAACTATATTTGTGTATTAAAGTTTTAATATATAAATAATTAGTGTTGTATAATTAAATTTTAATTACAGTTACATGTGCATGGGACTACTCCAACTTGTATTACGGTAACAACGGAAGCCTGTCCTGTCTCGCCGACCCCGCCACTGACGTTGTCTTCGTGGAGACGCAAAATATTGCTGGTGAGTTTTTTTCAGGACTACTCTAATGCTGTTAGCCGCAGCTTTAGAGCTTCACAGGAATATAGGGTGAGTGTAGATGGCACTCCAAACCCGCGGAAGGACTTATGGAGCAGCTGAAGGCCAGCTCCCGCCGGACGGATACGACTTTAGTCTGAGGACACCGCTAAGGCTTCGAATCTTGGGTCATGCGGTCGTAATTTTGAACCCCGTTTTTTTTTTTGAGCTTGAGCATTATTTTGAACTTTTGAGCATCTCTTTAGCGAATGTCCCATTTTAGCTAAGCTCGGCACAATAACAAAAACTTACCGAATATTTGGACTCTGCTCTGCTCTGCCCTATATGATCTCATCGCTCTCAAAAAAGCTAGAAATTAGTCCTTATAATGTATTTATTTTTTGTAGTTATGTGTAAATTTCGTGAAAATCTCGTCAAAGTAGTGTCAATAATCTGTGTCTTTTAAATAGTAGTTTGTGTGAGTCTGACAAACAGATGCGAAGCATACCTTCGCGGACTCGCCCTGCATTGGAAAGAAGCGACCTTCTTTCCATCGTGGAACACGTCATTCGCGGCAGGGTGATACTAACTCCCCTCCACGCCACATAATTCCCCCAGCCGGTTATATCACATTAGCCGGCCTCGCCAATTAACGGCTTAAAAGAACGACGCTGGGGTGTTTTATCCCAGCAAAATCCTTGGACAAGCAAGCCCGAGGCCCGAACCCTGTGGTCCATAAGGGCCTGCGGAAGAACCAGAATTTCCATAAGTGTGTAGTGCAGCCCACATATAAAATATTCAATTGTATAATTCTATTTTCAGCACAAATGACGCAGTTGCAGTTAAACCCCGAAAATTACAGAGCGTTATGTCGCAATAACACGCTAGCGGCGAGTACCGGAGTTAATATTGATGATGGATGTCTCCTCGCTTATATCGTAGATGCCGAAGTTCTAACCAGAAGGTGAGTGTCTAATTTATGTCCTTTTATTACAAATCGTCGGAATGGTGAGGTCGCTCTGAAGCATGTGACGAAGGCTTCTGCGTTTTGGGTGGAGCTTGGCTGGGTACCTTAGTAGTCTCGGCTCTACAGAACGGTCCAGATGAGAGGCCAAATGCGGAGAATATAGTCCAATTCTCATTTACATCCTTTTATATATATAGGACAAATTATAAAGTCCAGCTATTATCTCGGATTTTTTTAATGGATAATAGAATGGTGCACCCGTTTAAGCTGACGATAACGCAGGCGGGGCTCCAATGGAGGGTGATAAATCATCGTGACATATTCCCCAGGAATTTATCACGATGATTTCTAGGGGGAACCGCGCGGAGGTCATCTTGACGTGCAATTGCTAGCAATGGGTATTATTCCACATTACTAACTCCCTTTCCCCCGGGCTTGGGACTACTTCTTCTTAATTCGCCGACCCTTGCATCCTCGGCCACGCACTCATACGCAATCGAGGTAGACTGTAACCAGGTTAACGTTTATTCTCTTACAATTTCCAGGAACGATCCCATAGCCAACAGCTTGAATACTCTCCTCGACAGTCTGGATGTTTTCTTCGGGTACAACCCAAGTACACAGCTGGTTAATCTGCACCTCTACTCGCCGTTCGATACCGTCAACGATCTTCTGTTCAAGGATACCACTATAGGTATCACGGAAGCCAGCAGCGAAGTGATGCACGAACCTGCCAGGAATTATATCGAGCTCTTCAGACACTTGGAGTCATGTACTGGCGCAGCAGTACCTATACCCTCGCCAGGGCTGGCAGCGCGCACCATATTCTCATTTGTAACTGTATTCGTTACACTTGTCATTTCTCGTGCCTTTTTGTAATTTAGGTGATTAATTGTATGGGAGTCAGGGTTGTCGAGTTGGAAGCCGCCGTTTCGTGCGGAGAACTCTATCGTCTAGGCTAGTGTTTTTCAAATTTGGTAGCGACTCCTGGGGTTTATGAATCCTTACTAAGGAAGGTCTAGAAACCTTGTTATGGAGGCCCAAAAACATACTAAGGGAACCTTACTCATTTTTAGGGTGGGATATAGAAGTATTTTTCTACATTACTACAAAAAATAAAATTTAGAAAAAACATACTAAAGGTATCCAAAAATCTTACTGGAGTTCCTAAAATATATTTTTTTTAATTTTAAAAATTTTGGCTACGCGTAGTTTCTTTACGCTGAAAATCAGTTGAAGTTACTCTACTCGCTAAGGGATTTCGTATTCGAATAGATTGAAAAACACTAAACTAGATTAGTGATGTGCCGACTCGTTATGTATGTCCGTGGATATGGATACGGACCATTAGTGTCCCCATATTGGATCCGATGTGTGGATGATCTATGATGGATAGTTTATTTAATGTTATTTAAGGCATTTCATTTTAGAAAATACATGTTATTTTTAACACAATCATTATAAATATAAATATATATATAGATAACATACATTATTAGTCTTTAATTAAAACCCACCAAAGTGACAGATATGGGATACGCATAGTTTCTCGGATATCCGCGGATACGGATACTATCTGGCACATCACTAGTGTAGATTAGACGGTATCTAAAGCTAGACATACCTGTATTACAGGATTTTCGTATGATAAATGTAGTTTATTTTAGTAGTAAATATTTTAATTATTTTTTTATGTGCACAAAATTTGTTGTAAAGGATGCCTCAAGCCTAAAGCTTTGACTCATGAAACTGAAACGCTTTCATCACGAAATAAAGTTGAAATTTGAATAGAAGTATATATATTATTGTCATATAATTACTTAAACGAGCAGTTTGTATGAGTTTTAATTATGTTCAACTATCAATTTTTTTTTTATTATTTCTAAATAGTCGCCTAAGGAATTTTCAGTCCAACCTTAATGAAGCGTAAACGGTGTTGCCAGTATACTTTTTATACAAATCTTTGTAGGTTAAGGCTGGATTTTTTGTTACTTCATGAAGGTTGTCAACTAGATTAGGTTGTACACTAGTGTGAACCAGGGTTGATAATTTATTTGAGCGTAACATTCCGATAAGAATGGAACATTATGTATTTATTTATATATTTATGTATGTATGTATGCTATTATTATTAGAATTTTTTTATAGAAATTTATATTAAAATATTTTGCTTTATATCTTATTGACATTTCTCATTTATATTAGTGCACCGCCAACAATCTTTCTCTGCACCACTCATGGTTGACTGGTAGACAACGCCGCATGGTATTAAGTACGCCATATGTACACATTGTTTTTGTGCATTAAAGTTAAATAAATAAAATATTCCATTTCTCCTATAAAATCGGGACACCCCGAAAACATTTGGCAACACTTGTTCTTATCAAATTACTGGAGAATGTTATTTTATATAAAACCAATATTATTGCTTTCAACATTTGACGTTGATTTTTATATACGATTGAAATTTATATGTATGAGAATTATATAAAAAAAAACATGTAAATTTGCGACTTATTTTTAATAAACCTTCATTTTATACATACCTCTTGTTTTTATTAATACTAGCCTGATCCCGTGGTGCTGCTTTGTGTGTCTGTTGGTTTAGGCGAGAGAATGTTTAATCTATTCGTCGGCCCCGGTAGTCTAGCTGTTTAGTACACAGTTTTACTTCCAATGGTCGCGGGTTAAATTCCTCAAACATTTGTTTTCATGAGTATGATTCTTTGTATTGGTTTGGGTGTTTTTCTATGTATACAAACGTAAGTATGTATTTATAAAAAAAAATCTAAATATTTCTATCAGTTGTCTAATACCCATTACAAGCTGTGCTTACTGTGAGACTAGTTGGCGCTGTGTTAATTGTCCAGGGTTATTTATTTATTTTACTAATATTATAAACACGGAAGTTGTGAGTATGGACAGAAGAATGTATGTATGTTACTCTTTCACGCCAATACTACTAAATCGATTTTAATGAAATTTTACAGTAATACAGCTTTATACATCAGAATAACACTGGTTATAAAATTCACGCAGGAGAAACTGCGGCCACAGCTAGTATAAGCGAGTTTAACACTTAAAATGAATCATCAGAATGATGTTTAAATAAGGAATGCATCATTTATATAATAAGTTTACTAACAAAATTTATTAAATACGACTAAAGTATTTACAAATCTTAAATTCTAATAGCCTACATCAATTGCTTTATAAAATGGATATGGGAGAACGTTTCAGCATCAGTGTTGCCATCGTTTTTAAAAAAAAATCATACATTCAAACCTGATTCTCATATGAAAGAAAAACATTTTTCTATATATAACATCAAAATAGACGAACATAATTTACAAATTTGCAACACTAATATGCACATTCTGGCTATTTGATAGTGGCAACATTTCATTTCTCTTCCAATTAAATAAGGGCAGTAAATAGTTCTGCATTTAATTTATTATCTACAATAGGTTTTCTCATATCTTGGAATCGGCTCGAAGGACCAATTTTTGTATGGTCCTTCACGCCGGATGATTATTCAGATGTATTGAAATATTATAACAGTATCCAATTATTGTTTGTCACTTATTGGTCTCCGACTGTTATGTGCGGTATTTTGCTTTTTAGAACCGTATATTTCAGTGTCCAGTGAGCACAGTTGTCTGTGGTTTTCATGAAATGTAGAGTATTTAAATAAATATCAGTATTATTTCTAGTCCATTCATTCAATTTCTCTAAATAAACACTCTTTTGAGTAATTATACGATCATGGTTACCTTTAATTAAATTGCCAATAATTTATGGAGACCATGTGTTATGGTGTGTTTTAATGCATTACCCAATTCTCAGTTGACAATTTAACTCTTTCTTACTGTTATTATTTACTTTCGCCAGCAGTTAACGTCGACTCAACTGATTTCACTGGTTCAGTGGGTTTCCTTATTACCTTACACCAGGTTATGGATTCAATCCCAGTATAATAAAAAATTGTATAATATTCATGAGCATATGGTCGAGTGTAATGATGGCTGGCTTATCCGTCATACTCGCGAATGGGTGCTGTTTGTGAAGACTGATCTGTTCTGGTTAATGATAAAACTATTTCGTTTGACAAAATTGCAATAGCATATACTGGTGGTCACTTTGTTCTCTCTAATTTGAATTCAACAATGAATCTGCATTTTTGTAAACATGTACAAGCAAGCACATTTGAAAAAGAATAAGGGTTGAGTTTCTTGTCAGTTCATCTTAGCTCGTATGCTCTCTGAACTAACGGTTGTTTTTGACATCATAAGAGTCTGTATAAGACCTTTATGAATAAAGATTTTTAGATTTGATCAGATTTGTATATTACTTTTGTATTTTAGAAAAACATACAAACTTTCCTTATATTTGGACTAGATGGCGCTGTCACTCCAAGATTACGTACGCATCATTGATATGGGTACATGAGTTTTTTGTCACTATATAGCGACTACAGATCTATCACTCGGTGGTTGACCATTGGCGTTAGTCTTTTATACGTATATTATTTTTGTATTTCAGAAAAATATACAAGCTCTGCTTAGATTGCGTTGTCAATCCAAGATTATGTACTTATTCGTGTATGTATCACTCGAATGTTGACCATTAAAGTTGGGTTCCACCAAATTAGATGATATAGATGTTGGGTAGTCGTACCACGGGTCTTCTGATGGTATGACTATAGATGTGTTACTTGGTGGTTGACCATTGGTGTTGGTTACCATCAAAGTAGATGATATAGGTCTTGGGCAGTCGTACCATGGGTCTACTGGTGTAGGGCGTGATGAGGGGTGAGTACGGCTCCGCCGGCCGGCAGTACCGAGGTGATGACGGGTGCACCGCCCACGGACGCCACACTGCCCACAGACCCCACCGAACCCACAGATCCTACGCTGCCACCGCAGAATATCACCTGCAATTATACATATTCACATCAATAATACCATAACAATATCCTACTGACCTCATTACTAGAAATGTGACAGGTTGACCCCCACGCGATTTCCCTTGGAAACCATCGTGATAAATTTCTCGTGAATTCGTCACGATGAGCTAACTGACCCGAGCTCATGTTCATCTTATCATCCTCCACTGGTGCCCCGATAGCGTAGGCGGTTCCATTAGAAAAATATATTCCTGGACAAGTTCAACAATTAACATAAGTTTTGCTTAACTAGTAACTGCCACATCTACTCCCAAGTAGATGGGGCAGTTACTATTATTATTATATAAACTTAATATGGTCAATAGAGGGAAGAAGATTGTTAGTAATCTGAACTCATAACCTATTACTAGCAATGTACCATGTCAGGTTGACCTCCACGCGGTTTCCCCTGGAAACCATCGTGATAAATTCCTCGTGAATTTGTCACGATGGGCTAACTGACCTGACCTTATGTTCATCTTATCATCCTTCACTGGTGCCCCGCCAGCGTAAACCGTTAGCGCAGGCGGCTGCACCATTCCATTATCATCAATAAAAAAAAATGGTCAATACAAAAAAACCTTGGACGACAGAGTGGGGGGAATCGCTAGGGATTTTTCAGCTCTTATTTTTGCAGATTATTTCTGCTAATTTCTGCAATTTTGCCAAGCTTAAGAGGAAACGCCACTACACCTATGTGGTTGCAGCCCTCATGCATAAACGAAATATCTCCTTTGGAAAGTATACAGTTTATCCTGAGGAGATTAAAACCATCGCTCCTAAGAATACACCGACCTCGGTGGTCTAGCGGTCAAGCACACCGCTTTACGGCCGATGGTCGCGGGTTCGATTCCTCGCACGGCACAAACATTTGTACTCATGAGTATGATTGTTTTTATCGGTCTGGGTGTTTTCTATGTATAATATGTATGTATTTACAAAAAAAAAATTTCTATGTATATGTATCAGTTATCTAGTACCCATAACACAAGCTCTAGATACCTTAACTTGGGTCTAGATGGCTCTGAATTGTCCTGAGATAAATAATATTCTTCAATTATTGTCCCTGACAGGTCTGGGTAGCGAACTTTAAAAAGGGCAGCAATAGATCTATGTAGGTCGAAGTGATACAGATCTAAAGTACCTGCCAATAGCTCAAACCCCTCTTCCCGTTACGCGGAATAGGACCTTATATTGAGGATCCATGCATTTCGGTGGTAAAAATAAAATTCCTCATTAAAAAAATAATATAATATTGACAGTACCTGGGAAACAGGGGTTGCCGGTTGTCCCGGCGCCGCCAACACGTACTGCTGTGGTCGAACTCCGCTCACCTTAAAATTAACAAATATCGTAGCTTTAGGGGGTTGTACGGGGTCCTGCAGAATGCATGTGCTATCCATGGTCACAGTGATATGTTCATGGAGGAATAGCCATCAGGTTTTGGCCGGTAAGACTCCGGCAGTCTGCAAAGATCCTTAAACTGATCGGACTCGAAGATTTTCATTTCAAGATCGTTTCTTTTTTATAAATATATGAGAAAATAATTAATTTAATAAATTAAATGTAAGTATCGCCAGACTGTAGTCTGAGGGCACCGCTGGAGGTTCGAACCTCCGTTCAGCCCGTTTGAATTGGTCGGGATCGATCGGAGGGTGACTATGGTACCTATGGGACACAGTCACCTAGATACATCAAAATAATAATTGCATTTAATATTTATTTATTTATTTATTTATTTATTCTTTTGCACACAAAAATGTATACATGGCGGACTTAATGCCTTATGGCATTCTCTACCAGTCAACCGTCGCGTTGATCAGAGATAATAAGGCGGTGCACTTTAATAATTAATTGAAAAAAAAAAGAAAAACAAAAATTATAACAAATAGATACAGAAAAATAGTACATATATATACAGATGCAAATATATAAAAATATTAGTATTTTTATATAAAATATATACCAATATAAAATATATAAGTTTATGGATTACATATAAATAAAATATAAATTTAAACTACATATAATAAATATTCATATAATCTCATGGAGTTTATATAATAACATATCTTGAATACTATTAAATAAATTTGGAATAATGTTCACGCAAGGACCTCTTCAAGGTAAATTTGGTTTGACATCTTCTAAGGCCAACAGGAAGTGCATTCCAAAGGTTAATGGCAGAAATAGTGAAAGATTGAGATGAGAAATTAGAGCGATGAGAAGGAGTATAAAGCAGGAGATTAGATGAAGAGCGAAGATCACGAGAATGTGATGAACTTAGAAATTGAAATCTTTCTTTGAGGTACTGAGGAGCTAGTGGATCGTATAGAACAGAAAAGAGTTGACAGAGAATTCTAACACTCCTGCGCTGGCGAATAGGAAGCCATTTCAGCTCAGCGCGGAAGTGTGAGATATGGTCATATTTACGTAGACCGAATATGAAACGTATGCAATTGTTGAGTAAACGATCCATTTTATTAAGGAGATCTTGGTTAAGATTTGAATAACACACATCTCCATAATCAATTATGGGTAATACCAAAGACTGCACTAAAAGACGTTTAGTACCAACCGGAAGAAAGTTTTTAAACCTGTATAAGGACCGTAAGGCAGCTATGACTTTTCTACTGACCTCATTCACCTGTCGATTCCAATTAAGGTTGTTGTCCATGTAAAGGCCAAGATTTTTAACATGGCTGGTATATGGTATAACTGTGGTGTCAAATACTAATGTCCGTAAGTTGGTACTATCAATCCTATCTAACTGCCGCGAACTACCTAGTAAATACTAGTAATAATGTCTAGTAAGACAAATTCAATATTGTCTACTAAGCACTGCTGTGTCTAAACTGCACCCCACCTTACATTTTCCTATTGTTATTTAGTATATAAGATCATTATTTCTATGTACATATTGTCAGTTTATTATCATATGTAATATACATAGTCTCGACCAACAACATCGTATTATTCACCCGCAACAGTACCCACGCAGAAGTCTTATCACGTAGTCTACCTCTATGGTGAAGAGGCAAATAAACGTCTATATATGTATGGACGCGCGAGAGTGTCAGATGCATCAGGCTGGCTAGATGGTTGTTACTGTATAGCAGCTTACCTGGTGTATTTGCTGCGGCTGCTGTATGGTCTGTCGGTGGCCGTCGGTCGTCTCCACCACCACTTGCTCCATGAATCCACTGCCGCCTCCGCTCCCTGGGTAACATATTTATATATAATATAGCTGCACCCGTGAATTCATCTGCATGGAATTTAACTTTATTTTTAGCCTATGTTACTTCTTATTACATCAGTTACCTACCAAAAAAAGTTCCATCATCATAATCCGTCAAACTTGGTCCAGCCATTTCAGAGATTAGCCGGAACAAACAGCCAGTCAGACAAAAATTGTATAAAATGTTATTTTGGTGTATGTACAAGTATATTCATATACAAGTAGTAAAAAACGTTTAAATCAATATTACAAACAGACACTCCAATTTTATTTATACATACATCAGCTATCTGCCAAAAAAAGTTCCGTCATAATCGGTCCAGCCATTTCAGAGATTAGCCGGAACAAACAGAGAAACAGACAGACTACAATTGTAATTTTTTATAAGATATTTTAATTTATATGACAAAATGTTTGCTGGGTCAGCTAATCTATACATATAAATAAAATTGAAGTGTCTGTAATATTGAAATAAACGTTTTTTTACTACATGCATATGCATATAAACACGGTATATACACCAAAATAAAATTTATTACAATTTAAAATCGGCTAATCTTTGAAATGGCTGGACCGATTTTGACGGGACTCTTTTTTGGCTGGTAGCTGATGTAATAAGGAGTAACTTAGGCTACTTTTATTTTAGAAAAATTAAGGTAAAAACCACGTGGACGAAGTCGCGAGTACAGCTAGTACTACATGTATTTAACAGAACACAAATCGGATGGTCGCGGGTTTGACTCCTCCCACGGTTCAAACATTTGTATTCATGAGTATGATTGTTTGTGTCGGTCTGGGTATTTTCTATGTATAATATGTATGTATTTAGAAGAGAAAAAAATCTATGTATTTGTATCACAAATAACACAAGATTTAACTAGCTTAACTTGGGTTTAGATTGCGCTGTGTGAATTGTCCTGAGATTATTATTATTATTAATACTAATATTCTAAAAATTACAAAAACATATAGTGCAGTGTAGGCGAACCTTTATGCTTGAACGTGCCATTTTTCCAAAAAAACTTTAATGGGGTCATTGACTTGCCGTCAAATAATTATGACTTTCTGATTATTTGGAAAATAATAATAACAAATACTATCAAAACTCTCTATGAAATAAAGTAAACAAAATAGGTACATTTTGGATTGTTTTCATTACACGCATAAATTAAATTAGTGTGACTTCTGTTGCTGCAGGTTAGATGACAAATAATTTATGTCAGGCTTGTATGATGTTACTTTTAGCAAAATGCAAGCTGAACTGGATTCATCTGTCAAACGGTTTCTAACCGAGTTTAATGTTATTCATCTCTGACAATAATGACTCGCAGGCATAGGTAGGTGAAAATATTGTTAAAATAGCATGAGCCAGCTTCTTCAAACAGTTTTATGATCGACGACGTGCCCAAAATATTGTGTCGCGTGCCGTCAATGGCACGCGTGCCATTGGTTTGCCTACCCTGATATAGTGTTAATTTTCGACCTTCACTTGTTCCTACTGTCCGTCCATGTGTTAATTGTTCCAAATAATAAAATGTTCTATTCTATTTTGTTCTGTTACCTGCAGAAGCGGTAGCTGGTGTGCTAGTGGCCGGCGTGTTGGAATCGCAGCCGAACAAACAGTGCTGCACCGTCCACCGTGGCTCGAACGGTATGTGAGTTTTTACCTGACCACCAAAAACATAAGTGTGTTAAGTTTTCCTTTATTAAAAGAGCAACACGCAAGTTTCTTGCTCGTTCTTCTTGTGATGAGACAGCTTTCCGAATGAGCGGTAGATTAAAAAAATGTAATGTCTATTCAAAAGTGCTTCAATGTAATTTATTTGAATAAATGTAAATAATTTTCTATTCTATTCTATTTTATTCATCATTATTATAGTTTGAGTTGCTATTGTGGTGAGAGGACTGGCCAGCCTAGCCTAGTGTTTAGCTATTTCCAAATGCGCAGCGAGTAGGCTCCTATCTTGCACCCTGGAACGCCATCGCAGACTATGGCTCATCTATCGACCTTTGTGCCCAATATCCTGCACAAAGGAAGATCTTAAAAATGCGACAGAATGCGCAAAAGTCGTCGCAACATTCTGAGGAAAGTACATTTAGCTGGCTTTGAAACGAAAGATGAATATCATTATTATATATTTGTTATTTTTTCTGCTATTCACGTATTACCTACATGTTCAATAGATTAATCGTAGACTAGGAATATGAATATATATGGACGGTAGGGAAAAAAAATATAATGAAAATACTTGACGTTCATAAGCGGCTAAAATGTCATACATAAATAAATGATTTTTGAATTTGAATATGAATCGTAAACGATAGAATAGGAAGCTTAACATCTTACTAATATTATAAACGAAAAAGTTTGTGTGAACGGATTGATGGATATTTGTTACTCTTTCACGCAAAAACTACTGAACGAATTCTGACTAAACTTCACACGAATATAGCTTATACATCAGAATAACATGTAGGCTAGAAATTTCACATGGCTGAAACCGCGAGCACAGCTAGTATATAATAAAATATTCATAGACAGTGAGTCGCTTACACCTTGAAAAGATTGCTTTTTGCAAAGGATACCAGTTTAGATACCAAAGGATATATTGGAATTACTCTTAAATAAATTCAAAACAACTGTTAAATCATATTTACTGAGCAAAGCCTATTACTCACTAAACGATTACTTGAATGACGAGCGTGCATGGCAATAGTTGTCCATGCAGGAGTTTTCATTTAATGTTAGACATAGACACCTATATAAATACCTATACATACTTTTTTTTTAAAAAAGTTTGGCTTTTAAAAAAAAAAGTAATTAAATTGAGTTTCTTGCCAGTTCTTCTCAATTGGATCTATATACCGAACTGGACGGTAGGGGAAAAATATAATGTAAAAACTTGACGTTCATAAGCGGCTAAAATGTCCTACATGAATAATTTTTTTTATTTTTTTATTAATTTTTAATTTAATTTGAATAAGACCGCCTCATTGTAACAATACATGTATTCTTAGTACATTGTATATGCTTTTTTTAGAGTATATTACAAATAAGTTTTTTTTTATTATAACACAGGGGACAAACGAGCATGCGGCTCACCTGATGGTAAGTGATTACCGCCGCCCATGAGCACCCGCAACACCAGGGGAATTTTTAAAAGGCCGACAACGTACTTGACGTTGTCGGCCTTTTAAAAAGGTATAAGCTCTTTTCTTGAAGGTTTAAATATCGTATCGGTTCGGAAATACCATTGCTGGAAGGTGATTCCACCATGTGGTTGTGCGAGGCAAAAAGTTTCTAGAAAACCGCACTGTGGAAGACCGCCATTTATCCAGATAACCAGGATGGTATTTCAGTTTCTGGCGGATGGTTCGATGGTGAAGCTCAGCAGCTGGTATTAATCCGAACAATTCCTCAGAACACTCCCCGTGATATATGCGGTAGAAAATGCACAGAGATGCAATATCACGCCGCAAAGCCAATGGGTCGAGTCTGTCACATAGACGTTGATTACCAATGATTCTGGCTGCTCGGTTCTGAATTTGGTCAAATGGAAGTAGCTGGTATTGTGGTGCTCCCGCCCAGAGATGAGAACAGTATTCCATATGCGGCCGGATCTGCGCCTTGTATAATTGCAAGCGATGGGCCGCCGTGAAATACCGTCTTACTCTACTGAGCACACCAAGCTTTGAGGCTATTTTGAGGCTATTTTAGCCTTGTCCTCCAAATGACCGCAAAACTGAACGTCACTGGATATATCAACGCCAAGGACCTCGAGATTTGGCTTCACATCAAGGAGAGTGTCTTGAAACTGAGGAGATACGATAAATGGATTCTTTTTAGCGGTAAACGCGCAAACTTGTGTCTTCTTAGGGTTGAATTGAATACAATTTTCCAGACCCCAAACCGAAACTTGATGGTAAGTTCTATCAGACTTCCTAGACAGGCAGTATTATTTTCGCTTTATATTAGTTGGGATGAAAACTAGTCAAAAAAATAATGCTGTACCTTGAGTTCTGTGGTGAGCATGAGGATATGTCTGCAGGGCAGTCTGAACACTTTGCTGAAGAGGCATGAGCACTCCTGGGTTGAGGTACCATATTTACATATAGCTGAGCTACTGTGGCGCCTGAAACAGTAACAATAAATGTATTTATTTAATCTATACATCTACATATAAATAAAATTGGAGTGTCTGTAACATTGAAATATCCGTTTTTTACTACATGCATATGAATATAAATACGGTAAATATAAATAAAATTGGAGTGTCTGTTTGTAATATCGAAATAACCGTAGTTACTACATGCATATGAATATAAAGCTAGTTTACCATAAATTTATTAATGTTAAGATTCGATTAAATATGTAAATAATAGTTTTCAATCAAATCAAATTGAAAATAATTTATCCCTGTAGGACATTTTAGACGCTTATGAATGTCAAGATTTTTTATTAATATTTTTCCCAACCATCCAGTTCAGTGTACCGATTCAATTGAGAGGAACGGGCAAGAAACTCAACAGATTCTTTTTTTTAAAACAGTTTATTTTTTAAAGATAATTCTAGTATATCTTTTGGTATCTTATTATAAATTTTTATAGCCATTCTAATAGAAGACGCATTGACTTTTCTTAACGATACTTAGTGTAAGAAGCACTAATTATGATGGACGACTGAGGCTTTGAAGCCGGCTACCGCAAGGGAAACCCCAAGTAGCGCCCGTGACTTGTGACACGGGTGTAGGTTTAAAAGGCCCTTTTAGAATGCATTAACGCTCACCTTCACTACTTGCAGCTCCCCCCAGGCCCAACTAAGACCGGGATAAACCCATTCCTAATACAATTCACTTTAATATCCAAAACACAACTGGCACGCTCAGCGCTCGTCGCCTGAATGCCGCGGCTCACGCAACGAAAGAGGATTATTCAACTACCGACCTCCGTATTTATAGACCAAAGTCAGTATAGTAGGTTGGTCTATAAATACTAGATGGCGCTATTTACAATATTCGTAATAATCCTTACATCGGGTACTTCATTAGTACTAAAAACAAACTACTTTCTTTTAATATATTATTAAAATATCTGATATTTTCTATTATAATGATGTGAATTCTAACATTAGTAACAGCAAGTTTGTCTTTAAACCTAGTATTAATGGTCTCACCTGCCGCCTTTGTCGTCGAGACATTTCTGTGCCAACTTTGTCTGATGACTCATTAGGTTGTAAGCGTATTGTGTTATTGTGTCCGTCGGCGACTGTTTCAGCGTCTCTGTGTCCTGTGAGCATAATGTTTACATTAATAAAACTAGCTGTGCCCGTGACTTCGCGTGGATCTTGTCCAAAAAACCAAAGAAAAAAATTTTCATCGTTCTAGCTTCAAAAATGACGAATTTACATACAAACTTTCATCCTGTTTTATTTTAAGGTAAAATTATTACAAACTTTGAATGTCGTATTTATTTATTGTTGTTATATATTGTTGTTGTTCACCCACAACATTTATATTTAATCAACAGCCTAAGTTTCAAACTTCTAGCTTTAAAAATGACGATTTTTCCATACAACGTTGCATCTCCCCTTACAACCCCTACAAATGTTTGTATCGTGCGAGGAATCGAACCCGCGACCATTGGTATTAAGCCGGTGTGCTTAACTGCTAGACAATTAAGGCCGTTATTAGTTTGCTATTTAATCTAGTTTAAATTGAATAATTTAAAGGTTGCCTGTAAGAGATTGCTTAGCGATAAGGCCGCCTTTTGTACTCGTCATTGTTATACATATTTTTATAGTAGTTAATATTTTCTGTAACTAGTGCAAAAAAGTGTAAAAAAAAAAAAATAATGAACTAGACACAACTGCTTACCCTGAGCCTGCTGATGGCGAAATTTCTCCTCTCGTCCTCCAATTGGTTAGCTATGTTGAAGAATAAGGACACAAACTCGTCTGGTTGCATGAAGTCACGCACCATCGAGTGGAACTTCGCCACCAGCCTCTCCAGACCCTGGAAACGAACAAAGATTTTTCTGTAGCAAACAAGCCGACTGCGAACTTGGTGGAATGTGGGAACCTACGCTTTAACAGCATAAGTATTACGGATATTACATCAAGACGTGAAAAATGACTATTTGGTAAATTTATATGTGATCGAATTGGGAGCGAGAGATATACCAGCGAAACTCTACTCTATTCTTTAGAAGATCTAAAAGATCTTGACCTAGAACTGCAATAGGTTTTAAGCTAGAACGTGTATCTAACGCTGCACTAGCAGGCTCTTGCCAAGTTTGTCCAGACAGAGAAACAGCAGTGAAGATGGGTGTTGAAGAGCGTCGGCTCCTTAGGACTTGGGACTTCTGACTTGTGTAGGTTACACATAAGTCACAAGTCCCAAGTGCTCGAACTGTCACTCTCTGCCACACGATGGGCCCGGCACCCGCACGGTCATTCCATGGAATGCTAAACTCTCTCTTAACCTACATAATAGCTGCTTTTAAACGTACGCGTCACAAGTCCCAAGTGCTCGAACTGTCACTCTCTGCCACACGATGGGCCCGGCACCCGCACGGTCATTCCATGGAATGCTAAACTCTCTCTTAACCTACATAATAGCTGCTTTTAAACGTACGCGTCACAAGTCCCAAGTGCTCGAACTGTCACTCTCTGCCACACGATGGGCCCGGCACCCGCACGGTCATTCCATGGAATGCTAAACTCTCTCTTAACCTACATAATAGCTGCTTTTAAACGTACGCGTCACAAGTCCCAAGTGCTCGAACTGTCACTCTCTGCCACAGGATGGGCCCGGCACCCGCACGGTGATTCCATGAAATGCTAAACTCTCTCTTAACCTACATAATAGCTGCTTTTAAACGTACGCGTCACAAGTCCCAAGTGCTCGAACTGTCACTCTCTGCCACACGATGGGCCCGGCACCCGCACGGTCATTCCATGGAATGCTAAACTCTCTCTTAACCTACATAATAGCTGCTTTTAAACGTACGCGTCACAAGTCCCAAGTGCTCGAACTGTCTCTCTCTGCCACACGATGGGCCCGGCAACGGTCATTCCATGGAATGCTAAACTCTCTCTTAACCTACATAATAGCTGCTTTTAAACGTACGCGTCACAAGTCCCAAGTGCTCGAACTGTCACTCTCTGCCACACGATGGGCCCGGCACCCGGACGGTCATTCCATGGAATGCTAAACTCTCTCTTAACCTACATAATAGCTGCTTTTAAACGTACGCGTCACAAGTCCCAAGTGCTCGAACTGTCACTCTCTGCCACACGATGGGCCCGGCACCCGGACGGTCATTCCATGGAATGCCTCTCTCTTAACCTACATAATAGCTGCTTTTACACGTACGCGTCACAAGTCCCAAGTGCTCGAACTGTCACTCTCTGCCACAGGATGGGCCCGGCACCCGCACGGTGATTCCATGAAATGCTAAACTCTCTCTTAACCTACTTAATAGCTGCTTTTAAACGTACGCTCTTTCAAGGAGGGAAAAAATAGCAATGTAACAAAGAGAACGGGAAAAATCGCACGGGCTGTCAGTTCTGCTAGTGTCTTTTTTAATAATTTATTATCATTGCATAATGGCCAACATTGGACAATCGAGCAAAGACAATGTAGTTATTGATAAATCATAACCGTGTCATTACATAAAATATACTGTATAATCTATACATATAAATAAAATTGGACTGTCTGTTTGTAATATTAAAATACCCGTTTTTTACTACGTGCGTATGAATACAAATACATTTACATACATTTTTTACAATTTTTGTCTGACTGTCTGTTTGTTCCAGGTAATTCAGAAATGGCTGGCCCGATTTTGACGAGACTTTTTTTGGCAGGTAGCTGATGTAATAAGGAGTAACTTAAGCTACTTTAATTTTAGAAAAATTCTTTTATTTTAGAAACTTAAAAGTTAAATTCCCCGTGGACGAAGTCGCGGGTGCAGCTAGTAATAAATACAATTTTTGTAAATTTTTAACAAGTTTTTAATTTTAATGAAAGTGAAATGGCATGAACCATACGCGCTAGCACGCAAGAAAGAGTGAATACTAAAAATAGTAAAATGCAATCCCTCACGACTGCTCCTTTTTTCTAGCGTTAAAATGGTCACGCTTTTTTCTAACGTTTAATTGCATGCGCTTATTTCTAGCATTTAATAGCGAGCGCTATTTCCCTCGCGTTAAATCGCGAGCGCTTTTTTCTCGCGTTAAATCGCGAGCGCTTTTTTCTCGCGTTAAATCGCGCGCGCTTTTTTTCTCGCGTTAAATCGCGAGCGCTTTTTTCTCGCGTTAATTCGCGAGCGCTTTTTTGAAAGCGTTAAATCGCACGCGCTTTTTTTACCGCGTTAAATCGCACGCGATTTTTTCTCGCGTTAAATCGCACGCGCTTTTTTCCCGCGTTAAATCGCACGCGCTTTTTTCCCGCGTTAAATCGCACGCGCTTTTTTCTCGCGTTAAATCGCACGCGCATTTTTCTTGCGTTAAATCGCGAGCGCTTTTTTCTCGCGTTAAATCGCGGATGTTTTGTTAGAGTTAAATCGCGCGCGCTTTTTACTCGCATTATATCGTGCGAGCTTTTTTCTCGTGTTAAATCGCACGCTCTGTGGCTGAAAGAACGTATCGATATCGATATTGCTCTTACAGTGTTTACCAAACTTTTTAGTGAAATGCACCACATTAAAATGATAAAATTGCTATTTTATTCTTGGGCGTGGGCCCCACGTTGTGAAACACTGGTCTAGAGGCTGCTACTGGCATCTCTCAGTAGTGGTTACATACCTTATGCAGTATATTGGTGTAGTTGTCGGGCTCGAGCCACGAGTCTAGTTTGGAGACGGCGCCTCCCGGCCTCGTGAGTACGTCCCACAGTCGGAGAGTGCCCGCACCGGTGCCTATTATGCCCCGTTTTAACACCTGTAATAACAATTCAAAGTCAATTTAGCAAGCAGGCAAGTAATATGTAGTAATTACAAAATAAATACGATTAATATTGTTATACTTTATTCTTTTACGACATTTTAACTACCGTATAAACAAGCCATTTCATGGTACATTTACCGTTGCTTGATTGATTTAGTAGTTTTACTACTGTTTATTGTAAAAAAGCAACAGAGTATGGTACATTTGTTTAGTGAAATATAATAATTTTTAAACAGAAATGTGTTTAATCATTTGGTCCTTCGAGCCGGATATATTTATTGGTATAAAGTATATTGTAACATTGTTCGCCGTCGCCTCTGGTGGCGCCGCAGCCCCGCCCCGCCCCGCCCCGCCCCCCCCCCGGCCCCCCTCACCTGCAGCTGCGCGGGCGTGTGCTCGCCCCGCAGCAGCGCCAGCGCGTATGTCTTGCAGCGCGCGGCGACGTCCGCGGCCGCGAGCGCGGGCCCGGGCGCCGCCCCCGGCCCCTCGCGCCGCGCCGCGTCCCCGCAGGCCCCCCCGCCCCGCCCCCCCCCCGGCCCCCCTCACCTGCAGCTGCGCGGGCGTGTGCTCGCCCCGCAGCAGCGCCAGCGCGTATGTCTTGCAGCGCGCGGCGACGTCCGCGGCCGCGCGCGCGGGCCCGGGCGCCGCCCCCGGCCCCTCGCGCCGCGCCGCGTCCCCGCAGGCCCGGGCCCCGCCCCGCCCCGCCCCGCCCCCGCCCCCCTCACCTGCAGCTGCGCGGGCGTGTGCTCGCCCCGCAGCAGCGCCAGCGCGTATGTCTTGCAGCGCGCGGCGACGTCCGCGGCCGCGAGCGCGGGCCCGGGGCCCCTCGCGCCGCGCCGCCGCCCCCCGCCCCGCCCCGGCCCCCCTCACCTGCAGCTGCGCGGGGCGTGTGCTCGCCCGCGCCGCGCCGCGCGTGTCCGCAGCGCGCGGCCCCGCCCCGCCCCGCCCCGCCCCGGCCCCCCCTCACCTGCAGCTGCGCGGGCGTGTGCTCGCCCCGCAGCAGCGCCAGCGCGTATGTCTTGCAGCGCGCGGCGACGTCCGCGGCCGCGAGCGCGGGCCCGGGCGCCGCCCCCGGCCCCTCGCGCCGCGCCGCGTCCCCGCAGGCCCGGGCCCCGCCCCGCCCCGCCCCGCCCCCGCCCCCCACACCTGCAGCTGCGCGGGCGTGTGCTCGCCCCGCAGCAGCGCCAGCGCGTATGTCTTGCAGCGCGCGGCGACGTCCGCGGCCGCGCGCGGGCCCGGGCGCCGCCCCCGGCCCCTCGCGCCGCGCCGCGTCCCCGCAGGCCCGGGCCCCGCCCCGCCCCGCCCCCGGCCCCCCTCCCCTGCAGCTGCGCGGGCGTGTGCTCGCCCCGCAGCAGCGCCAGCGCGTATGTCTTGCAGCGCGCGGCGACGTCCGCGGCCGCGAGCGCGGGCCCGGGCGCCGCCCCCGGCCCCTCGCGCCGCGCCGCGTCCCCGCAGGCCCGGGCCCCGCCCCGCCCCGCCCCGCCCCCGGCCCCCCCCCCCTGCAGCTGCGCGGGCGTGTGCTCGCCCCGCAGCAGCGCCAGCGCGTATGTCTTGCAGCGCGCGGCGACGTCCGCGGCGCCGCCCCCGGCCCCTCGCGCGCCGCGCGGGCCCGGGGCCCCCCCTCACCTGCCCCCGGCCCCCGCGCCGCGCCGCGTCCCCGCCGGCCCGGGCCCCGCCCCGCCCCGCCCCGCCCCGCCCCCGGCCCCCCTCACCTGCAGCTGCGCGGGCGTGTGCTCGCCCCGCAGCAGCGCCAGCGCGTATGTCTTGCAGCGCGCGGCGACGTCCGCGGCCGCGAGCGCGGGCCCGGGCGCCGCCCCCGGCCCCTCGCGCCGCGCCGCGTCCCCGCAGGCCCGGGCCCCGCCCCGCCCCGCCCCCCCCCCCCCCCCCCCCCCCCCCCCCCCTGCAGCTGCGCGGGCGTGTGCTCGCCCCGCAGCAGCGCCAGCGCGTATGTCTTGCAGCGCGCGGCGACGTCCGCGGCCGCGAGCGCGGGCCCGGGCGCCGCCCCCGGCCCCTCGCGCCGCGCCGCGTCCCCGCAGGCCCGGGCCCCGCCCCGCCCCGCCCCGCCCCCCCCCCCCCTCACCTGCAGCTGCGCGGGCGTGTGCTCGCCCCGCAGCAGCGCCAGCGCGTATGTCTTGCAGCGCGCGGCGACGTCCGCGGCCGCGAGCGCGGGCCCGGGCGCCGCCCCCGGCCCCTCGCGCCGCGCCGCGTCCCCGCAGGCCCGGGCCCCGCCCCGCCCCGCCCCGCCCCGCCCCCGGCCCCCCTCACCTGCAGCTGCGCGGGCGTGTGCTCGCCCCGCAGCAGCGCCAGCGCGTATGTCTTGCAGCGCGCGGCGACGTCCGCGGCCGCGAGCGCGGGCCCGGGCGCCGCCCCCGGCCCCTCGCGCCGCGCCGCGTCCCCGCAGGCCCGGGCCCCGCCCCGCCCCGCCCCGCCCCGCCCCCGGCCCCCCTCACCTGCAGCTGCGCGGGCGTGTGCTCGCCCCGCAGCAGCGCCAGCGCGTATGTCTTGCAGCGCGCGGCGACGTCCGCGGCCGCGAGCGCGGGCCCGGGCGCCGCCCCCGGCCCCTCGCGCCGCGCCGCGTCCCCGCAGGCCCGGGCCCCGCCCCGCCCCGCCCCGCCCCCGGCCCCCCTCACCTGCAGCTGCGCGGGCGTGTGCTCGCCCCGCAGCAGCGCCAGCGCGTATGTCTTGCAGCGCGCGGCGACGTCCGCGGCCGCGAGCGCGGGCCCGGGCGCCGCCCCCGGCCCCTCGCGCCGCGCCGCGTCCCCGCAGGCCCGGGCCCCGCCCCGCCCCGCCCCGCCCCGCCCCCGCCCCCCCTCACCTGCAGCTGCGCGGGCGTGTGCTCGCCCCGCAGCAGCGCCAGCGCGTATGTCTTGCAGCGCGCGGCGACGTCCGCGGCCGCGAGCGCGGGCCCGGGCGCCGCCCCCGGCCCCTCGCGCCGCGCCGCGTCCCCGCAGGCCCGGGCCCCGCCCCGCCCCGCCCCGCCCCCGCCCCCCCTCACCTGCAGCTGCGCGGGCGTGTGCTCGCCCCGCAGCAGCGCCAGCGCGTATGTCTTGCAGCGCGCGGCGACGTCCGCGGCCGCGAGCGCGGGCCCGGGCGCCGCCCCCGGCCCCTCGCGCCGCGCCGCGTCCCCGCAGGCCCGGGCCCCGCCCCGCCCCGCCCCGCCCCCGCCCCCCTCACCTGCAGCTGCGCGGGCGTGTGCTCGCCCCGCAGCAGCGCCAGCGCGTATGTCTTGCAGCGCGCGGCGACGTCCGCGGCCGCGAGCGCGGGCCCGGGCGCCGCCCCCGGCCCCTCGCGCCGCGCCGCGTCCCCGCAGGCCCGGGCCCCGCCCCGCCCCGCCCCGCCCCCGCCCCCCTCACCTGCAGCTGCGCGGGCGTGTGCTCGCCCCGCAGCAGCGCCAGCGCGTATGTCTTGCAGCGCGCGGCGACGTCCGCGGCCGCGAGCGCGGGCCCGGGCGCCGCCCCCGGCCCCTCGCGCCGCGCCGCGTCCCCGCAGGCCCGGGCCCCGCCCCGCCCCGCCCCGCCCCCGCCCCCCTCACCTGCAGCTGCGCGGGCGTGTGCTCGCCCCGCAGCAGCGCCAGCGCGTATGTCTTGCAGCGCGCGGCGACGTCCGCGGCCGCGAGCGCGGGCCCGGGCGCCGCCCCCGGCCCCTCGCGCCGCGCCGCGTCCCCGCAGGCCCGGGCCCCGGCCCGCGCCGCTTGCCACACCGAGCTGCTCACGTGCGCGCCCGGGAACGCCGTCCGACACGCCTGCGTACGATCATATCCACAATTATACGAGATTCCATTAAAAGATTTTGGAAAGTTTTTATTCGACCGAAGGGTGAGATAGGACAGGGAAAGAATATAGTATTGACGCATGCCGTCTACTTGTTTACTATTCCAATTTATAGTAGTCACTTTTGTTCATGTGGATGATTAATGATGACGATAACGACAATGACGATGATGGCAATGATGCACGATGATGTCGAAGAATGATGTAACGATCCATCATGATCGTCGCTTCAAAAACATTGTAAACATTCAGTCATTAAAAAACATCGGTTTAATAAAAAATATCATCATCATTTACATCATCGACATCATCAACATTGACAACGTCATTAAAAATCATAGGATTAATAAAAAATATCATCATCATTTACATTATAGACATCATCATCATTGACGTCATTAAAAAATCATCGGTATAATAAAAAATATAATAATCATTTTACATCATAGACATCATCAACATTCAGTCATTCATCGGCATAATAAACATCATCATCATTTACATCATTGACATCATCATCATTAACGACGTCATTAAAAAAACATCGGTATAATAAAAAATATCAACATCCTTTACATTCTTGACATCATCATTATTTACATCATAGACATCATCATCATTATCATCACCAACATTATGAACATTAACAACATCATCATCAACAGTACTTACAAAGGAAGTTGTTTAATAAGAAAGCAGAAAAAGTGATATAGTATTTGGTCCCTACCCGTTAGCATTAAGTCCGCCATATGTACTAGAATTTATTGGTCAATAAAATTTTAATAAATATGTACAGCTAATAATACGAAATACCTGGTGTGATCGCGTGGGGTCCGCTACGACGCACCTCACTTGTCTCCACGCCGGGTTACACGACTTGAAAGTTTCTAGAAGCCACGACACCTCCTCGCCGATCAGGGTTGATATACCTGTACAAAGTCAAAGTAAATATTTACATTTTTTGTTTTCTGTTCCTTGTATATCCGGAATTAGTAAGTGTACTATAATTGGATTGGTTGGTAAATGACTATGCGAGTCTGCAGTGCAGTGAGCGCAGATGTCTCTGGCATTATGTTAAGACACCAAGATCTGGACTACACTTTACCCAACTTGAGTATTTGTATCCTCTTGAGCTTGTTCTGGCAAGTTCCTCTCGTACTGTGAGTAAATTTGAGAAATGATAAAGCAAAAAATGAAGAAGTATTACACGGGGTGTTTGTAAAAAAGCAGTATTGAATACTATAGTAAATAAACGAGGAAAAATGTTAGGACACCTGATAGGGCATGACGAATTCAGGAAAATTATTGAGGGATAAATACAAGGAAAGACGGGGAGGGGAAGACCAAGGCACTAGATCAAGAAAATTAAGAACAAAAGCGTGTCGTATGAACATTTAAAGGGCAAGATGGAAGAGTATAGAAAGTGGCAAGAGCTGCACCGACTAGAGCGTGACGGCCCATATGATGGTAAACGGTTTTAGAAGCCTACCATTCACTCCTTCTAAGAAACCTTAATACACCCTTCTTGAACAACTCCATGCTGTAGTCTCTGGAGAAAACCTCGTAAAATGTCTATTTATACGAAGCTAAGACGGGCCACTTGTTGAGCGGAGTGCGAAGCGCGGCGCGATCTTAGAGATCAGATTTCCATTCTTTGTAACGAGATCCTGCGTAATGACTTGACCGACCGAGACTTAAATTTCATGAAGGGGCGACCTTCGGGCCTCCATCGTTAAAAAGTAATTCCGATCGGTCAAGATCTAGCTTATCTAGTGTACACTGATGATCCTATTGCTAGCAATGTACCATGTTAGGTTGACCTCCACGCAGTTCCTTTGATTAATCATCGTGATAAATTCCTGGTGAATTGACCACGATCTGCTAACTGAGCTGACTTAACGGAGCGATCTTAGAGATCAAATTAGCACTCTGTAACGATACTCCTCCGAAACGGCTTGACCAATCGAGATCAAATTTCATAGATCAACTTTAGGGCCTCCTCGTTTAGCACTCCAAAAATTCCTATGGGGTTAGGTCGAGTTTTTAAGAATAAACGCGCTCCGCTCAACCAGAGATCTGGTGTGTAAACAACACACCGGCAACAAACCTAGTTAAATGAGACATGACAGTGAAATTACAGAGTACAGGGAAGCCAGGGGATTGTTATTAATGTGGACTGATGATCCTATTGCTAGCAATGTACTATGTCAGGTTGATCTACAGTTCCTTTGATTAGCCATCGTTATAAATTCCTGGAGAATTTACCATGATGTGCTAACTGAGCTAACTTCATGCTCATCTCATCATTATCCACTGGAGCCCTGGTCGAGTTTTTAAGACACATAGGTAAATGTTAAGATGATTTTACATCAATACTGACCAGCACTCACGATGACCGACTTGCCGTTACCGTCTTCAGCCAGGAACAGAGTAACGTTGTGTTTCACGCTTGTGTTGCCCGTGCCGCTTACCACCGGTATATTGCTGTTGAACTCTATACCTGTAGAAATAAGACGCATTTTTAATCGTTTTTAGAAAAAGTCGACTACTTTTACATTATTTGTTAATGTAGTCTTGTTCTTATATTAATTTTATGTGTTGTTGCCTTTACATGTAGTTATATCGAATTAATCAGTTTTTACCTGTGAAAGCCTGTCAGTGGTTTTATATTGATTCAACATTTTATTGACGACCTAGCTGTTCTAGCGCCTTACTTCCGATGATCGCGGGTTCGATACCTCGCACGGCATTTATTCATGAGTATGATTGTCTGTTTCGGTTTGGGTGTTTTCTATATATATTATGAATGTATTTACAAAAAAATAAAGTATCTATGTATTTGTATCAGTTATCTAGTTCCCATAACACAAGCTATAGCTAGCTTAACTTGTGTCTAGATTGCGCTGTGTGAATTGTCCTGAGATTATTATATTATTTATTATAGTTAGCCTTGGTTTTCCTTTAATAGATATAAAATAAAATAATCTGCGTAATTCAGAATACATACCGGTCTCAATGCATAGGAACTGTGGCACCGCGTTGAAGGCTAACTGCATGCTCGGAGTAGTCAGGTAAACACACTGGATGCACAGTTTTACACAGATGTAGAAAGAATGTATTCATATATGTCTTACCACATATTACACATATGATATTCAAATCTACCACAGTTCAGCATCTGTATAAATAAATATTCAAACAATTCAAAATATAGTTATTCATATGTCTTACCACATATTAAGAATTTACCACATATAAAGAAGAATACCAGCGTACCGTAATTAAGCTGTAATTTCCTAACGACGAAGTCATATTTTTGATTGAGCCAGCGCACTGCGCCCGCGCCAGTCGCTACCAACTGCTCCTCGGTAGTGATCACTTGAGGGTCATTCTCTCTGGAACAATTCCGATTAATTTTAAGTATAATTGCACTCTGTTAGTAACGGTTTTTAGTTTTAAAATAGCAGGATTCATTTTTTTTCAAACATTTCTAAAGCTTTTGGTCACAGCTGGCCTTTAGAGCTTCACAGGACGAAAAGGAACGAATGCAGATGGCACTCCAAACCAAAGGAAGGATTGTGAAGCGGCTGTAGGCCAACTCCCGCCTAACGGATACTACTTTAGTTTGAGGGCAATGTTAGGAGTTTGAACCTCAGCTCAAGCCATCGTAATTTCGTTCACCATTTGAATTGTGTATCGTATTTATTTGGCAGTATTTGGCCTAGTTTTTTTCAATATGAGGTGATAAAAGAACCGATACAACTTTAATCTGAAGGCACCGCTAGGGAATCGATTGGTGGGGGTCATATCCAGTATTTAGCCTAGTTTTCTCCAATAAGAGGTGATAAAAAAAACGGATATGTCTTTAATCTGAGGCAGGGGGTTTGAACTTAAGGCTCAGGGTGTTGTAATTTTCTATTGATGTTTGAATTGGACAGGGGATCGATTGGTGGGGGTCATATCCAGTATTTAGCCTAGTTTTCTCCAATATGAGATGATAAAAAAAACGGATATGTCTTTAATCTGAGGCAGGAGGTTTGAACCTCAGGCTCAGGGAGTCGTAATTTTCTACTGATGTTTGAATTGGACAGGGGATCGATTGGTGGGGGTCATATCCAGTATTTAGCCTAGTTTTCTCCAATAAGATAAAAAAAACGGATATGTCTTTAATAAAAAAAGTCGTAATTTTCTACTGATGTTTGAATTGGATAGGGGATCGATTAGTGGGGGTCAAATCCAGTATTTGGCCTAGTTTAATCTGATATGTCTTTAATCTGAGGCAGGGGGTTTGAACTTAAGGCTCAGGGTGTTGTAATTTTCTATTGATGTTTGAATTGGACAGGGGATCGATTAGTGGGGGTCAAATCCAGTATTTGGTCAAGTTTTCTCCAATAAGAGGTGATAAAAAAACGGATATGACTTTAATCTGAGGCAGGGAGTTTGAACCTCAGGCTCAGGGTGTCGTAATTTTCTATTGATGTTTGAATTGGACAGGGGATCGATTGGAGGAAATCATATCCAGTATTTGGCCTACTTTTCTCCAATATGAGGTGATAAAAAAGCTATTTAAGTCTCACCTGTTGGCTGTCTCTGTAGATGGGTTCTCAATTATAGCCACTTCATATTCCTGCTGTCCTTCAACTTGAGCATTATTGCTCAGCTCGTACTGCTGGTATGTGTTGCCTTGCTCATCTACTTGTTGCTGCAATAGTTAATTTTATATAATAAAGTGCCTTTACAGGACACATGCTTTTAACAAACGATTATCCAACATCCTGTGGTTGAAGCCCACTCATGCATAAACAAAATATCTCCTTAACATATACACTATATCTTAAATAGGAGATAAAAACCATCAATCCTAGAATGTTCTTTAGTACTTATCCCTCACGGGTCTAGGTAGAGAACTTTGAAAAGGGTGAGCACAAAAGATATATGCATATAGCAGTGGTTGTGGTCTTAGCATCTGACAACAGCCTAAAACCCATGATAAAAAAATATGGTTTGCAATTCTAGAGGTTTAAATTTCATATACCTACATACTGTAATTTTAATACCATATTATATAGAAAAAATCAAATGATATGAAATCAAAAATTTATTAGAGTAATAATAATTTATGAATTCTTTATTGCAATATTAAATCCACAATTATAATAAATATTAGAAATATTGTTACCTACAATTACAATAACCCAGAATAATTCCCACAATGACTATCTAAGCAGAGATTGTGTTATGGGTACTAGACATCTGATAGAATAAGACTAATAATAATTTATGTCTTCTTGCAATATTAAATACACAATTGTAATAAATATTAGAAATATTGTTACCTACAATTACAATAACAGAGGACAATTCATCAGAGTTTAATGGGTACTAGACATCTGATTGAAATTTGGATAATATTATAAATGTGAAAGTTTGTGAGTATGTATTTCATACAAAAACAACTGAATGTTTTATGATGAAACTACAGTAATATAGTTTATACATTAGAATAACATATTGGTTAGAATTTAAAAAGATATGACAATTCCGTGCAATATAACAATAAATATCTAGTTAGTATGCTGTAGAAGAAGTTGTGTTGGTAATGTGGACTGTTGATCTTATTGCTAGCAATGTACCATGTCAGATTGATATCCATGTGGTTCCCTTTTGGAACAATCATGATAAATTCTTGGTAAATTTGTCATGATGTTCTAACTGACCTGACCTCATCATCCTCCACTGGTGCCAGCAAAAACCGTTAGCACAGGTGGATGCACCATTCCATTATCATCCATAAAAAAACTACAGTAATATCAAATATGTTACATTGTTAACTTCAGTTGTGTTCTGAACATATGTGCTGCCTTCCTCCTCGGGTTCTCCCTTGACATCATATATTGTCTCCGCCATCACTATCCGTCCTGAGGGGTCCATGGTCCACATGCTGCCAAATGCAAAGTTCGAAGGGTTCCCACTTTGTTCATACAGTATTACTGTATTTGGACCTGAAACATTATTTCATGTAACTTGATGTATTATGTGATAAAATGTGCTAACTGTTAATTTTTTTATTATTTACTAGCTGTGCCCGCAATTTCACCCATGTTAAATATAGCCTATGTGTTATTCTGATGCATAAGCGATATTACCGTAAAGTTTCATCAAAATCCATTCAGTAGCTTTTGCCTGAAATAGTAACAAGCATCCATAGTTACAAACTTTCACATTTATAATATTATTAAGATATTTGAATGGGTTTTAACAAAAATAATTTAATGGTAAATACACAAAGATAATAATAAATACCCCAGATTTTTAGAGAATTTTTGCAAACTAAGACACATTTGAAAGTTGTTTCAGAATATCATTCAGAGATATATAAAAATACATTTTTGTTATTTTACCTATAATTTTTTTTGTGAATATCTATATTTATCTTACTCATACTCTATTTATTTATCTCGATCCTATATACAAAAATATAATATGTATACAATAAATTTATTTATTTACTGTATTACCGAATAAGTAATATTTCTGAAAATAGATCAACAATTTTATAGATTAAAAAAAAATTTTCTAAGCACTATGATCAGATGAGTTACAAATAGTGGCGGGAATAATATTAAAAGAAAATTTACTGACCTAATTGTACTGGTTCTCCTTTCATGTTGACAAAGACCGGTTGTTCAAAATTGCCTTCCACCAGTTGTCCTGTGTGCACTATCTGTTGTCCCTGCTCCGCAGGTACCTCCACAACCTGATTTACTACCTCTACCTTATCCTTGTCTACTTCAACTTTCACCATTTTGCCCTTCTTTTCACTCTCTAAAGGTTCATCACTTTTTCGCTTAATAACTACTTTCTTTTTACTTTTCTTGTCCATTTTTGCACTTTAAACCTATATCTTGCACTAAAACGCGCAAATACTATGCCGGGACGCGTTATTGTTGGAACATTGTCGTGGAAATACAGGAAAAACGCCTCGCCCAAGTGGCGACATCATCGTATTTTAAACCTATCTAACAATTTGTTACAGTCTCTATTAACGTAATACGAAGTGTAAATAAATTCGGCATGATACGTAAATAAAAATTGCAATCTGAGTACTGTAAATTGTAAAATTATTTGAAATATTGTCAGTGGGAAAAGGACAACTCAGAGAGACGCCATTTTTGTTCAAAATTATCGCGTTCTCTTTCTAGTGTTGCTATTATTGTTGTTTATTTTTTTCGTTTAGAAACTGGATTTTAGCATTAGCAGATAAAGTACATTGGGTAGGTAGCATTTATATTTTGATAGTGTAAAAAAAAAATATATATTTCAATGTATTTGCGATGAATATTTATTCAAATATGGATTAAGTGTGTTCGATTGGAGACGTAGAGATTTTCACTCGAGGATGTAGAAGATTATTCTTTTTTCTCATTTCAACTATATGTATTGCTATTAGCAGATTTTAACTCTTGATTTTTAGGAAGTTATTGGTACTATCTATATTCTCGTTCTTAGGCAAAATAATTGAATGTGACGTTCTTTGCTATTAGTCACTGGACTTTAGCTGTCAATGTCATTATCATATGATTCATTTCCATCACAAAGTTATTTAAAAATACATAGAACTTGAATATTTTTCAATATATTTGAATCTATTATTTTGTGTTTGTACTTTTAATGTAATGATTATTTAACCTTAATTAACTTTATAATTGTTTCGTAAAATCCAATACGATCAGTTTCTTGATCTTGACCTACAAACTCGATTTGTATACATGCTGATCCTTAATACACTATCAATTCTTATTAACGTTGCATTCATAGTGTTTATATCACTGCTGTCTATGAATATAGTACGACAGTTCAGTAGCAGTGCTCGCAAAATGGCTTTAATAGCGCCAGCGTTATTTGTGAACCACGGCGGAGGTCCTATGCCTCTACTAGGAGATAAGGACCACGCAGGATTGACAAGATTCCTTCGTGATGATGTGAAGAAGTATATAAATTTGAAGGAAATAAAAGCTATAATTCTGGTGACCGCGCATTGGGAAGAAAGCGTCGTTACGATATCGTCGGCGAAACATCATGATTTGTATTTCGATTACTACGGATTTCCACCCGAATCATATCGCTACAAGTATGAAGCCCCCGGTGAACCGGAGCTAGCGAAGCGTATACACGAAGTTTTAAAAAAAGAAGGCGTTCCATCTAAGTTGGATCCGAAAAGAGGTTGGGACCATGGAGTTTTCGTTCCTATGATGTTGATTAATCCTACAGCTGATATACCCATAGTGCAAATATCTGTATTGTCCAATCAGGATCCTGAACAACATTACAATTTGGGTAAGATTTTGTACCAATTTCGGAAAGAAGGTATTGCTGTGTTCGGCTCAGGAATGTCATACCACAACATGAGGGAGTTTATGAGCAGTAGGAGTCGGGGAGAAGTAGTTAATGAGGAGTTTGATGATTTTCTGTACAGTATTTGCACTTCTGAGGATGAGGAGAAGAGGAAAGAAGGTTTTATAGCATGGAGACAGCAAACAGGAGCGACGGAAGCCCACCCAATGAGAGCGGCCGAGCATTTCATGCCATTGGTTGTGGTAGCTGGAGCTGGTGGGTCACAGGCCGGGAAAAGAGTATTCAACTGGGACATGAGTGGGACCTTTAGATTGAGTGGGTTTATTTGGAAAGATGAGTGAAGTTTGTCCTGAGCCTTCAAAAATGTAATGTTTTTTTTGTACAGATTTTTATGTTCTTTTTTTGAATAAGTGTATAAAATTAAAAATAAATCAGAATCAGATAAAGCATTATGTGTTGCATACTATGGAGTAGGCTTTATAAAGTTAAGAAAAAGAGCAATAAAGCAACTATTTTTAATACTAAAGAAAAAACATTCCAAAATACTGGACAAGAAGAATGAGCGAGGCACTTGTGTGTTACTCTTTTAAATAAATGTTGTGCTGAATTACAGTTTTAAGAATTTTGCTAAAACTGCTATTGTATACTCAAGGAAATTATAAATAAAAACTATAATATAAAATATTCAACTGTTTATAAAATAAGAGTTAATTAATTTATACAGTAACTAAATTAATATTTTTATACGGAATTGTTAGAACTATTAATGTACTATTGTTAATTAAGGAAGCAATAAAGAATATGAATAAAAAATACCATTTTAAATATTTTCCTCAGATCGTTCTGTCAAGGATTATTGTGAAAAAAAAAAGGTTGCAGGGAACATTAGAAAAGTTATTTTGGCGGGTAATATCTTGTTTAGGTACTTTGTTATAATTTATTAAATTAATCTATATTATGATTGTTAACAACTTATTGTCTAAATTTAAGATAATAAAATAAACAAGTTTGTTAACCTTGTTATCGTTTGCTATTATCATACATACATACGTATAATATTCTAATTATTGGGTAAAAAAGGGAAACTACTCAACCTATACCTAAATAAAATACTAATATTTCTTTATAGGAACTCAAAAATCGGACGACCTCGGTGGTTTAGCGGTCTGGCACACCGCTTTAATTCCGATGGTCGCAGGTTCGATTCCTCGCACGGCACAAACATTTATATTCATGAGGATGTTTGTATCGGTTTGGGTGTTTTCTATGTATGATATGTATGTATTTACTAAAAAAATATCTATGTATATGTCACTTATCTAGTACCCATAACACAAGCTTTAGCTAGCTTAACTTGGGTCTAGATGGCGCTGTGTGAATTGTCCTGAGATTATTATTATTTTTATGTTTCGCTTTCTCAATCTTTATTATTATTATTAAAAATATTATTATTATTAAAAATAGTATTTTTCAAAGTAGCGTAGTTGCAACCGTTCAATAGCGTGCCCCGCTAAGGCAGATTTCAGTGACTACAACGCCATCTAGTTTGAGAGAGATAACCACCACAATATATTTTTAATTATTTAATACGATTTATGCTTAAAAACTTGAAGTAAACATATTAATAGTAAAGATTAAATCTAATTATAATTATGATAATAATTAAATAAAAAAATGTATGGTCTAGAAAGTTTAATTCAATCATGTTTATTTTTGAGTATAAGAAATAAGTTCTGATTTGACCATAACAGTCCGACCTACCCACTGACTTTAAAAATAGAACAATCATATTGTGCGGACTGCCTAGTTCTGTTTAAACGGTCGAAGTGTGAACATATAAGTGAAATATCTTTGTATATCGTTGCTGCTGTCCTCCGTAACAAAAGTTAATATGGATGGTTAAGATTTCTTTAATTTCGCCTACTATGTACAATGTAATAGTTCAGACAGGACGTCTGTCGAGTCAGATAGTAGTAGGTACATATATTTTTTATTCCTTGTCCCAAATAAATCCACTAAGTTTAAATTTATGAATAAAAACAGATTTAAAAATATTCTTAGCAGGATGTTTGCCGCCCGCACCGGCGTTCACAATCAACGGCATCAGATGATCTGCTTCTCCGAGAGGATGAGCTTCTAAACCACCAGGCACCTCCATCCACGTACACAGACGATCCTTTACTTCATCAACATCGCCAGTACACACTTCATTTAAGAACCCATCAAACTCATTATTAACAATCACATTATCATTATCAGTATCAGCTTTCTTAAATTCTACCATATTGTGGTATGACATACCCGAGCCGAATATGGCAACACCATCTTTCCGGAACTGATACAACGCGTTTCCTATATCAAAATGTCGGGCTGCGTCTTGACTTTTCAAAATGGAGACTTGCACTATGGGTATTTTAGCGTCTGGATCTATTAGTATCATTGGTACGAAGACACCATGGTCCCAGCCGCGAGTGCTGTCGAGTTTTGAAGGAATTCCCGCCTTTTCGAAGGCTTCATGTATTCTTCTTGCCAATGTAGGATCACCAGGCGCATTATGCTTGAACGTGTAACTTACTGGAGGGAAATTGTAATAATCATACAACATACTATGATGTTCGCTAGATGATACAGTCGCGATATCTTCTTCTCTATGCGCTGTAACCACGATAACTGCTTTCAAGCGATCCAAATCAACAAGATTCGAGACATTTCTGAGAGAATCGGCAATCTCCTTATTCAATTCCTCGCCTAATATTGGATACGGTCCACCTCCATGGTTGAGGAAGAGAGATGGCGCGAAATATGTATTATTTTCACATTTAATAGCCGTTAGAAATGTAACAATGATGAAAAATAGAGCAGACATATTATTTACACGCGATCTGTTTGTATTTAAAATGTATACTGAATTCGACAATGACCTTATCTCGAAGGGTCATCTATGTATATAAATAAAATTGGAGTGTCTATTTGTAATATTGAAATAACCGTTTTTTACTACGTGCATATGAACAAAAATACGGTACATACACCAAAATAACTGTTTGTACAATTTTTGTCTGTCTGGCTGTTTGTTCCGGCTAATCTCTGAAATGGCTGGAACAATTTTGACGGAACTTTTTTTGGCAGGTAGCTGATGTAATAAGGAGTAACTTAATCTATTTCTATTTTAGAAAATAAAGTTAAATTCCCCGCGGACGATGTCGCGGAAACAGCTAGTTATGGTTGTAAAATCAATTACCTATAATGTACGTGTAAAAATATACAATGTGTGGTCTATGGTGAATGACCAACTAAATAATATAAAAAGAGATTTGATGGTTTGTTTGTAATTAATAATAGTGTTCAGGTTACGAAACAACTGTCTTCGTCGCGTTCATAATAATAATAAACTGACGCCGCAAAGATTAACACACCAGCAAAAGTTAAGACAATAAGGAGAAAATAATGATCTTAGCTAATCTTAATCTATATCTATATCTATACTAATCTTTATCTATACTAATCTATATCTATACTAATATTATAAACAGGAAAGGTTTGTATTTTTGTGTGTATGTTTGTATTGAATAGGCTCCGAATCTACTGGACCGATTTGAAAAATTCTTTCACCATTAGGAAGCTACACTATCCCTGAGTAACATAGGCTATATTATATTTCCAAAAAAATTAGGGATCCTTACTAAAACTCTAATAATGTAACCCAAGGTGTAAATATTATATAAGCTAGTAATATTATAAATGCGAAATTTTTGAGTATGGATGTTACTCTTTCACGCAATAACTACTGAACAGATTTTGATGAAAGTTTACAGTAATATAGCATCAAAATAACAGGCTATAAATTACAAAAAAAAAATCCGCAGTTTCTCTAGACGAAGGATTACAACCAATGTGTGTTGCCAGTGATGACTTACGGAACAGAGACGTGGTCGCTAACTATGGGCCCCATAGACAAGCTCAGAGTCACTCAGAGGGCAATGGAGAGGGCTATGCTCGGAGTTACTCTGCGTGATCGAATTAGAAATGAGGAGATCCGCAGAAGAACCAGAGTAACCGACATAGCCCGAAGAATTGCGACTCTGAAGTGGCAATGGGCAGGGCACATAGCTCGTAAGACAGATGGCCGTTGGGGCAGTAAAGTCCTCGAGTGGCGACCACGGACCGGAAGACGCAGCGTGGGAAGGTCTCCAGCAAGGTGGACCGACGATCTGGTCAAGATCGCTGGAAGGCATTGGATGCGAGCAGCGCAGGACCGATCTTCGTGGAGATCTTTGGGGGAGGCCTATGTCCAGCAGTGGACGTCTTCCGGGCTGCGATGATGATGATGATGATGGTGATGATAAATTTCAAGCAGGTGAAACCGCAGGCGCAGCTAGTAGTACTATAAATCTAAATTGGAGTGGACATGATAACTTGACCTAATGTTATCGTTGAACAATTTTGCACTATATAATAGTGTAACAGTCAATTAAACACTGACTGTTGGACACATACCACGTCAGATCTATTTATATGGAAGGGATTGTTAGTAATGTGGACTCATAACCATTACTAGTAATGTACCATGTCAGGTTGACCTCCACGCGGTTCCCCCTGGAAACTATCGCGATAAATTCGTGGTAAATTTGTCACGATTGGCTAACTGACCTGACCTCATGCTCATCTTATCGTCCTTCACTGGTGCCACAAATTATCATTCATATTCAATCACCATTATCATTCATAAAAAAAACATATATTTATATATATATATATAAATATATGTTTATATGTATGTATATATGTATATATCTAGATAATGTATGTATTAAATTAAGTATTCATATAATATGTACAGAGTAATTAACATTACGTTTAAAAACGTAATACTCTTTTAAAGGTGCATCTATGCTATAAAAAAATAAGAAAATTGGGCTATCGCTAAATATTTTAGACCACTGTCATGTACGGAAATCATGAGCGGTCATTATAAACAAGGATTAAGGAAATTATAAACAGGGACAAGAATTGAAGGATATTCTTAGGAGCGGTGGTTTTTATTTCCTCAGAAAAGAGTGTAAACTTCAGGATTGTGTAAACTTTCCAAAGGAGATATTTAACATTTAGGGGGATGAAAAATAGATGTTGGCCGATTCTCATACCTACTCAATACGCTAACAAAATTTCATGAGAATCGGTCAAGCCGTTTCGGAGGAGTATGGGAACGAAAACTGTGACACGAGAATTTTATATATAAGATAAACTTCTTCATTTTTAAAATGACGTACTTCCGTACTCGTTTCATCTCTCTTTACAACACCTTACAACCCTTTTTTGCTTTTTTTATATTTAATCGACAGCCTATAACGTTTTTCTTATTAAACCGTTTTTTTTGCTAACCACATTGTGGAATAATTCCAGCAATGGTATTTCCGAACCGATACGATATTGAAACCTCAAGACAAGAACTTATTCCTTCTTAAAAGGCCGGCAACTTACTTGCAATTCCCCTGGTGTCGGGGTACTCATGGGCGGCGGTAATCACTTTCTAGGTGCTTGTACCTATGTACCTATGCTATAAAAAATATAATTACAAAAAAAAAGCTAGGGCAAATAAAAAAATAAAATTATGCGTATGCATCACTGCATTTAATCTCAATAATATTCTCTCTTATATATTATTACATATTTTTATTTATTATAAGTAAACTCAAAAAATTCTTAATGGATTTTTAAATATTTGTCACTTATTACACACCTACAATGTCAGCGAACAAGATTGTACTGCACCTATATCTCAGTATTGTCGTTCCTCATTATCATTACATAGTATAAAACAAAGTCGCTGTCGCTGTCTGTCCGTCCCTATGTATGCTTAAATCTTTAAAACTACGCAACGGCTTTCGAAGCGGTTTTTTTTAATGAGTGATTCAAGAGGAAGGTTTATATGTATAATACATGTACACCCGGGCGAAGCCGGGGCGAGTAGCTAGTAATATAATAATATAATGTCCTTGGACAGTTAACATAGAGCCATTTTGTCCCAAGTTAAGCTGAGCTTGTGTTATGGGTACTTACTGATATAAATACATAGTTATATATTTTTTAAATACATTCATAATATGAATAGAAAACACGCAAATCGATAAAAACGATTATTAATACAAATGTTTGTACCGTGCGAGGAATCGAACCCGCGACTATCGCACGTAAAGCGGTGTTCTAAACTACTAAACCAGCGGGGTCTAATAGTTTAGTTAGCACTCCCGCTTTACGTCCATTCATTCATTCATTCGATTCTATTGAATCTCCTACAGATATTTACATAATCAGCGGGCGATAGCTGTACTTCCTGCAATTAACGCCGTGGGATACAGCTAGTGTTAAATGAATCTCTTAATGAAGTCAGCATGGCTCAGTATTCTGGTGAAGGCGGAGAGCGTCCTGGAGTTGCAGCCGTGGTCCCCCGTGCTGGGCGAGGTGGACACCACGCCGCGTAGGTAGTACCGCTCGATGGAGCGCTCGGGCGCCGGCAGCACTAGCCCTCCGCCGCTGTCCCCTTGACACACGGCCGTGCCTGCCGACCAACAGTACAACAGTTACAACAACACACGCACACCTGGTGCAAATATCCTCACAACACCACGCCCCCCGCTCGAGCGCCGGCAGCACCAGCCCCCCGCCGCTGTCCCCTTGACACACGGCCGTGCCTGCTGACCAACAGTGCAACAGTACAACAATACACGCACACCTAGTGCAAACATCCTCACAACACCAGCTAGAGGGTGGAAAAGTGATTGTTAGCAATGAGGATTTCTGACTCCATTGCTAGCAATGTACCATGTCAGGTTCACCTCCACGCAGTTGGAAACCATCCTGATAAATTCTTGATAAATTTGTTCACGCCAGCGTAAACTGTTTGCGCAGACGGGTACATCAATCCATTCTCATCCATAAAAAAACACTCCAGTCAGAGGGGCGACGAGGGGGTGTGTGGTTTCTTACCCAAACATATGACGTACCTATGGGCCCCGTTGCCGGGGTCACTAGGTCGCGTTACCATTCTGCCGCTACTCATCCTCTCTTTTGTACCTTGTACTATATAGTCTGTTTTGTAATCTCGGCGACTAAATTGACAGGTGTAAATCAGGACTGTTATGGATATAAAATTTCGGATACGGATAGGTTTCGGATATAGGAATGATTATTATACCGGATACGGTTACGGATGCGGATATGAAATTATTTCGGATTATCCGTTAGTTTCACACACAGGATAATTTTGGTTACGGATATTAATTTTATATAAGGAATTTCAAAAGTAAAATACCACAAACTAATAAAATGGTTACATAGCGAAGCGAGTCTCAATTAGGCTCCGTCCCTATCCAATATCCGAAACTTTTATTTCGGATTCGGTTACGGTTACGGAGCTCCCTAACATCCCTGGTGTAAATGTCAAATTTTCAAATAATTTTACTATTAAATTTAGTGAAGATCGCGAGGAATCAATTCCAAGTAAGTGATTCCATACTTTTGCTCGCGAGTGTAGTTGGCATTGTATAAATTGTCTAAAGAAAATAATGCTTCTCACCTTTGTCTATATAATAGTTTAGGTTTAGATGGCATAATCTAAAGAAAATAATGGTCTCAACTTTGTCTATGTAGTAGCGTCTAAAGAAAATAATCGTCTGTATTATAGTTTAGGACTAGATGACATAGTCTAAAGAAAATAATGGTCTGTATAGTAGTTTAGGACTAGATGACACAGTCTATAGAAAATAATGGCCTGTATTATAGTTTAGGACTAGATAACACAGTCTAAAGAAAATAATGGTCTGTATAGTAGTTTAGGACTAGATGACACAGTCTAAAGAAAATAATGGTCTGTATAGTAGTTTAGGACTAGATGACACAGTCTAAAGAAAATAATGGTCTGTATAGTAGTTTAGGACTAGATGACACAGTCTAAAGAAAATAATGGTCTGTATAGTAGTTTAGGACTAGATGACACAGTCTAAAGAAAATAATGGTCTGTATAGTAGTTTAGGACTAGATGACACAGTCTATAGAAAATAATGGCCTGTATTATAGTTTAGGACTAGATGACACAGTCTAAAGAAAATAATGGCCTGTATTATAGTTTCAGGACTAGATGACATAGTCTAAAGAAAATAATGATCTGTATAGTAGTTTAGGACTAGATGACACAGTATAAAGAAAATAATGGTATGTATAGTAGTTTAGGACTAGATGACACACTCTATATAAAATAATGGCCTGTATTATAGTTTAGGACTAGATGACACAGTCTAAAGAAAATAATGGCCTGTATTATAGTTTAGGACTAGATAACACAGTCTAAAGAAAATAATGGTCTGTATAGTAGTTTAGGACTAGATGACACAGTCTAAAGAAAATAATGGTCTGTATAGTAGTTTAGGACTAGATGACACAGTCTAAAGAAAATAATGGTCTGTATAGTAGTTTAGGACTAGATGACACAGTCTAAAGAAAATAATGGTCTGTATAGTAGTTTAGGACTAGATGACATAGTCTAAAGAAAATAATGGTCTGTATAGTAGTTTAGGACTAGATGACACAGTCTAAAGAAAATAATGGTCTCACCTTTGTCTATATAACCGGCGCATATTTTGTCATAAGTGAGGTATCTTCTGAAGTCTTCAGGTATTAGTGAGCTGCAATCGCCGTACGATATTATGGGCAGTTCCACGACCTGAAGAGTTGGAGACGCATTGCCTTCAGAGACTAGACCCCATCCGGCTACCTGTTTGACGTCATCGTACGTATTACTCAAGGATAGAAAGTTATAGTGATAAGTATCTGAAATATATATATATCTGTGGAATATTGTTATCTATGGTAAAACTCAATAATGTACGGTTCTGCCTTGACATATTTGATGACCTCGGTGGTATAGCGGTCTAGTACACACACATTACACACACGACACATACAATCATACTCATGAATACAAATGTTTGTGCAGTGCGAGGAATCGAACCCGCGACCATCGGACGTAAAGCGGTGTGTTAAACCACTAGACCACCGAGGTCATCTGTTACAAGTTAATACTTAGATAAATTTATTTTTACATGATTGATTAGCTACTTTATAGGTCAGAGCCCTGCTCCCCCGTGGCTACGTCGATGGTGCTCTGTGAATGGGGTTAGGATTACCATCCACTTACCTTCCCCTTAGAATCTCTCCTGGTGAGTTGTCTATTATCAAAGGTGTCGTCAAAATCAAGACACACGGGTGCAATGTGAGATTCATATGTGAATGACACGCTTAGCACCAGAACCGCGATATCTTGCGCGTAATTCGTCGTCCTGCCGTGGTAAGACTCCGGGATCTCGATAGACTTCACCTGTTTCAAGATAAATAGAGTCAGAAGAATTTAGGTCATCATTATAGTAATATGCAACACTTTTGTACTTTATTTTGCCGAAATTGTGCTGACGGAGAAATATGAAATTTCGCACTTTTAGCACAGGTAACAATCTTAAATATAAAAAAAAATAAAATAAGGAGAGCAAATTTGTAATATTTTTTAATATACCTATATTAAATCTATACATATAAATAAAATTGGAGTATCTGTTTGTAATATTGAAATAACCGTCTTTTACTACATGCATATGAATATAAATACGGTACGTAAATAACATTTTCTACAATTTTTGTCTGTCTCTCGGTTTGTTCCGGCTAATCTCTGAAATGGCTGGACCGATTTAGACGGGACTTTTTTTTGGCAGATAGCTGATGTAACAAGAAGTAACTTAGGCTTCTTTTATTTCAGAAAATGAAAGATAAATTCCACACAGACGAAGACTCTGTACCTGCGTGCTACACGTAGTCAATAATATAAACATTACACATACACACTACAACCGCTATTTGGTATAGCTGGTTCAAAGATGATTTTATATGTTTTATTATGGTCGAATATCGACCACTGGGCGACCACTAATAATGGAAATGTTATAAATATTCAACGAGAAATATAGTAATTTATTGAGTGACATTACAATTCAAATATATTCTTTTTATATTAAAAAGTTTGGCTGGCCAGTAAGGTATTATAACTTAGCCAACCACTCTGTGGGGGTTGCGAAAGCCTGCTCGCGCATATATGTACATATATAATATATATAAAGTCTAGCTTTATTAAAAAAACGTAAGTTTATTAGATTAGAATAGAAAATCATTTATTCAAATAAACTTACATTGAAGCACTTTTGAATAGTCATTACATTTTTTTTTAATCTACCGCTCGTTCGGAAAGCTGTCTCATCACAAGAAGAACGAGCAAGAAACTTGCGTGTTGCTCTTTTAAATAATTTTATTATTACTTTACATTTTTAAGTTTAAGTGTGTGAATACAAACCACCAATTAGCACTAATTCAATTAAATACTCAAAAAGAAAAAAATATTGAATACATAACCAACTGGTTAAACAATTAATAAGAGGAAATCAGTCATAGTGATTAGAGCAGACCAGTCTCTACAAGCAGCACCCGTTCACGAGTATGACATATGAGCCAGCCATCACTGCGCTCGACCATATTTTAGGGAGCCCAATGACCCGGCCCACCACGCCGCCACAAGTCTGGACATTTTAGTGAGCATGACTACTCAAAACACTAGATCACGTCAAAGCTACTCACAATTGTCATCTGATAGTTATAGTATTCACATTTTACATAAGAATGCATGCGGCAATTAATACAAAAACCGCTACGCTTTCATATTTCTAAAATCAATCAATTAAATCAAGAAAGCAATGAGAAAATAAAATTATAACGTTGTATGCTAATAAACTAATTATTTACTTGATATGTTGTCATCTATGAATTCGTCTATCCTGTAATAGGCTTTCTTACATAAAAATTGTTTAATATAAGATTTGAATTGCCTTTCTGTCAGATTTAATGCAGATTCTGGCAGTTTATTATAATTAATATTTATAAAATAGTATAGTTTAGGGGGTCCGGTGGGGGGTTGGAACCACACTAAGTGTCTGACAATGAGCAGCGCAAGTTATAATAATGCTACGAACAATATATGATAAAATGGAGTTTCTTAAAATAACGAATTTGATATGAAAAAATTTACACCTTTGTTACCTGTTACCTGCCAAAGGAACCACGATCCAGGTTTCATGTTTGGGGATCGTTCTTACCTGTGTTGGGGACACACATACAAGAACTTTCACGTTTACTAATAAGACGTATGTCTGGCCGTCGTGGGCTCTTGCTCTATAACCCTGATAAAAGATGAAGAGAAGGGACATCTTGGTGTTTTTAGCCGGTAATAGTACCTAAACGTACCTTTACCAAACTCAGGACGAAACCACTCTCCTTGAAGATTTTCTCCAAGTAAAAAAAAGGTTTTGAAGTTGGAAATACCAGCACAATTTTGCTTAAAAACACTTCTAGATTTGCAATAGTTAAATTAATATGTAGTGAAAATAGATGAAAAAGCAAGAGGCTTAAATTGTTAGAACCATTGTTGTATATCAAAGATTGCTCGGTTAATTCTGACACCTAGCAATAGATATTGACTGTCATTGTTATAAATATATAAAATAATAATATAAAATGAAAAATTCGTAGATGTGATAAATAATGTGATCTATTTAAACTGTGATATATAATAATGATATGATGTAATGTAATGTAATGTAGGTTTGACTCCATTTTCCGCAATTGGCCTCTCATTTGGGCCGTTGTGCGTGTAGAGCCAGGCTACTAAAGTAGTCAGCCAAGCTCCTCCCAGAAGCGCAAAAGTTTCCTGGTGTCTTCGCAGGCTTCACGGAGCGACCTCACCGTTTCGAGGATTTGATTACGTTGTGTGGCCACTGCTACGCACTCCAGGATTACGTGAGCAGCCGTTTCCTCGGCTCCAAAGCAGCCCCGGCACAGGGGACTGTCTGTAGCACCTATTGTGTACAGTTGTTTGTTTAAGGGATAGTGGTCCGTCATTGTCCCTATCATTATTTTTAGGTTGTGCCTGTCCAGATTGATATGATAATGTGATGTGTAATATTATGCATTATGTTATTATAGTGTATAGGATGTGATTGATTTGGACTTTTCACGAGTGATATCTACTGCTGTATCTGCATTTATTCGATATAACACTAACATTTGAACGTATGGCCTTTGATTTTTCAAGGTACGATCTTTAACTAAAATAGTTGAAACGAACTTTGCATTTCGTGGATTCACCGTTCGGGTGCCGATCCATCGTGTGGCAGGAAAATTATGTGGAAGAGAGTGAACTGTAGAGGGATACTGTTCCCGGGACTTGTGACCAGGGTGCAGGTTTTATTAAATGAAAAATATCCGTAGTTTTTGTTTTTTATCCTACAATAGGAGTGTATATAACAGCACAAACTATTTCAACTTTAACTGAAATAGATCTTACAAAACAGCGAAATAGGTGCTACTGAAATATAGATGTAGATAGACGTCTTTCTCGGAAAATATTGACCGTTATATGAATACTTACGTCAGCCATCTGGGGATTCTTGTCACCAGGATCATTCCACGCTCGGTACAGCTTGCCGGCACCCACAGCATATAATCTGGCGGACTGTTTGCCGTTATCAGTCCAAAAGCAATGTGCCGCTATACAAGTATAAAACAACACTATTAAGAAGAGGGTGTCGGCGCAAGAAAATTACAATGTACAGTATTCGCTCTATCTACAATACGTAGATCAAAAATGGGTGCAAGCTTTGAAGTTAATATAATGTACACAAATTAACCATAAAGACTAAATAAAAACGGTGTTCCATAAGGCAGTATTTTAGGACCCTTGTTATTCTTGTTTTATATAAATGACTTGTCAAATGTCACAAAGTATGACTGCATTATGTTAGCTGACTATGTATCAGTTATAATACTGTGGAATGACAATGAAATATATAACAATGACATAAACGGAGTGAACACAAAAATAGTAGAATCCTTACAGGAAAATAATTTAAATATAAATTACTAAATATCTTGTATTCCCGTGCAGCTACGCCATGAGCGGCGAGGCGAAATACCATAGGGTTTTAGCCGATTGGACACCAGTAGTATAAGCATCCATCAAAGAGACTCTGATGGATTTTCCCCACTTAAGAAAAAGGTGCGTTACCTGATATGACAATGTTATGTCTCACGATGGACCCGCCACAGACCTGCATGTAGGGCGTGGTGTTCTTCCTATATATGCCAGCGTGCCACGGCAGCTCGCCGAGCTTTGCCTTCTGACCGCCTACGGCCAGGGTGTCGCCATGTGGAGTCACACGCCCGCATTCTGTAGTTTTTTTTAATAGGTATAGTCAAAATGATATCCATATAGAACGCGTTGAACAAGCTCTGTGGTCTGGCGGTTGAGCTCAACGCTTCACTTCTGATAGCCGTGAGTTCGATACTTACAGAAACACTTGTATTTTTTAGTTCTTATTATGATTGTTAATTCAATCACTCATAATATCTTTATTCATATAGTGTTTTCAGGAATTGTTCAGATCAATACCATATGGTGAATTTCACCATCGCATTACCCGCCAGAAACTATAATACCACCCAAATCGTTTCATGAAAGGCGTTCCTTCACTACACGTTTTACAAGAAACTTTTTATTACACACAACCACATTGTGGAATCACTTTCCAGCAAAGGTATTTCTTTACCGAATACCATTTTGAAAGCGTCAATAAAAGAGGTTATTCTTTGTTAAAAGGCCGGCAACGCACTAGCAATTTCTCTGTTGTTACGGGTGCTCATGGGTGGCGGTAATCACTTACCATCAGGTGAGCCGCAAGCCCGTTTGTCCCTATGTTATAAAAATCAGTATTTTAGCCAAATGAAGAGGAAACGCCACTACATGTCCTATGTGGTAGTAGCTCACTCTAAATCTAATCTAACTCTATCTCCTATGGAAAGTTTAATCTATGTATGTAGGTCGCAGTGCTACAGGTCCAAGCAGCTCAACCCCCCCCCCCTCCCCCCCAATAAAAAAACCACTATAAAATATATGAGACTAATTTTCAGAAGACCATACCTGGTGAGCATATGGGTGAGTCACTCCAGCCCTCCACTCCACATTTAATGACCGGTGGGTCCCCGTTGAAGTAGTAATAGTAATTATGCTTGCACTTAGGTCTTGCCATGGTACCCTGGGGTTCGTAGTCGTTGCAGGGTCGCCTTCTGTCGATCCCATTTGAAGAGTAGCAGTAATAATCGATACTGTAGTGCCGGATCATGCGACAGAGTCCTGGAAATATTAATAAGTTTTTTTTATAAACATTGATCAAAGATTAAATGCATAGCGATTTTATGTTGATTGTCGCATGCCTAATTCTCGACGGCCTCGGTAGTCTAGCGCTTACAACATTTCAACATTTGTATTCACGAGTACGAGTTTGTATAAGTCTAGCTGTTTTCTATGTATATTACGTATGTATTTAGAAATAAAAGTATCTATGTGTTTATATCAATTGTGTAGTACCCATAACACAAGCTCTGCTTAGCTTGGGACTAGATGGCGCTGTGTGAATTGTCCAGGGATATTATTATTATTATTAATCCTTGTAATGTGTTTACTTAGAACAACTTTTATTTAAAATATGCAATCGCATATATCTTTTAAATTACGCAACGGAGTTTAATGCAGCCAGCAAAAGATAGAGTGATTCAAGAGGAAAGTTTACATGTATAATTCCTGCGTGTTATTTTTAGGTATGTACATTGATTTAAGAAGAAAAAGTATAATCCATCACATTTAAAGTAAGTATTGTTGCTAAGTAACAGTTTGTATGTAATGTGCAATTGCGATCGGAACGAAAGGAAATTATATTTACTGCTATATATGTAATCAACTCAACATCTCCATCAGGTTATGAGCACTAAAGTGAATATAATTTAGTGAATTCTAGAATATAGTGGTGAAAACAAATCGAAATTCTGAAAATGGCAGATGACGATACGTCGAGTCACGGATTTTACGGCATAATGAAACTCAAGGGTGCTTCGGACTTTCCCAACTGAAAATTTCAAGTACGTAATTATCTTGAAAATAAGAATTCATGGAAGACAATAGAGTTAGAACACTTTGATGAAAATTCAAAGATGATGACCGTAAAACCATAATCCACTCAATATCTCCATCAGTTATAGTATAGAAGAAGTCGTGATATTCAAAAAAATTTAGAGCATCCGTCATCAATGCGAGGCCAGAACTAGTAAATATATAAAATAAAATATACTTACGGGCACATGTAGGAATTTTTTGTATGAATTGACCATCTATACAGGTCACATCGGCAACTCCAATCAACTCATAACCGATATTGCAAGTATACTGCAGGTAGATCTGTTTGTACGACTTGCCGGGACTTGCGAATATCTCGTTGGGAGCCGTCCACAAGCCATTCTCAGGGTAGTTTGGAAGGAGGCAGTATGCTGATGTTGCAGTACTGGAAAGCAGGTTAAGTGTGGGTTAAATTGGCAAAGGGTCAATCCTACACCCTGGTCACAAGTCCCGGGAACAGCTCGGAGCTTCCCTTTTTGCCACATCGTGAATCCACGGAATGCTAAGAAATTCATCTCTTGTGTTATATAAAATTCTCGCATCACAGTATTGAAATCAAAAATTATTTATTCACGTAGGACATTTTAGCCGCTTATGAACATCAATTTTTTTTTATCTAATAATTTTCCTTACCGTCCAGATCAGTATACAGATTTCATTGAGAAGAACTGGCAAGAAACTCAACTGATGTCTTTTTAAAAGCCAGTTTTTTTTTACATTGTGTCCTGTGTCTAATATTAAATGAATATCTATTGCACGCTCGTCATTCAAGTAATCGTTTAGTTAGTAATATATAATAATTGCCCCCAATAAATGTGATTTAACAGATGTTTTGAATTTATTTAAAGGTAATTTCAGTCTAACCTTCGGTATCTTATTTGAAATTTTTACACCCATTCTTATAAAAGACCTTTGACTTTTTCTGAACAATACTTAGTATCAGCAAGTTTGTCTTTAAATCTAGTATTAAATCTATAATGAATATGGTTGTTTCTTGTTCGTAACAAAACCCCTTCGAAGCGGCCAGCAGGTCTGAGAATAAGACTATTTCTTCGTCCGCGCAATTTTAGTAAAAAGGGGTGTAAAGTTTTTGCTTCATGTCTTAACCTATATCTCATTAATGGGAGTAAAGAATAGCTTTTACTACTATCTACAAACTTTCTAATAATTTCCTCGTCCTATTCTTTTTCATTCTATTTCTTTTTTTTGTTTTCTCCCTCGCTTTCTCTCTCTCGTAGACATCTATGTTTCCCTTTCACGCAACCTTCCGCTTTATCAACTTATGCTTCACGTATTAATATATAGATATTTTCAATTGAGAATGAAAACTCACCTGAGTGTAAGGCCGTTGTTATTCACAGGTTGGAATCCACTTTTCTTGCACAGTTCTGGAGATTCATCGGAGCCGTCTGCACAATCTTGTTTCTATGGTGTTAGGTTTAATTTAAGTAAGATTTTTTTATTTAATAGTAATAATAATTATTTTGCGTATAAATGACCTACACACAGTGTGGTTTCTAGAAACTTTTTGTATTTCTGAACCGATACGATATTGAAACCATCAAAAAATCTTGCTACCATCAGGTGAGCCGCAAGCTCGTCTATCCCATATGCTATAAAAGTTTATTATAGCATCAATTGTTATTTTATGTAACTATTCTAATGCCGTTTGCCGCAGCTGACCTTTACAGCTTCATCGAACTATAGGAAGCGTATAGATGGCACTCCAAAGTTGCCAAAGAACTTATGGAGCGGCTGAAGACCAACTCCAGCTTGACGGATACAATTTTAGTCTGAAGGCACAACTAGGAAATCGAATCTCGGTTCAGGCTGTAACTTCGATGCCCGTTTAATAGAAGAATAGATTTCGATTTAAAAAAATGCTTTGATCAATCAATCTTACCTCGTTGCAGTCGGAGCCTTGGTCGACGCATGCGCCGTAAGCACACTGGAACAAATGCGGTGCGCAGGTGGTACCGGCGCATACGCGTAGAGTCTCGTCCGAGCCGTCGCTGCAGTCTCGTGTACCGTCACACAATTTCTGTGACGGGATCTTATCCTCGTTGTCGCATTTGAACTTGATACTGGAAAGAAATGGACGGTAGGTAAAAAATATTTATACAAAAAACTTGACGTTCATAATCGGCTAAAATGTCCTACTTGGATAAATGATTTTCCATTTGAAATGTTAAGGAACGTTCATATATCATTAATTTCATGATTCTTTGACCATTTCTCTGTTTACATTTCAGAGTTTCCCCCCTCCCTAGTGTTTTTACTTATTTGCCATTTTTTTCATGTTGCCGTCATTATCTGATGTCAACTTGGCGATGAAAAGAAATATTCTTAAAAATATTAGGGGGCCAAAACCAAAACACTTTTGTACAAGCTCGAACATTATGGTATTAGAAATAATGACCTAAGTCTAATGACAAGTCTAATAACAAAGTGTTAGGTTTGATAAAAAAGGTTCATTTTTTTGAAAAGATGTCGACAATTTGCTATCTCGACATCACATATAGCTCTAATCTTAATATCAGCATCGGTTTGTTTACTTTTCGAAATACGTAAAAAAGATATGGAAGAAATTCATCGAAGTTGTCCGCGCATATTTTGATAAAAAAAGGTTTATTTTTTTAAAAGAGGTCGATAAATTGCTAACTCTGGCATCACATATAGCTCTAGTCCTAGTATCACAAGCAGTTCGTTTACCATTCGAAATACATAAAAGATAAAAAAGAATACTAACTCTTCGCTTGTCCTGGTAATATTCTTGCACCTTGGAAGAAGTTCATCGGAGTTGTCCGCGCAATCTTTGATACCATTGCAGGGCGCACTTCCATCCACGCATGCGCCGTATGTACACCGGAACCAATTACTGGAACACCTAAAGGAAAATTTAGTCTCTTTGTAGATTTCTTATGAGATAGATACCTAACCCTATCATCACGAACTATTGCAGTTTTTACCAATACACTTTTTTGATGAATGTCGGTACATTTTATTTGCCGCAATCTGCCGTACTTTACTGCATTCAATTGCACTTCGCTGCACTCTGATGCACTCTGCCATACTTTGCTGCATTCTACCATACTTTGTTGCACTTCACTGTACTAAGATACACTCTGCCACACTTTTCTGTACTCTACCATGCTCTGTTACACTTTACTGCACTGTGCGGCACGCTGCTGTACTGAGGCGCTTTACTGAACGTTGTTCATCCTTATGCATTCTGCCACAATTTGCTGCATTCTACCGAACTCTTACACTTCACTGCACTCTGCGGCACACTGCTGTACTCTGTCCTACTCTGACGCCCTTGGTTGCAATCTTTTCACTCTGCCGCACTTGTTTGCATTCTACCGCACTCTTATACACTTCGCTGCACTCTGGCGTACTCTGATGCACTCTGACATTATTTGTTGCTTTCAACTGAACTCTATTACACTTCGCTTCGATCTGCGGCACGTTGCTGTTCTTCTATCTCACTCTGACGCACCTTGTTGATCTTTGTTGCATTCTGATGCACTCTTATGTACTTCGCTGGCTTCTGGCTCTCGCTCACTCTGAAGCACAATGCTTCAATTTATTGTACTCTGCAGCACGCTGCTGTGTTCTATTACACTCTCACGCACTCTGTTGCACTTTGATGCAGTTTTCTGCACTTAACTATATTATGTTAAACTGTATTATACCTTGTTATACTAACCGACTTTTTCTACAGAGTGCATGGGTCTCATCGCTGCCGTCCGAACAGTCGAATATGCCGTCACATTTGTAATCCACGCCGATATGCGTCTTGTCACCACATTGCCATAGTCCCTCACTGTAACACGCGAACAGTAATCAGCAAGTAATCAGCAAACACAGAGTAATTTACATTACATTTTATAAGAGTCGGCACTGCCAAAATTTAATCTAAGTAATGGTAGTGAAGTATAGAGCGATCACAATAGATCTCTTTTTTGTAGCATAGGGGACAAATGACCCTTCGGATTACCTGATAGTAAGCGTTTACTGTTTTAATTACTGCCGCTCATGAGCAGATTTCTATACATCACAGTACTACAGATCTAAAAACCCAAAGCTTTTAATAATAAAAAGTCTATAATGTTTCTAAAAGAAGATGTTACAAAAACTACCTTTAGAAAAATTAGTTCTGGGTGCATGTTGAAAGTTGTATATATATACATATAAATAAAATTGGAGTGTCTGTTTGTTATATCATGAAATAACCGTTTTTTACTACATGCATATGAATATAAATACGGTACATACACCAAAATAACATTTTTTACAATTTTTGTCTATCTTTCTATCTGCCTGTTTGTTCCGGCTAATCTCTGAATTGGCTGAACCGATTTAAATGGGACTTTTATTGGCAGGTAGTTGATGTAATAAAGAATAACTTAGGGTATTTTAGAAAAATAAAGTTAAATTCCACGCGGACGAAGTGGCGGGAACAGCTAGTATGAAATAAAAGTTAAAACATTTCTAGCAGTTCTGAGTGCATGTTGAAAGTTACAAGAAATGTAAGTTAAAATATTACGTTTTTATTATTAGTTGGACATATAGATATGGCTAATACGGCAATTGGTTTGTTTACTTATTCTGACTATGAAGTCAAGCCACTGTGGCGAATTTAAAAAGACTTCAACCGAGATAGGGTCCAGTGGGGCCACGTGAGGTCCACCTGATATGGTAGAATGTTGAATTATTTGAAAAGATGTTCAAAACTTTCTTTAACTCTGATGTAACTAAACCTATGTTGATGTTCCAACATAAGTTTAGTTACCATTCGAAAAACATAAAAGAAAAAAAAAATACTGACTCTTCTCTTTTAATCGTAGCATTAATATCCTTGCATCTTGAAAGAAGTTCATCGGAGTTGTCCGCGCACTCTTTGATACCATTGCAGGGCGCATCTCGGTCCACGCATGCGCCGTATGAACACTGGAACCAATTACTGCGACACCTAAAAGAAAAATTTGTCTTTTTGTAGATTTCTTATGACATAGATACTTGAACCTAGCATCACAGGCTACCGCAGTTTTTACCAATACTTTTTTTTATCAATACCGGTCATTGCCGCACTTTGATGTATTACTCTGGTGCACTTTTATGCACTCTGGCATACTGTGCCGCATTGTACTGCACTCTTTTGGACATTGCAGCACTTTGATACACTCTACCACACTTTGCGGCACATTAATGCACTTTGCCGCGCCACTTTGCATTCTACTACGCTCTGTTACATTTCGCTGCTCTATGTGGCATGCTGCTGTACTGTATCAGAGTCTGTTTCTTGTACTTTGAAGCACTCTGCCGCACTTTGCTGCTTTTGCCCAAACTCTGTCGCACTTTGGTGCACCCTGGCGCACTCAAATACACCCTGCCACTACTCTGTTATACTTTGCTGCACTCTGCCGCACTTTGCTGCATTCTACCGCACTGTGCTACATTCTCTCTGTTTTACTTCGCTGCATTCTGGCGCACTCTGCGGCACGCTGCTGTACGCTGTACTCTGTTGCGCTTAACTACACCCTGATGCACTTTTCTGCACTTAGCTGTAATATGTTACACTGTATTATACCTTATATACTAACCGACTTGATTTACAGAGTGCATGAGTCTCGTCGCTGCCGTCGGGGCAGTCGAAGATGCCGTCGCATTTGTAATTCACGCCTATACACGTCTTATCACCACATTGCCACTGGTCATCGCTGTAACACGCGAACACAATCAACAAGTAATTAGTACAGAGTAATTAACATTACCTTTAAAAACGTAATACTCTTTTAAAGGTGCATCTATGCTATAAAAAAATAAAAAAATTGGGCTATCGCTAAATATTTTAGACCACTGTCATGTACGGAAATCATGAGCGGTCATTATAAACAAGGATTAAGGAAATTATAAACAGGGACAAGAATTGAAGGATATTCTTAGGAGCGATGGTTTTTATTTCCTCAGAAAAGAGTGCAAATTTCAGGATTGTGTAAACATTCCAAAGGAGATATTTAACATTTAGGGGGATGAAAAATAGATGTTGGCCGATTCTCAGACCTTGAGTAGGTCTGAGAATCGGCCACAGTCGAAATACGCTCACAAAATTTCATGAGAATCGGTCAAGCCGTTTCGGAGGAGTATGGGAACGAAAACTGTGAAACTGTTCAATATAATTACTATTTTCATTGTTAATTAATTAATGTAATAGTAATCGGGCTATATTGATCAAATCACTGTTATTTAATATTTAACGTAATGAAGTATTAAAGTTAAGGATTAATATAAATATTGTAAATAGCGCCATCAAGTACTTATAGACCGAACTAAGTTGTTTATATTAAGATAACTGTTACCCCCGCCTTACTCCCTACTAAACGGACTTCGGTCTATAAATACGGAGGTCGGTAGTTGAATAATCCTCCCCTCCGATCGATCCCCCGTCTAATTCAAACGGGGATCGAAATTACGACGGCCTGAGCCGAGGTTCGAACCCCTAGTGGTGCCTTCAGACTAAAGTCGTATCCGTCGGGCAGGAGTTGGCCTTCAGCCGCTCCATAAGTCCTTCCGCGGGTTTGGAGTGCCATCTGCATTTGCCCCATAATGTCCGGTGAAGCTGTAAAGGCCAGCTACGGCCAACAGCATTAGAGTAGTCCGAAAAAAAAAAAATTGAATAATCTTTCGTTGGGCGAGCCGCGGCATTCAGTCGACGAGCGCAGAGCGTGCCAGTTGTTTTGGATATTAAAGTGAATTGTATTAGGAATGGGTTTATCCCGGTCTTAGTTGGGCCTGGGGGGAAGCTGCAAGTAGTGAAGGTGTGTTAATGCATTCTTAAAGGGCCTTTTAACCCTACACCCGTGTCACAAGTCTCGGGCGTTACTTGGGGTTTCCCTTGCCGGCTTCAAAGCCCCCACCCCCTGCTAGTAAGTCCCCATCATTAATTATTGCTTCTTACAATCGTAACGATGAGTCGTCTGATATAATACCCGCTCTTACATATATATATGTACATATGGATCGTAAAATTATATATATATGTTCATACATACCTGCAAATTCTCTGTCTCTTGGCTCTACTCAAAATTATAGTCGGCGAGATCAGCCCATAGCTGAAAAAAAATACAGAGCTTATTGCTGGCCACTTAAGAGCCACTTTTTTTTTATTTTAAAAAGATATGTATTTAATTTGAATTGTTATTTCGTGTCAGAGGAAAATTTTATTTTATAATTATATATATATATTATAATTGTAAATATAATGTTGATGTATGATTATGTGTGTGTGTATGTCTGGTTGTCTTTATTTAATATTAGTATATATATGTTCAAAATCTACCCTGTAACATCGTAAGCACAGATTATTATATTAGAGTCCGTTAGTTTTCTGTTTCCGCGCCTTTCCTTCCCATCCTCCTCATTGTGTTGTGAATTAAAATAAATTAGAACTGTGAAACCTACTGTGAAACTGGAAAGCTAGCGAAGATATCTTCGAGACCCTGAAGCCCAAGAAATCCGCAGAACCATACAGGTACGCGACTGACGCTTCCACTCATTTTTCACTATATATATATACAGAGAGTAAATTCCCTAACATTTTGGTAGCAGAGTAGTTTCCCTAACAATATAATTATATTTTAATGTATAGTTATGAAGGCTGAGTAGCCTATACATCCATAATCACACATTTTCGCGTTTATAATATTAGTAATAACAGTATATTTATATTTTTTTTCATAGAAACTAATTTTAAGAATTGTTTAAATGAATCAATATTTTTTAATCTCTGCTGTTACTTTCATTCGTTATAAGTTCTTAAAATCATTTTAAACTTATTTACCTTGTTTTGTTTTGATGGTCAGCAGCCACAATTGATGCAGTAATTGAAGATATTGCTGTAATAAATATAAATATTATATTAGAATACCATTTGTACAAAAGTAGACTTTCTAGAAAGTTATCTGCGTGTGTACTGTCTCATCTATTTCAGCCAAGCAGCTTGCTTTGTAAGCTGTTTCGGTTGTAGGGTGCAGATTAGACAGTGAAATTACAGGGTAAGAGGCGTGACATCTTAGTACTCTGGAATGGCAACGGTGAGTGGTATCACGGGCGTCACGTGATAGGCAGTGAAATAACAAAATTAACACTCTTAAACACATTTTATAAAGCGAACAACATAGTGTATAAAATATATGACACACGCTGACGACTTTGTACAAAGTCCACTTCGGTAAAAGTTAGATAGATAGATAGAATATGCTTTATTTGCATTATACAATGATTGAAGATAGGTACAAATAATTAGTAAAGACGAATAAATATATATAATTTCATAGTATAACAACTTCACATAACACAACCTTCCATATACTCAGCCTAGGCCCGTGAGGGCGAGTATCACCTTAATTTTTATTATTATTTTACTATAAAATTGAAGAATTCGTTAACGATAATAATGTTTTTATAGAAAAACTTTAAATCCATAGCACTGACAATATTATCTGATTACACTAATAATGAGTGCGTAGCGATTTCTATGTTGATTATCGCATGCCTCTTACTTGTTATACTGTAATTATTTATATAAAAAAAAATATATTAAAAAGAGCAACACACAAGTTTCTTGCTCATTCTTCTTGTGATGAATCTGCATTCCGAATGAGTGGTAGAATCAAAATATGACTATTCAAAAGTGCTTGTAATGATTTTATTTGAATAAAGATTATTTCTATTTCTATTTAAATTAGATAATAGCGTGACATAGTCCGGAATGGTAACGTATTAGTTGTAACACGGGTATGAAATGATGACGTAATATCTGGTGGTAATATTCATGTGTATAGGCGACGATTGCCTTGCTTGTTTGCCATTTCAATAAAATAAAAAAAAAATAAACCTTAAAAATTAAAACTAAAGTTCTAATTTTAAAACGTAGGTAATTATACAAAAACTACGCAAGCTTCATTTTTTATTTTGTTTAAAAATATTGGATTCTAACGTCTCGGGCAGATAAATTTAACGAATGTATTGAGTTGAGTAGTCTTATTGGAGCAAGCAAGTAAGGAACCTAGGATTTATGTTATCGACTGCAATTCGATAAAACGATATTATTGCAAGCAAGTCTGGCCGCCCAGAGTTTGCATTTTTAAGTCAAGATCGACCAATCAACTATGTATTTGTTTTTGTAGTGATGTGACCAAATAAATTATATTATTTTTCTTGGTGTGTGTAATAGCGCAGTTATGATGTGATTTGATATGTATATATATTTTTGTGTATTTTCTGTATATATTATTGGTTATATATGTCTTATTATTCCATAACTACTCTATTGTATGCTTCTTCTACTCTATTATCTAATCTTATCGTGTCGCTAGCAAACAAGCCAGTTACAAATACTTTGTTTTTTAATATATCAAAAACTAATCGCCTTCAGTCACTTTGGATTCAAATATATGAAGTGAAATGTGGGTACCAGCTGTTCCCACGACTTAGTCCGCGCGTCCGCTCTATTTTAAAAAATAAAAGTAGCTTAAGATACTGCTTATTACATCAGCTACCTGCCAAAAAAATTCCCGTTTATATCGGTCCAGCCATTCCGGAGATTAGCCGGAACAAACGGACAGACAGACAGACAAAAATTGTAAAAAATGTTATTTTCCTGTATGTACCGTATTTCTATTCATGTGCATGTATTAAAAAACTGTTATTTCAATATTACAAACAGACACTCCAAGTTTATTTATATGTATAGATGTTTTACCGCTCTGGATACTGTCATGTCAGTGTTATGTGAATGACGTTGGCCAATTGTCAATTGGTTGTTTTTTTTATAATTTGAATATTTCTGATCTATGTAGGTATAATATGGTAACACGTGTCTAAGGAGGTACCAAGTATAAAACCAGTTTGAGCGGCTATCAGGAAAATGAAGTAGAATTATTTATAACAAATCTGTATTTATAATTTTCCTTGAATGTACTAAATAAATTCTCTCCCCGTCCAATTCAAACAGTGACCGAAATTATACGGCCTGAGCCGAGGTTCGAACCTGTAGCGGCGCCCTCAGAATAAAGTCGAATCCGTCAGGCGGAGTTGTCCTTCAGCCGCTCCATAAGTTCTTCAGAGGGTTTGGAATGCCATCTGCACTCGCCGCCAATCGTCCGGTGAAGCTGTAAAGGCCAGTTGCGGCTAACAGCATTAGAATATTTCGAAAAAAAAAAAACGGTAGTAAACAAAATCAGACGTCTATTTATAGGTTTTTTGTGGGTGATAATTAAGATAGAATAGTGCATCCGCGTGCGCTAACTGTAAACGCTGGTGGGGCCAAAAGGAGGATGATAGGCCAGGTCAGTTTGCCCATCTTTTTTTACCCATTCCTTCCCACTGTCCCATTCTTAATAATAATAATAATAATTCTTTATTGCGCACAGACAAACAAAGAACAATAAAAAAATGATAAAAAGTTAGTTGTCTTAAGACATACATTTTTTTTTTCAACAAACTATGTATTTATACTGTAGCTACTAATGAAATTTGAATTTTAAAATATTTTTTCTATTAAAATACTTTTTTTTGGTAGTAATACATACATATATATTGTCATTTTAATATTGTTACCGCTATTATTTATGTTTATGTTGTGTTCATATGATGAGTAATTGTTGTTATGTACATATTTATAATTACGAAATATTTACAATGAATATATAGTAACAAGATGGATTCGGCCGACAAGCTTGTTATTTATGATTATGTGTTCTTGTGTTCATGTAGAAGCAGCAGGAAAGGAGATGAAGTGATAAATTGCTATAAATTTACATTATGTATATTAACAAAATATTTACAATTGATATATATACAAGAATGTGATTCGGTCTCGAATGACTAGCTTGTTATTCTATTCTTCTGTAGTAATTAAAAAAAAAGTTTCTGTAGCAACGGTGTTGCCGCGCGATAATAGTTTTTTTTTTAAGGATGATAATGAAATGGTGCACCCGCCTGCGCTAACGGTTTACGCTGGCGGTGCACCAGTGGAGGATGATAAGATGAGCATGAGGTCAGGTCAGTTAGCGCATCGTGACAAATTCACCAAGAATTTATCACGATAGTTTCCAGGGGGAACCGCGTGGAGGTCAACCTGACATGGTACATTGCTAGCAATATGATCATCAGTCCACATCACTAACAATCTCCTTTCCCCCTGCCCGATAATAGTTAATTCGCCACACATATTATAAGTTTTTTTTATGTATTATTAAGACCTTAATCCTATTAAATCGATGCTTGGGAAGTAATGGGTCAAAAGTGCAGGATTTGACCACGATGGTTTCCAAGGGGAACAGCGTGGGGGTTGGCCAAACATGGTACTTTGCTTGCAAAGGGGTCACTACTCCCCATTAATCCCTTTCTCTCTCTATATTTAGAAATTAATCCTCCTTGTTAATAATTTTTATAGCCTATATTTATTTATTTATTTTTTCTTTATTGAACAAAAAAAAATTGTACAAGAGACGAGCTTAATGCCGTATGACTATTCAAAAATATGACTATTCAAAAGTGCTTGTAATGAGTTTATTTGAATAAAGATTATTTCTATTTCTATGGCATTCTCTCCCAGCTAACCTTTGGGTATAAGCAGAAACCGTAGTATATATTATGGCTATATATATATTTATTTATTTATTTACGTCACACTAAGTGAACTTTACAGTTCCCAATATGCCCACTTAGGAAGATTGTATACATATACACACTTATGAAACACTACTTACTAATACATACACTAATTACACAAGAAAAAATAAAATAGTAATAATCTTAATTTTCCATACTATATAAATAATCTACCATCCATGCCATCCTACGAAACTCCAGCAAATTACAAGTAAATATGTCTAGATCTGGAAAGCGACTAACTACACCGTTGAGTAGACTCAATGTCAGAGAAATAGGAGCCTGTTTGGCCAGCTCTATTCTTCTCCATGGAACATCAAACAAGTTTCGTCTTCTTGCTTGTACGTAATTATTGGGCGCTCTTATGGACACCGATGTTAATACCGCTTGGTTACATTTTTCACCTCTTATGACTGTGACTACATATTCCATCGATGCAATATTCCGTCTTACTTCATATCCCACCATCCCCAATAAAAACATAGTAGGTTATATATTAGGGTATGTGACTCTATAACTATACTGCCTTTGATATATATATCATATACACTTCTTTTGTCAATATATGTATCTGTTATATGTTCCTGTCACTGTTCTTGTTTCGTTTTTTTATTGTAATAATATAATATATTATAATCATCATAATAACCAAGTGAGAAATCCACAATTCTCTCAACAATGTACATATATAATATACATATACTATCAGGCCATGCGTTGCTGTAGCTAAGGTTTATGAATAAAATAATATTGCGACTATAAATTGAGATGTCAGCTATCCTATCTTTCAAGTTGGATGCAATCAAGTTTGTAATCAAATGTGCAAATCAAGTTATCAATCGGTTCAATAGTTTAGGAGTCTATAGCGGACAAACAACGTGACACGTAATTTTTATATATAAAGATCTGTATGCAATAATTTGTTTACTAACATTTGATTATATAAATCATATTTAAGGACTTACCATAAACAAAGAGTAACATAAATAAATTTGAACATTGTCAGTCATCGGACTAGTAATAATACCACAAATTAAGTTAAATACCATAAATTACGTAAATAAATAATCACAAAACTACACAATAATTAATATTTATGTTAGAAAAATGTAAAGAATGAAAATATATTAAATAGGTACTTGTGCATTCCATTATTACTGAATTACTTTAGAATGAATTTTGTAGCGTTTATTTGTTTACAAACGATTTATATTATTATTACATGCATTATTCATTTAATATTAGCAGAATATGACTTACCATAAACAAAGAGAAGTATAAATTTGAGCATTGTCAGTCCTAAGTCATCGGATTATTAATAATATCATAAATTAATTGTATAATTTATAATAAATAATCACTGAATCACACGCTAATATTTGTATTACGAATGTATAGAATAAAAATGTATTGAATACTTGTGCATTCCATTATGACTGAATTACTTTAGAATGAATTTTGTAGCGTTCATTTGTTTACAAACGATTTATTTTATTATTACATTCATTATTATACTAATTGCGGAGACTGGAGTCCAACATACATGCATTATTCATTTAATATTAGCAGAATATGACTTACCATAAACAAAGAGAAGTATAAATTTGAGCATTGTCAGTCCTAAGTCATTGGATTACTAATAATATCATAAATTAATTGTATAATTATAATAAATAATCACTGCATCACACGCTAATATTTGTATTACGAATGTATAGAATAAAAATGTATTGAATACTTGTGCATTCCATTATGACTGAATTACTTTAGAATGAATTTTGTAGCGTTCATTTGTTTACAAACGATTTATATTATTATTACATTCATTATTATACTAATTGCGGAGACTGGAGTCCAACATACATGCATTATTCATTTAATATTAGCAGAATATGACTTACCATAAACAAAGAGAAGTATAAATTTGAGCATTGTCAGTCCTAAGTCATTGGATTACTAATAATATCATAAATTAATTGTATAATTATAATAAATAATCACTGAATCACACGCTAATATTTGTATTAGGAATGTATAGAATGAAAATCTATTAAAAATGCTATTTATTGCATTTCACTTCACTGATTACTATAAAACGAGTAGATGTACTAAAGTTTTGTAGTGTTCTCGTGCGCTCACTGACAACTATCGACATAGGATATGTTATAAAGATCCATACTCATCGTATTAAACTGAGATACCGGTTTACTTCAACGTTTTCCTTATACATTTTAACTAGCTGTTCCTGCGATTTTGTCTGCGTGGAATTTTATTTTTTTCTAAAATAAAAGTAGCCTATGTTACTCCTTATTACATCAGCTACCTGCTAAAAATGTCCCGTCAAAATTGGTCCAGTAATTTTAGTGATTAGCCCGAACAAACAGATTGAAATTGTAAAAAATGTTATTTTGGTGTATGTACCGTATTTATATTCATATGCACGTAGTAAAAACCGGTTATTTCAATATTATAAACAGACACTCCAATTTTATTTATAATCATTGTATAAAAAACACATTTACAGGAAAGTCTAGTCGACTTCAACGTGCCTCTTTTAATTATTTTTTTAATTTAAATTTTTCTATGTGTTGTAAAATTCTAAAATATTGACAACAGATATTGAAACAAGTTATTGAACTGCCTTTAAAAATAACCAAACTTATAGCTGCTTTAAAACCGGTACTTTTTTAATAGTTTTTCCGTAAATGAGTAATAAATGTAGATCCATATTAGCAATCTGTTATCTGTTTGTCTATCCTACTAATATTATAAACGAGTAATAATATATAAAAACTTTCACGCAAAAGCTACTGAACAGATTTTAATGAAACTTTACAGTATTTTTTATTTTTTTTATACTACTATGGTGGCAAACAAGCATAGCCCATCTGATGGTAAATGGTTACGGTAGCCTATGGACGCCTGAAGCACCAGGGGTGTCACGTGCGCGTTGCCGACCCTTAAGAAACCTTAATATACCTTGAAAAACCCCATGCTGTAGTCTCGTGAGAAAACCTCGGCAGGAAGTTCATTCCACAATCTAAATGTACGTGGGAAGAAAAAGTATTACTCCAGTATTATTTAGTAGCTTATACATCAGAATAACATACATACAGAACCATTACATAGTATAAAACAAAGTCGCTGTCACTGTCTGTCCGTCCCTATGTATGCTTAAATCTTTCAAACGACGCAACGGATTTTGGAAGTGTTTTTTTTAATAGATAGTGATTCAAGAGGAAGGTTTATATATATAATACATGTACACCCGTGTGGAGCCGGGGCGAGTAGTTAGTATACAATAATAATATATTAATTTACCATTTAATCATAGTTCCACGGTTAGCAGATCTTGTGTTATGGATATACTAGACAACTGATTAATAGATTATTATATATTATATTAATATAAATAGATAAATATAATATATATAGAAAACATACAACCCGGCTTCGCTCGATTGTACATGTATTATACATAGTATAATACATGTACAATCGAGCGAAGCCGGGGCGAGTAGCTAGCAAGCTATAATTTAAAAAGATAATATCTAAATTGGGCGAAATATAATGATAAATGTCAAGTAAGTGTGATGCAGACGAATCAGTTAGTTATTAGTAAAGGTTTTCATTCTTGCTTTAGAGCAGAGACTATAGTCTATGGTCTAAAGCAAAAATGAATAAGATGGCAGGTAATCCAAAACCCCGAGGGTTGTTGAGCCTGGAGAGGATCCCGAAGCAAAGGAGCCCAGAGGCCCCAACTCGTGCCTAGGAAAAACATTCTCAAAAAAATGTCTATCTTCTATGCCAGATTGAATATAGACTGTTTCAAAAGAGTTAGTGATTGCACTAATAAAAGCTTACGTAACAATAACAAACTGATTTTACCTAAATGTCGTTTGGCTAAAGTTAGTAATTCATTTTATGGCAATTGCGTAAGGTTTTACAATAAAATACCAGAGTCTGTTATAAATCTGCCAGAAAAAGATTTAAATGTCAAATAAAACAGTTCCTTTGCAAAAAAACCTTACTATAAAATTGAAGAATTCGTTAACGATAATAATGTTTTTATAGAAAAACTTTAAATCCATAGCACTGACAATATTATCTGATTACACTAATAATGAGTGCGTAGCGATTTCTATGTTGATTATCGCATGCCTCTTACTTGTTATACTGTAATTATTTATATAAAAAAAACATCTATTAAACAGAGCAACACACAAGTTTCTTGCTCATTCTTCTTGTGATGAATCTGCATTCCGAATGAGTGGTAGAATCAAAATATGACTATTCAAAAGTGCTTGTAATGAGTTTATTTGAATAAAGATTATTTCTATTTCTAAGTGCGGCGCGGGAAACCTCTAGTTAGAGTTTTTGCGTCGGGGATTAAAATTAGAGGTATTAAATGAAACGCATATGTTAATTGTTTTTTTTTTATTAAAATGTATAAAGAAGTGTTACAAAGATATTATTTTTGGAATTGTTTCTGAATACCAATTTTATTTATGATCTAGACGAAACTTTTTTGTGTCTTACAATACAAACAATCATGCTCATGAATACAAACGTTTGTACCAAGGCATCGAACCCGCGACTATTGGAAGTTAGGCATTGTGTTAAACAGCTAGACCAGAGGTTCTCAAAATTTTTGGGTCGTAGACCCCTTGCCATATTTTTCGGTTCTGGGTAGACCTCCCATTCTTACCTGGTATTGATTTTTTGTAAATTTCTAACTGTAGTAAAGTTTAGTGTTAAAAACAACAAGTTGACCGCTGTCGTAGACCCCTTGCAGTTTGACATAGACCCCTGGGGGTCGATATAGACCACTTTCAGGGTCTATATCGACCCCCAGGGAATAGGGAATCACTGATCTAGGCTAACGTATTGTCAGTTACAGGTTTTTTTCTGTACGCATCATTGTGGAATTGTACATCTGTTTGCATTAACAGTTCCACTAGCAGGGCACCAGTGGAGCATGATATTGTATTTAAAAATTAATATAAACTAAAAATCGAATTCATTCTAAACATTTAAATTGTTCGTTCCGCCAATGTATAATGAGAATAATCAGAATAATTCCTCCTCTAATGTTAAATAACAATTTTCTTACGCATCTGAACATTCACTGTTGATTTGTATAGGTATATATTTAATTGTATGTGTATGTATATATATATTTTTCATATTTATAAATATTGAGTATATGTGTAATTATTTATTTAATAGTATGTATTATATATAATTATGGACTAGTTTATAATCTTAGTTATTAATATTATTTTATATTTTTTTGAATTGTTATTTTAAATGGTACGGTAAAAAAAAATGTAGGTACATTTTATTTTATTATTATTATTTTTAATGCACTGCCCACATAGATCTCTGTTTGGCCAATGGTTGACTGGGAGAAAATACCACATGGTGTTAAGTCCGCCATATGCATCTAAATTTGTGTATTTGTGCATAAAAGAAAGAAGAAAGAAGAAAGAAGAAAGAAGAAAGAAGAAAGAAGAAAGAAGAAAGAAGAAAGAAGAAAGAAGAAAGAAGAAAGAAGAAAGAAGAAAGAAGAAAGAAGAAAGAAGAAAGAAGAAAGAAGAAAGAAACATATTTTATTCAGTGCAATGTAAAAAATACAATATAAACAACAAACGAAAAAAGGATTTAATAAATAAATAAATAATACAGGTACTTCTCTAAAATGCACAGAGTACGTTATGACTATGAATGTTACAGATAAACTTGACCAAAGACAATAACCACAAATACCACCAGAGGTGGACCGTTAATTTGTGGGGCCCTAGGCTAAATGTACTTAGGGGCCTACCAAATTATATTACTCAACTGAAAAAACACATCGACCAAAAACAAGCGACCAGAAATTCCCCATTCCTTTCGATAGACGCGCACTTGTATGGTTTGATTGATCTCAGTGTTGCCAACCTTATGATAGGTTTTTTAACATTCTAGATATTTTTTTATATTATAAATATCGTTTCTGGCGAGACTGGGGGCCCTTTGTATTCTCGGGGCCGTGCCCTGGGCAGATGATGATAATCATCATCATCATCGTCATCTCCAACTATTGCACACGCAGGAGAGTTGGACCATTGCATAATCATCCTTAAAATAGTCACCATTAATAACAAATTCCTTGGGCGCTGTACTTTCTAACCGACTTCTAAAAAGGAGAAGATTTTCTATTAGACTGTATTTTTTCAAAAATAATAAAAATTTATTTATTTGCTTGCTACATAATACAGTTTTGTATCTTACTATATAATTTATGTTTGTTACCTCAGAAGTTTTGACGGGTAAACCGATTTCGATGATTCTTTTTTTATTTGAAAGCTTGTACTTCCCGTGCGGTTCATTTGGTCCATCCATGAGAATGTATACATACAAAAGATAAATGGACGAATAATGATGTCAATCTTTTTTTGTGTTTTTTTTTTATACTACAATGGTGGTAAACAAGCATACGGCACATCTGATGGTGAAATTGTGTTGGTTGTCCAGTGTTTATTTATTACACATCCACACCAGTCATCTGTCAGGGTTTGTCGACCCAGCCGATTCTGCCGCGTCCTAACACCAACATGAGCACGTCATCGGAGCTGTCCCCCGGGGCCACGCGGGATACGTGCCACGAACGCTTCCTGGTCTCTGGTGATGCTGGAAATTATATATATTTTTTAATAGCAACTTCGTACGCGTTGAATTTAACAAAAACGTTAATTAGAGAATTAGCCTAAGTTACTCCTAATTACATCAGCTATCTGCCAATAAAAGTCCCGTCAAAATCGGTCCAGCCATTTCAGAGATTCGCCGGAACAAACAGACAGACAAAAATTATTTAGGTGTATGTACCGTATTTATATTCATGTGAATCTAGTTGCGTACTACGTGCAGTCACGGGAACAGCTAGTAAATATTCTCATATATAAAATTCTCGTGTCACAATCTTAGTTACCATACTCCTCTGAAACTTGACCTGAGACTTGACCGATTTTTATGAATTTTATAGTATCAGTAGGTCTGAGAATTGGCTACTGTCTATTTTTCATACCCCTAAGTAATAAGGGTTGTCCACCCCAAATATATATATATTTTTTTTTGGCCAATTTTTTTTATTATGTGTCATTAAAAAATACATACACCCCTAAATTTTCAGCCTTCTATCACCAACCCCTATTTATTTATATATATATATATATAGTAAATAAATAAATACTTACCGCCGTTTGCACGGCGCGGTGATCGCTATCTGTCCGACAAGGACACACTGCGGCGGCGGCGTACGAGTGAGCAGGACGACAATATTATATGGAGTACCGCCAGGGATGCGTAGATTGCGGTTTGGTACCGGTGTAACCAAGCTGTAATCGTTTGCCGGCAGTCCTGGGAACATAATAGAAAGATATAGAACTGAAGAGAAGAGAAGAGAATAAAACAAAACAGTTGAAGTAGAACAGAGTAGAGAAGAGTTGTCATATATTTTTTTAATTGTTGATTTTTTTTTAATTGTCATCGTTCAACTACGTAAGCATAATGGGGAGGGGGGGGGGGGGGTAAGGGGGGGGGAGTCTTGTTTTGACTATTTTCGATGACATGGGGGAGGGGGAGTCTAGATGTTGATTACGTCATCGGTAGATATTTACTTTTTTACACGACTGGCAACCCCCACATTCTGTTTGCTGAAAAACAATACATTAATTGAAAAATGTTTAAGCATTGGGGTAGGGGTATTTTGCTTTAAAGAGGTATGGGGAGGGGGGAGGGGGGGGGGGTAAATAATTGTAATAAATTTGCTTACGTCATACTTGAACGGCCCCTTAGGACTTATGATCAGGGTACTAAATGACTGGTTACTGATGTTCTCTAATACAATTTTTTTTAATAATACAGGCTACTAACGATTTAGATTATCTAATACAATATAGTAGATGCGATAGTATGTGATTATATATATTACTATTACACGCCCTTCCGATCGACCCCTATCCAATTCAAACGTGGATCGATATTACGACGCCCTGAGCCGAGGTTCTAACCCATAGCGGTGCCATCAGACTAAAGTCGTATCCGTCAGGCGGGAGCCTTCAGCCGCTCCATAAGTCCTTCCTCTGGTTTGGAGTGCCATCTGCACTCGCCCCCTATCGTCCGGTGAAGCTGTAAAGGCCAGCTGTGGCCAACAGCATTAGAGTAGTCCGAAACAAAAACTTTTTCACAGTTAGTTCACCTTAGGCGAAACATATATTCTTTATTGCACAGATAATAAAAAGATATTATAATTTAGAGACAATGTGAGCAAAGGTGGACTTATCCCTAGAAGAGATCTCTTCCAGTCAACCTAAAACAGTGGGATATGTGGTACTGAGTGGGTAATAATTGGTGCAAACAATACCATAGAGATAATAACATAGAGATCATCATCTGCTTCTTCCTTATCCCATTTATTTGGGGTCGGCGTAATATGTTTTTCTCTTCCATTCATCTCTGTTCGCAGTCATTCCGTTATTTACTCCCTTTCTCACCATATCATCTTTCACACAGTCCATCCATCTCTTTTTCGGTCTTCCTCTACCCTTATAACCATCCACATTCATATGTAACACCGTCCTTAGGATATGATTTTCATTCCTACGCATTACATGCCCATACCACGATAGACGATTACTCTTTAACTTCTCTGACATCGGTGCCACTTTCATACTTCCTCTGATGTATTCATTCTTTATCTTGTCTATCCTCGTCACACCACACATCCATCCATCCATCTAGATAATAACATAGAGAGAGGTAAATATATTTGTTGATCATAACATTATTCGTGTTAAGCCCCGACTAATAATATAAATGACTAGCTTACCTGCGCAACTTTGTCCGCATCGGACTTACTTGACATTTATTACTATATTTCGCACAATTTACATAATATCGTTATAATTTATAACCTATATGTTACTCTCATGTATAAACTGTGTTACTGTAAAGTTTCATCAAAATCCATTTAGTAGTTTTGGGGAAAAGAGAAACAGATATCCATCCATTCATACGCACGTTTGTAATATTAGTAAGAGGATTAAAAACGAATGTTTATATTAAAGCAGGTATCGCCGTGGGTTCTAGCTAGTATGTAAAAATGTCTACCTTTACATATATCTGTAAATAACTCTACTAGACTAGTGCCAATTTTTTTTTGTTTTGGACGTTTTTTACTAACACATACAGAGTTATGCGAGTGTTTGGAGAAACATAAAGCGTCTGGGAATTGAACCAGCTCCCGGAAGCTCTGGCTTACTGCATAGAAAGGGATTACCCTTTACCCTTAATATTTTCATAACTCTACCTTTACATATATCTGTAAATAACTCTACTAGACTAGTATTTTCATAACTCTACCCTTACATATATCTGTAAATAACTCTACTAGACTAGTATTTTCATAACTCTACCTTTACATATATCTGTAAATAACTCGACTTTTTGATGTTTTTTACGAACACATACAGAGTTATGGGAGTGTTTGGAGAAACATGAAGCGTCTGGGAATTGAACCAGCTCCCGGAAGGACTGGCTTACTGCGTAGAAAGGCATTACCCTTTACCCTTAGTATTTTCATAACTCTACCTTTTCATATATCTGCGTAGACGTACAGTTGTCAGGGTACCAGGCCGGTCCACAGCATGACCAGGGCGGCTTGACTTCTGCTCCCAAGCTATTGAAATTTTAAAATATATATATTCACAACTTTAATTATTTTTTTTAAGTATTTGATATGCAAACGCCTGATCAAATTAAAAATTTACAACCAAGGCTATATTTTTTTTTTATGTAGTTGAAAGGAAAACGACATGATCTACCATCTGATGGTAAATGGTAAGTGGAATAAATAGTTTTAAAATATAAACGTGTTGGCAAGTAGCTGTAAGTTTATATTGTGTTAATTAAATAAATAAATAAATAAATAAATAAAAATAATAAATAAATAATAGGCAATTGTTAGTAATATAGAATAGAATAGAATAGAAAATCATTTATTCAAATAAACTTAATTTAAGCACTTTTGAATAGTCATAACAGTTATTTTTATCTACCGCAAGTTCGGAAAGCTGTCTCATCACAAGAAGAACGAGCAAGAAACTTGTGTGTATATGTTTACCTCGTTGCTAGAAATTATCATAATGTGTTATAAATATTGCTTTATTAGTGGAATAAAATGTGGGTTGTTGCTATAGTTATTTTTCTTGTTGTTGTTGATTGTTGTGATTGTTGTGGTTGTTGTGGTTGTTGCTACTATCATAATGCTACGTTTACATTCAGCCGCTTCCCCTGCCACTCGCACTGCTGGAAATATTGCCGGGCGACAACTGAGCGTAAGGACAGAATGTAAAAACACACTGCCACTAGCGCTGCCAGTCCTTTGACTCGCGCACGAAATACCGACAACCGAGGAAGCGCCGAGCAGCGCGAGTGGCAGCGCCAATGGCATGGGAAGTGTTTCCACTCGTGTTTACACTCTCGCGCTGCTCACTTCCCTGCCCACTCGGGCTGAGTGAAGAAAATTGATAGAGGGTTCCAGTTATGCCGTGGAGATAGCAGCGCCATGTTGTTCAGACTTTTCTAGAATGAATATCTGTGCCTGTGGTTAGTCTATGGCGCCCCATGCCACATTGGTGGAGCAATAGCGACTACCAGGGTGAGAATACATTCTGGAGGACACTTAGGTCTTGAAGGTCGAGGAGTGAACAACCAACTATAGTACCACTTATTTTTTTTTTATTGGTTTGTGTGGGCTATTGCCTGATGTTTGTAGCACCTGTAGCACTGCGACCTACATAGATCTATTGTGCTCGCTCTTTTAGTACCATTTAACTCACCAGTTAGAATACAATATAATGTACAATCAGGCTGACCTCCACGTGGCTCCCCCTGATGATAAATTCCTGGAGAATTTGTCACTATGGGCTAACTGACCTGATCTCATGCTCATCTTATAATACTGCACTGATGCCCCGCTAGCGTAAATCGTTAGCACAGGCGGGTGTGTCATTCTTTATCGTCCATGAAATACCCCTTACAACCCTCATTTCGCATTTAAATATGTTCTTTCTCAAATTCTAGTCTATCTGTGTACCAAATTTCATTTAAATCGGTTCATTTTTGGCGTGAAAGCGAGACAGACAGACAGACAAAGTTACTTTCGGATTTATAATATTACTAAGGATATATGCTACTTACGTGACGTCAGTATCACAGCAGCTGAAGACCAGCCGCAGAGCATGTGTCCACTGCCCATCCTGTTCGAGCAGACCTTTCTGCAAACACATTATTAATACTCTATTAGAAAAAAAAATATTTATACTATACTTGCTGTTCCCGCGACTTCGTCCGCGTGGAATTTAACTTTATTTTTCTAAAATAAGAGTAGTCTATGTTACTCTTTATTACTTCAGCTACCTGCCAAAAAAAGTCCCGTCAAAATCGGTCCAGCCATTGCAGAGATTAGCCGATACAAACAGATAGACAGACAAAAATTGTAAAAAAAATTATTTTGGTGTATGTACCGTATTTATATTCATATGCATGTAGTAAAAAACGGTTATTTCAATATTACAAACAGACACTCCAATTTTATTTATATGTATGTATTTAAAGAGCAACACGCAAGTATCTGTATCAATGAGCAAAACACTTGCGTTTAAATACATACATAATCTCAGGACAATTCACACAGCGCCATCTAGTCCCAAGTTTAGTTAGCTCAAGCTTGTGTTACGGGTACTAGATAACTGATATAAATACATCGATTTATTTTCATAAATACATACATAATATACATAGAAGACACCCAGACCGATACAAACAATCATGCTCATGAATACAAACGTTTGTACCAAGGCATCGTACCCGCGACTATTGGAAGTTAGGCATTGTGTTAAACAGCTAGACCAGAGGTTCTCAAACTTTTCTGTGTCGTAGACCCCTTGCCATATTTTTCGGTTTTGGGTAGACATTCTTACCTGGTATTGATTTTTTATAAATTTCTAACTGTAGTAAAGTTTAGTGTTAAAAACAACAAGATGACCGCTGTCGTAGACCCCTTGCAGTTTGTCATAGACCCCTGGGGATCGATATACACTTTGGGAATCACTGAGCTAGACCAACTTAGAAAACAACAAGAATATAATACAACATTTTGCATCGTGCAAGATAGTGAACCCGCAACTATCGGAAGTCAGGCGGTGTGCTAAATCGCCATACCACTGGGGGTCGATATAAAAGTACTACATACAAAGTTACCTCAGTTAATGTGGACGAGAAGTAGTAGAGCAAAGCACACTCCAGCAGCAATAATAGTAGTACTAGTGTTGAATACTGTAAAATATAACGTAATATATATATATACTAGCTGTTCCTACGACTTCTTCCGCGTGGAATAATCTAAAGTGAAAGAATTTTTCTAAAATAAAAGTAGCCTAAGTTACTCCTTATTACATCAGCTACCTGCCAACAAAAGTCCCTTTTAAATCGGTCCAGCCATTTCGGAGATTAGCCGGAACAAACAGACAGAGAGACAAAAATTGTAAAAAATGTTATTTTGGTGTATGTACCGTTTATATTCATATGCATGTAGTAAAAAACGGTTATTTCAATATTACAAACAGACACTCCAATTTTATTTATATGTATAGATGTATAGATATTGCTTATGAAGGTGACAAAGCATCTTATTTTACATTAAAAAAAATCAAATAATAGTAATAATAAGACTTACATATTTTAAAATATCTAAGCTAACAGCCGAAAATTGGGATTTTTTGTAAAAAAAACAATTAAATTGAAATATCCTTAGTATTGTAACTATATTATTGTAAACACGGAAGCTGTGCGTGTGGATGGATGGACGGATACTGGTTTTTTTAAGGGATGATAATGGAATGGTGCACCCGCCTGCGCTAACGGTATACGCTGGCGGGGCACCAGTGGTATGATAAGATGAGTATGAGGTCAGGTCAGTTAGCACAACGTGGAAAATTCACCAGGAATTTAAGAGGATGGTTTCCAGGGGGAGATGGAAACTTATATGTTATATATTATATGTTATATATTTATTGTACTATACTTTAAACCGTCCTTATATTTATAAGAAGTATATGTTTCCTTTTTCTGTAAAAATAATAAAAAACTACCTATTAATAACAAAGAGTTACCTATTAATAATAATAAGCTTTTTATAATTAATAATAAAAAGCTACCTATTAATAACAAAAAGTTACATATTAATAATAAAAAGCTTTTTATAATTAATAATAAAAAGCTACCTATTAATAACAAAAAGTTACATATTAATAATAAAAAGCTACCTATTAATAACAAAAAGTTACATATTAATAAGTTATATATTAATAATAAGCTTTTTATAATTAATAATAAAAAACGACTTATTAATAACAAAGAGTGACCTATTAATAATAATAAGCTTTTTATTAATTTTCTACTCAAAAAACAAATCATAGGATTCGGGGAATATCCGGGAAATATATATATACAAGAGTTACTTATCAAGTAAGATAAAAAAAATGTTACGTTTGCCATTCAAGTTCAAATTAAAACTCATAAAAAAAATAATTAAAAATCTATTAACTTACCATAAACAATAAGAACTGCGATCGACTAACAGCACCGTACAATCCCATGAGTGAGATGCAAACCATGAACCCGCTTACCGCTGCAGTTGCGACCCCCACTTGCACGGACAATGCTTCAGGCGCTAAAAGTGCCTGTAACAAGAATCATCATCTGCATCAATATTTTTTTTTAAATTTTGAATGGCATACAAGCTGACGGCCCGCCTGATGGTAAATGGTATATTCGTAACACTGTCGACAGACAAACTTGTATGGCTATAATAGTTCATGCACGGGATTCATACTTAACTAGCTAAACCCACGACTACATCCGCGTCGTATATAACTTTATTTTTCTAAAAAGAAGATTTTTTCTAAAATAAAAGTAGCTTAGCTAGTTTAGTTACTCATTATTTCAGCTACCTGCCAAAAAAAATCCCGGCGATATTGGTCCAGCCATTTCACAGATTAGCCGGAACAAACAGACATACAAACAGATAAAAATTATAAAAAATGTTATTTTGGTGTATATATCGTATATATATTTATATGCATGTAGTAAAAAACGATTATTTCAATATTACAAACAGACACTCCAATTTTATTTGTCTGTCAAATCTTTCTCTGGTATCTAATAACCTAAATATATAATTATAGTAATTATGAAATACCCTCTATCATGTACTAATATTGCCTATCTATAAGTCAATTGCCCCAAAAACGCATCGTATCTGATAATAACAACATAGATCGGCCATTAGAGACTATTATCCGGATATCCGGGTCATGTCGATGACAGAGCAGTTCCAGTACAAAGCGTGACCCGGTGATCCGGGCCGGTAGTTCACTGCTATTGTCAGCATTATACATGTTACAGAATTCATTTCCATTGTGTAATATATGTTTATATAATTTAATAACTCGATGATCTAGCGGTTTAACAGACCGTCTTAATTTCCGATTGTGGCGGATTCGATTTCTCTCAATATATACGTTTGTATTTAAGAATATGATTGTTTGTGTTGGTCAGGCTGTTTTATATGGATATTACGTATGTATTTACAAAAAAAATAAGTATTTATATCAGTTGTCTAGTACCCGTCACACAAGCTCTGCTTACCGTGGGACTAGATGGCGCTGTGTGAATTGTCCAGGCATATTATTACATGTATTTATAAAACATAATTAAGTATAGGTTAACTACACCTAACTAAACCTAAATATTTCAGTATTTATATCAGTTGTCTAGTACCCATAACACAAGCTCTGCTTACCGTGGGACTAGATGGCGCTGTGTTAATTGTTCAGGGTTATTATTATATGGACAATATTTACAAAAAAATACATATTTCAGTATTTATGTCATTGTCATATAAAAATATCACAATCTAAATGCTTCACCGTTCTAGATGGCGCTGTGTTAATTGTTCAGGGTTATTATTATATGGACAATATTTACAAAAAAATACATATTTCAGTATTTATGTCAGTTGTCTAGTACCCGTATCACAAGCTCTGCTTACCGTGGGACTAGATGGCGCTGTGTTAATTGTTCAGGGTTATTATTATCAATAAATTCCCTTTGTATGTTTATTTTAAGTTTTCATGTAAAAATTGCTGTAGGAATTAGTATGAAAATCACAGAATACATTCACGGCACGCGATGTAATAACCAGAGCAGAAGAATCAATAACTTCATTTGAATTATTTTGATATATTCATTGATATTATAGAGTTGAATAGAGTTGAGTTGACTTCCGATGGTCGCAGGTTTAATTCCTCGCACGGTGCTAACAGTTGTATTCATGTGTATGACTGTTTGTATCGGTCTGGGTGTTTTCTATGTATATTATGTCTCTATTTAAAAAAAAGACAACTGGTATAAATGCTTAGATATTAAGCATTTATATCAGTTGTCTAGGACCGATAACACAAGCAGCTTACTTAATGGGAATAGATGGCGCTGTGTTAATTATCCAGGGATAATTATTTATTATTTACAAGGTTTGGTCAAACACCTAGTGGTGTCCTCAGATTAAAGTCGTATCCGTCAGGCGGGAGTTGGCCTTCAGCCGCTCCATAAGTCCTTCCTTTGGTTTGGAGTGTCATCTGCACTCGCCCCCTATCGTCCGGTGAAGCTGTAAAGGCCAGCTGCGGCCAACAGCATTAGAGTAGTTCGAAAAAAATCGTATATATTAATAGACACTACAAATATAGATGAGTTTATTAAGCGGACACCTGTGCTAATTATTGTTGTGCGTGATAGGACGGTATATGATATGACTTGTTGAATTAACTATAGAGAAACTCGATACCTATATCAAAATAATATAATAAACTGTCAGAGTCTACGCTAAATCTTACAGAGAGGCAATTCAAATCTTATATTAAACAAATGTTATGTAAAAAAGCCTATTATAAAATAGATGAATTTATAGATGATAGCAATATATAGCAAGAATAAGTTTATTTGCGGACAACGTTATAATTTTAATTTTCATACTGCTTTCTTGATATATGATAGCGTAGCGGCTTTTGTATTGATTGCCGCATGCATCCTTATGTAAAGTGCGAATACTGTAACTACCATATAGTAATTTTTGTAGCTGTGACGTGGTCGTGTGGAATGAGTAGTCATGTTCACTAAAATGTGGCGGCGTGGTGGGCCGGGTCATTGAGCTCCCTAAAATATGGTCGAGCGCAGTGATGGCTGGCTCATCCGTCATACTCGTGAAACGAGTGCTGCTTGTAGGGACTGGTCTGCTCTTATCACTACGACTGATTTAATCTTATTGCATATTTATATTTGACCCAAACATTAGTGCTTGTTGGTAGTTTGTATTCACACGTTTCGACTTGTAAATGTAAACTTACAAGGATTATTTAAAAGAGCAACACACAAGTTTCTTGCTCGTTCTTCTTGTGATACGACAGCTTTCCGCACGAGTGGTAGATAAAAAACAAATTGTTATGACTATTCAAAAGTGCTTAAATTAAGTTTATTTGAATAAATGATTTTCTATTCTATTCTATTCTAAAATCCGTTCAGTAGTTTTTGCGTGAAAGAGTAACAAACTTCCATCCATACTCACAAAATTTAGTGTTTATAATATTCGTAACATAAGATACATGTAAGTACTACACAGGGTAAAAGAAAAAAGGCAGATATTGAACACAATAGAAAATAGACGAGGGAAAATGTTAGGACACTTGATACGGCGCGATGATTTCATGAAAATTATTATTGAGGGGAAAATAGAAGGAAAGAGGGAGAGGGGAAGACCAAGGAATAGCTACATCAAACAAATTGAGGACAAAATGGGAGTCGTGTCGTATCAAGAATTAAAGAGCATGATGGAAGATCGCGGAAAGTGGCAAGAGCTCCACCGACAAGAGCGTAGCTCTTAAATTATGAATGAATGAATGAAAGATACATGTCTCTCGTGTACAGTAAATTTATTCTTCCTTTTATTTTTCTGATTTAATATTAATAGCCTTGGTTTTCCATATAAAATAAATAATTTTCTCTGCAATGACCAAATCATTTATTCAAATAAACTTACATTGAAGCACTTTTGATCAGAGAAGTATGTCAGTTGCTCTGTGGCAACGAGAAGTTCATGAAAACTGGAAATCGCGAAACCGTAAGTCTATGTACTTATTGAAGACATATACCTATAGATTGTATGTAGAAATTATATGTTAGCGGGAATGTCTCTGACTGCCACGGCCGCGACCCCAATAGCTATCAAGGTATTTGATGTTTAATAATCTTTACTTGTTATACAATGAAGTCGCATGAAGCCAGGTCAGTTCTCCAAGAATTTGTCATAATGGTTTCCAGGGAAGGCGCGTGGAGGCCAACCTAATTATTACTAGCAATGCACCTTACATTGCCAGTAATGGGGTCGACGGTCCAAACACATAAAAAAACAGCTATTCTTTTCAATATAAATCAATTAGTTTCTGATCTATTACTTTACGTTAATAATGTACATACATATTTTTTTTTTATTTCAGGCAGGACTCAAATACGTACCTTTATAGCTGGCGTGCCCACACTATGTACAGCATTGGACAAACTGCCTGGTGATGCTATCAGCCATAGACTAAACGCAAACAGGACGGTACAACATATCTGTAACAAAACCTGGTGTCAGAATGTGCTTTTTTGGGAATTATAGATAGATAGAATATACTGTATGTAAAGAAACGGAATAGACAATATTAATGGACACATGTATTGTTACAAAAAGGCGGCCTTATTGCTGAAAGCAATCTTTTGAACGTTTAAACTTAAAAATGTAAACTTACAATACTTAAAAGAGTTACACACAAATTTTTCACTCATTCTTCTTTTAATGAGACAACTTTCTGAGTGAGCGGTAGATTAAAAAAATTGTGATGACTATTCAAAAGTGAGTTTGTTAGAATAAAGGATTTTCTATTCTATTCTATTCTAATGAAGTTGACAGCTTTACTGACGGATTTACGGGACAGTTACTGCCGAGTCGCCATATTTTATAAACTATTTTTTTTATTTTTATACAAGACTTACACACATACTGTTATAAATGCATTATACAGTTATAGCCAATTCTGTCACCAATCGGAAAGCAGACCTCACAAGAAAAACAAACAAGAAACTTCACTAATATAACGTATTTTTTTAATTAATCAATACCTTTCACCATATTTTAACTGCGTGATTTTTTTAATCCTTATTTAATGGGAATGAGTTTTTAACCCCTGACTCAAAATGAAGAAGTTTGACGTGTTTGTGTATCTAGTATCTACGAAGGTCGTTTTTTTGTCTATCTGTGACATCAATAATAATAATAATAATCTCAGGACAATTCACACACGCCATCTAGACCTAAGTAAAAAGCCTGTGTTATGACAAACGATTTTTTATTTTTTGTTTTTTTTATTGAAATACTGACACGATCATAGAAAACACACAGATGTTTCTTGGCATGAATACAAATGGTTGTGTCTACAAATAAAATAATTAAATCATAATTCAATAAAAAAAATAATGTTTTATATTTTGATTAATTTTCCGAACTACATGAAGATCTTGCCTTGTTTATTTCTATTTAATTGTAGGCACTTGTTATAAATGTCACCTAGGTTTCGTTGTACAAACCACACACTTAATACAATACTGAATTAACTCCCAAATTGCATTCTTTGGAAACTCCACTCTATAGCTTTAGATTTAAAGTGTAATTTACTAAACCTGAAATTTTCCAGTTAGGTTCTAGATGTGGTATATGTAATTAGTCCATCCTTGTCCTTGTTACATTATGTTTAATCACTGCCCTCGACAATGATAAGTTGGGCGAGCTATAAACTATTCAGCGTGTAACCTTGATGCCTAATATTTCTTCAACTTGACCTTTCATTAACGATCTTTGAGAAGGACATACCAAGTCATGGACAATTTATTTTGTATTAATTTCATTCATAATTTAAGAGCGACGCTCTTGTCGGTGGAGCTCTTGCCACTTTCTACGATCTTCCATTATACTCTTTAAACCTTGATATGACACGACTCCAATTCTGTCTTTCATTTGCTTGATGTAGCTGTGCCCTGGTCTGCTCTCCCCTCTTTCCTTCTATCTTTCCCTCAACAATTACTTTCATTCTAATTGGTGGTTTGTATTCACACACTTAAACTTAAAAATGTAAAGTAATAATAAAATTATTTAAAAGAGCAACACGCAAGTTTCTTGCCCGTTCTTCTTGTGATGAGAGCTTTCCGAATGAGCGGTAGATTAAAAAATGTAATGACTATTCAAAAGTGCTTCAATGTAAGTTATTTGAATTAATGATTTCTATTCTATTCTATTCTATAAAGAAAAGTAAAAAAGGTGATTCGTGAACATGGGAAGAATGTTCACGATGTTTAGCTAACAGATGGGATCCATTCTCTTAAATAGGCCTACGAAGGATATCTAGGTACTGACATTACGTATGTCACGCCGTCCCTAGCTGAGTACGTAGTGCAGATGACTCCAGCAGCAAGATCTGAGGTTGCTTCAGCGTGCAATGTTTTATTTTTGATAGTACTAGTGATACAAATGTAATATTCTCGAGGTTGAGTAACTTATACGCGTTATTACATATGTAAATTTGCATTATTACTATTATATCTGTGTATTAATCTTTCTGCCAAACTAATATCAATAAGTCCGTTGATTTTTGTAGTGGACGTTTTAATAATATACATCTTATAACGGTTAAAAAATCAACTATTATACGCAAAACTTATTCTAGACTTTGATTCGCGGATTTGTCTCTGTTTGTTGATTAGCTCTGTATTCGCGCCTACAAAGCTGGTGCCATTGTCTGGATTGGATCGGTAGAACCTTCGGTAGAGGTCGAATCGCGAGTTCTTGTAGAATTACTAGTTCTGGCCTGCCAAACCTTACTGCTAAAACCTACATTACTTTGACAGGATCTTGCACAGAAGCAACCAACATCGCTACAGCTTCTGTAATCTAGTACTTTGCAGTTGAGAAAATGTTTATTTATAATAAAACGTTTTGTTTATAATAAACTTTCTATTTCAAAACCCAAAATTCGAATTTTAAATTTTAAAAATAAATGAGTATACATACCAAAGTGACACCGTTGATGATTATTAGCAGAGAAGCCGCAATTTTAGATGTGCTACTAGTTTTGCTTTCCATTTTTAAATCTGGAACAAACAAATAAGAATCATGAAACATAACAGGACCACCGTACTCGTTTCAATGGCATCTAACTGTATTTTCCCCAGAATATTGCGACGACTTTTGCGCATTTTTTAGATTTTACCTTTGTGCCCAACATCCTGCACAAAAGACAGGTCAATAGATGGGCCATGACACTGAACTTTTAAGAAATATATTATAATAGAAAACTGTATTGAAAATTCCAATTTATCTTTCATCAGAGGCCTAAGCATTAGAATCAAAAATGTATGTTTGCCAGTCGTTGTTGATATACAAGATGGTCAATGTCAGGATACAATTATTATTGTTTTGTATAGATACTTATATCAGTATACCTTTAGTACCTTTGCTTTGCACGATAGAAAAAAAAAATCTAATTCGTTTCTATTTTTAAAAGTCTTAAATTCTCAATTGCATGTTTACACATAAACAAACCGATTAATCTTTTGGGTGAAATTGTTATTTGTCTGTGGTATTAATGATTGCAGCTGTCAAATTGTGAGGTTTGACCCAAATAACTAGGAAAGTAGCAAGGTCATCGATCATTAGGGACACAAATATTTGTGATAATGACGCTTTTATAGCTGTATGTACCGTGTTATCAGGTAATTCTTCATCGATGTTGTTTTTATATGATGATACAAGAACGGTGCACCCTTCTACGCTGGCAGTTTACGCTGACGGAGCACTAGTGGAGGGTGATAAGATGAGCATGAAGTTAGGTCAGTTAGCCCATCTTGGCAAATTTTTTTACCAGCAAAGCAATTTACCAGTAATTTTCTAAGGGGAACCACAGGAGGTCAAGCTGACATGGTACATTGCTAGCAATAAGATCATCAGTCCACATTACTAACAATCACCTTTCCCCCCTATACAAGTATTTATATCAGTTGACTAGTACCCATAACACAAGCTCTACTTAGCTTGTACTTAGATAGCGCTGTGTGAATTGACTTAGGTTAAGGGGGGGAAAGGAGATTGTTAGTAATGTGGACTCATGACCCCATTACTAGCAATGTACCATGTCAGGTTGACCACCACGCGGTTCCCCCTGGAAACCATCGTGGTAAGTTCGTGGTGAGGTTGTCACGATGGGCTAACTAACCTGACCTCATGTTCATCTTATCATCCCCCACTGGTGCCCCGCCAGCGTAAACCGTTAGCGCGGCGGGTGCACCATTCCATTATCATCCATAAAAAAAAATTGACTTAGGTTAGTATTATTATTAATTACTAGTTACTAGCTATTATACTATGCTAAAATCTTTAAAACTACGCAAAGGATTTTGAAGCGGTTTTTTTAAATAGATAGAGTGATTCAAGAGGAAGGTTTATATGTGTAATACATGTACACCCGGGCAAAGCCAGAGCGGGTCGATAGTTAATATTATAAACGCGAAAGTTTGTGAGTATAGATGGATGTTTGTTACTATTTCACGCAAAAACTACTAAACGGATTGTGATGAAACTTTTCAGTAATATAACTAATACATCAGAATAACATATATAAGGCTATAAAATTCACGCGTAGTAAATAAATAAATATAGAGTTCGACTCCCAAATTGTGTGGTAGGTAGGCGTGTAAATCTATCTGTCTAAATTACCATATTATATATGGAATTAACCTAAATAGTGGTAAATTGTCCGCTCCATCATTCTTCTGATAAGGGTCGAGTGAAAAACTTTCCTCAATTTCCGCCTGAGGCGTTTCTGTTACAAACTTTTGATTGCTAAGGAAATAGATAACTTTCATCATGCATGCGCTGAGCGACAGTGGGTCAAGGAATAAATATAATAAATAATAAATAATCAGGACTAGACTATAAATAATCCCAGATGGGGTAGATACAGAGACATTTTTCCAAATATGATGCACTTGATGATGGTGTCAGGTGCACCTTTTTTTCTTTACCTCAGGAAAATCCATAATGGAGAACCATTCGCTTAGGGACGAATGGATGCCGAACTCACCTGCTAAAATCCTGACGACTATTCCTCCTCGACATAATTGCCGTGGACATTGAATACGCAAGCATTCACCAAGACCACCGTCATGGTTCCCATCGAAGGGACCTTCCATCTAGGCGTGCAGGAAATATGTAGTGTCTGCACGCCATCTCCAGACTCTTATGCCTCCTCGGTGAGCTTCGGATTGCCCTAACAATCCTCCACCTGATTTTACTCAGGTGTCCGTGCCAGGTGAACCTGCGCTAACGGTATACTCTGGCGGGGCACCAGTGAAGGATGTCAGGATGAGGATGAAGTAAGTTTATGTTTTATTATATATATTAATAGATATATTTATGTACAAATAATATGTATATAATAAATAAAGTTATGAGTATAAAAACAAACCCGGAGATGACGAGTTATTGCAGTGAAATGATGGCTAACCTATCTGTCACACTCGGGAATGGGTGCTGATTGTGGGTACTGCTTGCTGCTGTTCAGGTTATAGCTACTGATTACATTTCTTTTACATTCCATTACATTTCCTTTTGACAAAAATGCAGTAACATATGCAGGTGGTCACTGTATTATCCTGAATTGAATTTAAAACTGAATTTGTAATTTTATAATCATGTACGGGGTTATTTGAAAACAATAAGAGCCGAGTTTCTTGTCAGTTCTTAGGTTAGCACTCCGAATTGACAGTAGATTTGACATATCACAAAAGTAATAGACCTACATGAATAAAGATTTTAAATTTTAAATAAAAAAGAAGAAAAAAGGGAAAGAACGCCTGCCGTCTTTTGTTATATGTACAAGCTAATTTGAAAAGAATAAAAGCTGAGTTTCTTGACAGTTCTTAGGTTAGCACTCCGAATTGACTGTAGATTTGGTATATCACAAAATTCTGTAATAGACCTACATGAATAAAGATTTTAAATTTTAAGGAAAAAAGAGAATGAACGCCTGCCGTCTTTTGTTATTAAAAATGTCATAAAATTTAGACAATGTGCTTCGCTTTTTCTTCATTAAATAATCATTTTCTTCATTAAATTATATCTACACGCGTATAGAACAGTTCTTGAAAATGACTCCTAGTTGAAGTTAGCGTGTGTGTTTAGTGTTGATACAAACTATTTCGCGAGTGTGGTTCATCATATTCCGCAGGAGACTGCCTCCGTTTCCCTGTCATCCGGACGTGTTCTGCCTGGACCCGGGGTGCGTGTTCTTTAACAGTGCTCTGGATTGGATTGCAGGTCAGTGGGTGCCGTTATTTTAGGGGTGTTTGTTGCCGCGCAGTTAGGGGCTATATAAGTTTGTGGAAGGACGCCCTTTAGGTCCGGTTAGGGTGCGTGTAGTGGCTGTTTACACGCCGCTACATTATATATTTTAATCACTGCATTTTTGCTGTAAAACTCGACTTAGAAAGTTATACAAGGCGCATCCGTGTTAATGATCTACAGTACCAAATATTTCCTATATTCAGAGTAGTTTTTTCAAATTGGTTTCAGCTATTATTGGTATGGTATTTAGATCTGTAGTACTGCGACCTACATAGATTTATTATATTAATCGGTCAATACTTACTATTGTTATATTCCTTAACCTATATATAAAATGATAAAATAAAAGAATATTGTCTTTGTGTTCACCACACTTACTATAGCAATCTGCCACTGTATCGCCGGTATACCACTCCCTTCGGCCAGTAGGCTTTATAAACTCGAAAATTGGTACAATGATTACTGCCAGGAAGTGGGGTGAATGGCCACTTGCAGTGGTCTGAATAATATATAAGATACCGCCGCGCCTGAAACGGGTCCCTGGGGACGGAAGCAACTGACGCGGCCGTTGGTCTATTTTTAGCATTGTTCTTTGTTAAAATAAAACTATAACGACTAGGTATCTTAGGAGGGGTGTTTTTTTTATTTTTATGTATGATAATGGAATGGTGCATCCGCCTACGCTAACAGTTTACGCTGGCGGGGTACCAGTGGAGGATGATAAGATGAACATGAGGTCAGTTCAGTTAGACCATCGTGACAAATACACCAAGAATTTACCACGATGGTTTCCAGGGGGAACCGCGTGGAAGTCAACCTGACATGGTACATTGTTAGCAATGAGATCATCAGTCCACATTACTAACAATCCCCTTTCCCCCCTCTTAGGAGGGGTAGTCAAAGGTATTGTCAACTGTCGATTTTGTGAAAGCACATTATTGGTACATTTCGCTCAGTATATTTAAATACAATTTATAACACACAGCGCCAGCCAGGCTAAGCATAGTTGTAAGCTTGTGTTATAGGTACTAGACAATTGATGTAAAGTCTTACTCATCCATACAACTTGTGCCGTGCGAATCGAACCCGCGACCATAGGTAGTAACAGAGTGTGCTAAACCTAGCACTTCAAATTTTCTTTTAGTTGACATTTCTCTATAAAAAACGTGGTAAACGTTTAAGATAGGATAGTCAGAGGTATTGTCAACTGTTGATTTTGTGAAAGCACTTATATAAATTTATAACACGCAAAGCCAGCCAGTTCGAAGCTAAGTATAGTTACTAGTTAATACCATCCTGATCATCTGGATGAATGGCGCCTTCCACAGTACGGTTTTCTAGAAACTTTTTGCCTCGCACAACCACATTGTGGAATCACCTTCCAGCAATGGTATTTCCGAACCGATACGATATTGAAACCTTCAAGAAAAGAGCTTATTCCTTTTTAAAAGGCCGACAACGTACTTGCAATTCCTTGCAATTGCTGGTGTTGCGGGGTGCTCATGGGCGGCGGTAATCACTTACCATCGGGTGAGCCACATGCTCGTTTGTCCCCTATGTTATAAAAAAAAAAGTTGTGTTATGGGTACTAGATAACTGATATAAACTTTTGTATTGATGAGTAAGGGTTTATATCAGTTGTATGGTATGCATATAAAATGCATTAGCACACTGCCTTACTTCCAATGGTTCCGGGTTCGATTCCTCGCACGATGCAAACATTGAATGCATGAGTATTATTG